ATGGGTTGGTGAGCCGTCCCAGAGCATGCTGGAGTTGCACTTGAAGATGTTGTGGGGTTGTCGACCAAGGCAAAGGGTGCAGGCCGAAAGGGGGGTCGACGTTGCGGGTGCACCCTGTTGAAAAACCTGGTTCAGTGCCTCTACTCCTTCGCGGCGCTGTCTTTTGGCATAGTGTGGAAGCGGGGCTGCTCTGCGAGGTGCCTGCTTGCTTTTGGCCTGAGTAGTACGATGCTTTCCTTCCGTCTCCGGGGACGGGGACAGGGAGCGGTCACGTTTTATCCCTCTAGAGAGGTTTGATCTGGCTAGCTGTTCTTCGAGCCTGATAATGTGGGTAGCAAGTGGATGTCAGTACAAGGAGACCAGCCGGGTTGTACAGTGTAGTATTTAACCATTAAATATTAAATGTGGATGTGCAATTATGTGACACAAGAATAACCGATTGCAGACCATACGGTAATGAGCCGGAGTCATGGAGTAATGAAAGGAAATGCAGAGGAGTAGGAGTAAGCTCGTAGGTATAGGGAAGTAGATACGTATTATAGGTGGAGAGGACATATAGACACATAGCATGGGTGTGATATGGGGCCGCGTGGATGCAGGGCGTGGGTGTAGGTTACGGGCACGGGTTATGGGTGCGGGTTATGGGTGCAGGTTATGGGTGCGAGTTATGGGTGCAGGTTATGGGTGCAGAGGTATGGGTGCAGAAGGTATGGGTGCGGAGGTATGGGTGCGGGTTATGGGTGCAGAGGTATGGGTGCGGGTTATGGGTGCGGGGGGGGTGCGTGAGGGTGCGCGGCATGTGTGCATGATGAGCACAGGGGCGCAAAGATGAGATGTGGGTTAATGACAGTGCGGTGTGAGATGTTGTCAGCTGCATGCCCCTCAGCTTGTGAATGAATGGTGACTGACCGTTTAATGCCTTGGGCCTGACGGAGGTTGAGCACCTCGCTGTACATTTCATCCAGCCGTTTGTCATTGACAACACTGATGTCGAAGACTTCCTCGTCATTGGTGCTCTTGAGGTCTTCCATCCACCTACGGCGGATGCGCGCCTGGTACAGTAGAACAGCGGTTTCTCCCCCCTCTAGGTCGCTGATTGGGTGCTTGTCGAGCTCGAGAAAGAATACACCAAGGGCCATGACGTGTTCCTCGGGCCAGCCTGCGTCCACCATGGCCTCCAGCATGTAGTCCTTCGCCTTGATGATTTGGCGCCATTCGAGGTTCTCATCCTGGACGACCTTTGTGGATGGCTTGTACGCAGCGGCGGGTTTTGCCAGCACGTTCTCTCCGTCAGCCATCAGGGTGAAGGTGCCCCTCGCCACTGAGTATTCCGTCCTCTCGGCCTCAAGACAGGCCTCCTTGGTGAAATAGTAGAGCTCAACGTACTCGAGTTGTTCGATCTTGTGGATCGCATAGCGGGAAGGTCGACGAGATGACAACTTCCCGACCGTCTTGTTCGGGGTGAAGGATTTTATCTTGGGCCGTTTGTTCTCCCTCTCACGCTTCTCAGCTTCGGCGGCCTCTTGCTTTGCTTGCTCCTGAGCTGCCCTAGCTTCCTCTTCTTCTGCGTGGTCTTGCTCGACCTGGGCGTTCCACGCGACTCTTTGCGCGTCGTTGTTCTGGGTCCAAGCATTTTGGGAGTCGGCTATGATAGCGTCCACTGTGCGCTCGGCGGTGGCTAAGGTGGCGTAAAGCGCCCGGAATTGTTCCGACTCGAAGTCGGGGGGTTGCACCAAGTGCGGGTCTTGTGTGATACGTGGCGGCATGTGTGGCCTGAAGTTGCTTTAGATAGAGTGAACAGCAGAGATACAGCGCGTGTTGGTAGATACGATGAGAAAAGAAAAGCCCGCAACGCTGGACTGCTCTCAGCGTGGGCAGCAGGTGGCAGTCGAGGAGAAAGAGGTTCTCCTCACCTAACACTGCCACCGCTGATGCATAGACCGCACCCTAACCCTACGCTCGTACCTCACTACGTTATAGGCCAAAAAATTTCGAAATGGAACTTTATTTCCGTATTCCTGGAGGACCTTCCGATATACGATACACCTTCAGGAAACCGATACCTGCTGCCCTCTGTCGGCCAGATGCGCCTCGCGAACTGGCGACACCTTTCGTGTCAAAGGTGATCAACGGGTGCGAGAAGGAAATTCTTGCAAAGCGAAACTGGAGTTGCCGGTGCGGAAAGCTCGCGACGTTCTTCCATGGGATTCCCATGGTCACATTGGTCGACTATCCTCCAACAGTGCAGAGCATCACATTCCCAATTTGCTCTGTTCAATCCCGGTGTATATAGGAGATATTGAAGTGGGTGCAGAGCAGCACGGCAGAGACTCTCAAGGAGTTTCCTGGAACAAGTGTTGATACTGCTCGTTAGATGCTAGGCTCAAAGACCTGCCAGAATCGCGGTTCATTAGTAGATAGGCGTGCTCGAGCGCCTACTACTCTCTTGGAGTCGTAATTACTTTTCTGCTGCATAACATCCACAATCTATATTCACGTGCTATTGGGGGGATATATCGGATGATACTTGGCTCTTTTTCTCTTCTTCAGCGAACTCCAGCGTTTGGGCCCAGGTGTGATCAGTAGCCAATTTGGCAATGGGTCTAGGAACCCCTAGTATCTTTCACTTTCCAACCAACTTGAACCTTGCTTTTGCTCCGCCATCGGCAGTATCAGCACAGGAGTCACGTAGCGTGTTTCACGATCAGTCCTACTACAACTCGTTGGCCGACTTTCAGTTGCCGTATTTTTACAAGATCTCAGCTAAATCACGATCCTGGTGATCCCCAAAAACCACACTGCGCGCCTTTGTTTTGCGGGCACATGCCGCCGAAAAGTCCTGAAAAACGTTCGAAGAAGGCGGGTTCTGGCTTTCCAGGGCTCGATCCCAAGTTGTTCGAGGTATGGATCGTCCAGCTCACCTCGATTGCGCGAGACAAAAGAAACTGACTGTGATCTAGGCCATAAAGAAGATCCCACCCAACCCTATCAGGAAAGGTCGACATACTGGACATAGTGAAGTAAGTTACTTCTTTTACTAGCTAGAAGTTTAAACTGATCCCCGACCAGGTACATGGAGCAGAATCCAAATGACGCGGAGTTGAATGAGTTGGTGGCGACTATCGGCAGATTGGACTTGAATAAACCAAAAGTCGATCTTGAGACCTATGACTACAAGGCGCTGAGATCTACAATCAAGCACCTTTCATCTTGGGTCATACAGCTTGAAAACACGGGCTTTGTGGACGCAAATGGCCAACCTATAGAACCCGATCAAGCTCAAAACACCTCCGGTGTCCGACCTACATTTGCCATCTACTGCTACGACGACAAAACAGCCTATCGAATCACTAGTCAATGTGTTGGACTTCCGGATTCAAACTTCGTCCTCGAGTGAGACTAGACGCTATACTAGATGAGAGAACGCTTACGACCATCTGTAACAGGACCCTTAAACGAGCTATCGCTGAACCCACCATCCCTTTGAAACCTTGTCTGCCTTGGTTCCTTCTCATCTCAATTAAACTAGCTCCCTATGTTCCTGTTCTCAAACCTTTCTTGGATTCCCTCCCCGCCCCATTCCACTGGAGGGTCGAGACACGCGAAGAGGCCCAGGGTGTAAATGATGGTGTGCACTCCCTCAATGAGGAGGGAGTACGAAATGGCCTTGTGCTAGCAGAAAAAGCGAAGGTTGTCGGCAACAATGCCTTCTCACAGAAGGACAGAAAGGCTGCTGTGAAAGCTTATGGAGAGGCTTTGAGTTGGCTCCTTGATGTCCTTGCCCAAAAGCCAGATACCGCCGACGAAGAAAAGGCCAAGAAATTACAGGCAGTATGCTATGCGAATCGGGCAGCTGCTTACCTCATTCCTGGAGAAGGCATCAATCTTAGAAAAGCTCTTCAAGACGGAAAGGACGCGGAGAAAGCTGATCCCGGCTATGCCAAAGCGTCTGTTCATTGATTTCTAGACGACTTTGATACTAAATATAGGGTTATTTTTTAGTTATGTCCGTCAAGCGACCGCCAATCAGCTTCTGGGGAAGAAGGACGACGCTCTGGACGCAATTGCGAGAGCATTGAGGTGCAAGGACTTGGAGAACGACACTGGTCTCGTCGACCGTTTTATCGAACTGATGACTGACGGCAAGGGACTGTCTGACGATGAAGCCACTTTCAAAAACTGGACTCTGGATGTGATGATTAACGATAGAAAGAGTTCCGAAAGGTTGAGCGACATCGAAGGCGAATGGAAGAGACGCTGCGACCAGCATCTCAGCAAATGGAAGCATTGATTTAGTTGTCGCGTCAGACGCGTGGTTGAGGTTAGCCTGATGGAACATATAAGAACCTTGTATTTTTTTTATCAATCCAATCTAAAGGATCTTTAAAAAGAGGATTAAGGACCCTTCAATTGGTCGTGCAACCTTCTGTCCATGTTGATCAAATCGGTCCATGCTGTTCGGTCCATGCTGTTATGATTCGGACGATGATGTCACCGAGTTACTCTTCTTCCACTCCCATGTCGAGGGTCCTCTTCCGCCCAAACTAGACCCCACGCAACGCCGCCTGCGAATGTGTCCTCATTCCAGTACCCATACCCTATGACCATCGCTTGACTGTTCCCGGGGGTTTCTCGGGGAGTCGGGTGGTATTGGACCGGGCCGTCTCGCAAAGTTCTTGTCAGGAAGCAGCGGGCAGGGATACTTCAATGTGACCTGCGAGCTTAGAAGGGAATTCCAGAGCAATGAAGAGAACTCTGGCCAATGTCCTATATAGCATACACGATATCTGAGAGTCTATCTCCGAAGCTGTCGCCTTTCTTCCCCCATGAAGTTCAACGACGGATTCTGGCGCCTGAAGCACGGTGTCAAGGCATATTATGGCCTCCAGGTAGTTCAGGTCAAGGCTATCGACACAGGATATGACCTGCAAGTGGCAACTCGCCCCATACAAAGTAGAGGCGATACTCTTGGAGGTGCGTTCTTTTGCCTCTACCCGATTGGGATGGCTGTAACACTTACGACAGGTCCTCTTCTGAGTGTTCGAGTGCATTCGCCAACTCAGGGAGTAATTGGCGTCAACATCGATCACGTCGTCAGCGAACAACCAAAGACGAACATAGGGCTTTTCCCCGACGACGGACCAGTGCCTGATGTTACTCTGTCGAAGGAGGACAAAACGCACACTTTGAAGACCGGCGATCTTACTGCCAAAATTACGGAGAATCCATACACGATAACTTTCAAGTCACCGAAACAAGTCTTGACTGAGGCAGGCTACAAATATCAGGCACTATACGAGGTTCCTTCAAAATGGACAACTTTGAGCGCCTCTCAGAGCTCCTCCCTTACTACTGACCCTCTTTCGAATCCGAATCCGACTCCGTTACCACCGATAATCTATTACATCAACTCGGAACTGAAAACTTCGCCTGGAGAATTGATCTACGGCCTCGGAGAACAATTTGGGCCTTTCGTGAAAAATGGTACAGTCGTGTTTTTCCAGTCGACTGTGGTGCTCATCCCGCTTCCTCAGGCCAAGCGGTTAGGATATGGAACCAAGATGGCGGGACCTCGAGCGACCAGGCGTATAAATGTGTTCCGTTCTATATCACCAACCGCGGCTACGGTGTCTTTATTAATCACCCAGGAGAGGTGGAAGTCGAAGTTAATTCAGAGAAGGTCAGCCGAGTCGGAGTGTCTGTCGCGGATTTTTCGTTGGAGTATTTCTTGATCTACGGGGAAACGCCATTGGAGGTGGGTTTCGCGAACGCGATATTACGGTCAGTCTAATGCAGGGTCTTCTAGATTCTGCAAAGATACACCAGGATGACTGGTCGACCCGCGTATGTTCTTCGCTGCTTCTGTCACTGCATTCTGCTCATCATCGCGGTACTGGAAATAGACTTTTGCCAAGTTGGACCTATGGCCTTTGGTTGTCAACTTCATTCTTAACCGATTATTCTACGGAAACCGTGTCAAGTTTCTTGCAAGGCATGCAAGAGCGTAACTGTCCTGTGCGCGTCTTCCATATAGATTGTTTCTGGATGAAGCAATACGAATGGTACAACACACATTTTTATACGGAATAAATATGCTAATTGTCTCCCTCAAGGTGCTCCTTCACATTCGACCCAGACAACTTCCCTGACCCAAAGGCTTACCTGGCTGAAATCAAAGAGAAGTATGGTGTCAAGATATGCTTATGGAGTAAGTAAACTCTCTTTGGCTGGTGCTGTAGAACGATTTAACGCGAAATTGTTCAGTCAACCCCTATATCTCCCAATTGTCGCCGATCTTCAAGGAAGGTGTAGAGGGCGGCTACTTCATCAAGCGGACAAACTGTACCGTCTGGCAGTGGGTATTTTGAGTCTCCCAGTCATTCTTTGCCTAATGCCTCTCGTCCAGATGGGATTTATGGCAACCTGGGCTTGCCGTCGTGGATGTCACGAACCCAGACGCAAGGAAATGGTACACGGATAAACTGTCAGCTCTTATTGACCTCGGAGTCGACGCATTCAAGGTCAGCTCATGACAGGTTTTTTGTACCATTCTGACTCTGTTATCACCTCGCCAGACGGATTTCGGAGAGCGCATCCCTCACGCCAACGTTGTCTTCCACGACGGTTCCGAGCCCATACGCTTCCACAACACTTACTCCGTCGTCTACAATGAGCTGGTGTTCAACCTCCTCAAAGAGCGCTTTGGCGAGGGTGAAGCCGTTGTCTTCGCCCGTTCGGCGACCGTTGGAGGCCAGAGGTACGGCCCTTGCTTCCCACCCGCATTTCTTGTGGATCTAAATATGTTTCCTTGCTGTATGATAACTGGTTAGATTCCCAGTACATTGGGGAGGTGACTGCGAGTCGACGTGGGAGGCGATGGCTGAAGCCATGCGCGGTGCCCTATCTTTGACTTTATCGGGCTTCGGGTATGCGTCGCATGATATCGGCGGCTTTGAGGTCCGTCAAACATTCATCATGAGTTTGGAATGTGGTTTTAACGGTGGCTGCGTTGGCAATATTAACAGGGCCTCCCACCCCCGGAGATCTACCAGCGCTGGGTCGCCTTTGGTCTGTTCTCATCGCACTCGCGGCTGCACGGGTCCTCGTCCTACCGCGTTCCCTGGATCTACGGGGAAGACGCCGCGAAGAGCATGTCCAAGTTCTTGGAGGCGAAACACCAGTTGATGCCATACATTTACAATCTGGTCAGTCGTACCTCCTTTCTTTCTCCGTTCTCTCTGTCTTCTTTCCTATTTCTTCTGTGTTTTTTTGGTCCTGCTGCGGATGGGTATGCTGACATCCTTCTTTCGTGTTTCGTGAATGGACGTGACACCCATGACAGTCAATTGAAGCGAATTCGAAAGGCCACCCGTTGATGCGAGCGATGTTCCTCGAGTTCCCTGATGATCGAACTACGCATTATCTCGATAGACAGTTTATGTTGGGTAAGTCGTGTCTCGTGTTTCGTCTCTCTCTCCTTGCCTCTTTCGAAAACATGCTGACGGAAACCTTTTGAATTTTATTTTATTTTATTTTGCCAATCATACACACCTATAGGCCCAAACCTCCTCGTCGCCCCTGTCTTCGTCCCACTCAAGGAAGAGACGGAATATTACCTTCCCGCGGGGCGCTGGACGAGCTTCTTCCACCCCGAGCGCACGATCGACGGACCCAAGTGGGTGCGCGAGGTCGTCCCGCTCGACGAGGTCCCGCTCTGGGTGCGCCCTGGCTCCGTCCTCGTCCTCGGCCCCCCAGGCATCGGTCGGCCGGACTATGATTATACCAAGGACCTGGAGGTAAGGGTGTATGAGTTGGAGGAAGGTGGTGTTGTGAAGGTGGATGTACCAGCTGGAAAGGGAAAGGTGATGGCAGGGAAGGTGGTTGCTGAGAGGAAGACGGGGGAGGAAGGTGTGCAGGTGAAGAACGAGGGGGTTGAGGTGAAGAGTGTGTGGTATTCTGGTCAGGCGCCGGGGTCCATCTAGGATCACGGGGGTGATAGGCGCCCAAATGAAAAATGAAATAATCAAGCATGTAATATAGTCGTTTATCTGATATCAGAATGCGAAGTTTCTGTGACGGTTTGCATTTGCGTTGAGACATTCAAATTCTAGCGTCTATTTATCTCTTCCTGGGAGCTTTGCGATCCGGACTTAGGGATTGAATTAGACGGAACGTAACGTTCCTTTTGCGTGAAGCAAAAGGGACATCCATTTTCCACAGAAATCTTCTCTCTCGGACACGCCCATACTCAACGGGCATCTTACGGGCCCAGACAAAAATATTCCACCTCCTCCATTGAGGGTTACGTTCAGCCCACTGCTATCAATAATAGCGCCACGAATCGAATTCCATGAGGGTCAGAATCCGAGACGCCCAACTGTGATTGATTCGTACATCCAGCAGGCTGCCATTGTGATCAACTGAATGTAAGTGTATCGATATCATGATGTGGCCGCAGCAGGAGTCCTGGTCCGTGAACGTGAATGTGAACGCGCGTCTACATCTCCGGGACCCGACTATGCCCTCCTGGAAGGTGGGTATTTTGGATAGAGATTGGAAAACAAGTTAAGGAAAAAAGACTCGTGGTTGGAGGGAGGTTCCTCTTCCTCTTCCAAGGTGCGAGAGGGTGCTGGCCACGGGTGTAGCTTACTGAGCACTAGTGAGATTTGCGACCTCTGCGCATGTAGCACTACTCTCCGAGGGCTGCCGACGCGGGAAAATAGGTCATTGATGCTGACGGAGCGGCAGCCTGAGCCAAGCTGGGGGACTCGAGACATACGGGAATAGACGGGAATATTCGAGGAGCGTTGAGGAGCGAGGAAGCAAAGGTGGTGCCGGCGAGGGCGGCGGTGGCGCACGTCCGAACCGATCGCTGAGTGGGTCTGAGTTTGGTGCTGACCCGTCCGTGGACCGTGACTGACTCTGGCTGCGCGCCTGCGCCGGCAAGCGCGGAAGCGCGCGTGCGCATACGCGTATGCAGGCGGCGGCGTCAGCGACGGAGCGTCAGCGCCAGTGTGTTCTTACGCGTCGGAGTTCGGTGTGGCTCACTAGAGCTAGCAGAGTCGACAAGACCCGCGTTGCGTATGTCACGGACTGAGTGGCGCAGTCCTTTGTGCCTGGAATGGTAAATCGGGTTACGCCGGTGCACCCGGAGGTTCCCCGGCGAGACCGCGCGGCTATAGAAATGAGGGCGAGTGGAGGCTGGAATATGCTGGAATTTATGCCAGGGCAGATGTATTTCGCGCGTCTGAATGAGCCGTTCGTACGTGATATTATTGCGGGCAGGACCATAGCCGAGCTGAGGTCGTCAGCGCAACTTGCAAGGAAGGTCGGAATGGAATGGGCTGCGCCGCGCTATGTGTTGTGGTACATTCTCGACTCTGTCTGCGGCGGGAAGGATGATGAATGAAATTCGTGTGCAAGAGACGCTCTTGGTACTATGTGTACACACCTCAAAGCTAAGCGCGGTCAATAAAAAACACGAGGAGGTACTGTGCTCGTTTATGAGGTAAAATGGCAAGGGTATACATCAGGCTCGCTGGTCAAAATGAATGGGAAATCGGAAGGTGTACACACTGTGTAGTGCAAGGAAGGGTATGCTGTTACCTATCGCGAGAACAGCATCCGGATGGACAAGGACAAGAGAGCGACAGCTGAGCGCAACATCGGAAAGGATGGGCAACGACGGGCATGATTATCGGGCTGGAGGTAATTGATCCGTCGTGACTGGTGCTGCGGAGAAGCGAACGGAGCATGGGCCGGACATGTGAGTGTCGGGGATGGCCTGCGCAGATGGGTCACGTGAGTGATCGAACAGTGCTGCGGAACTGGATTGGGAAGGCGTCTTGGCAGCTGGAGATTGAGCGAGTTGGACATTCGACTGCGCACGCCGCTCCTCTTTTTTCGCAGTCGCCCTTCTTTTCCTCTTCTTGCCACCAACCATGTACGTCGAACAACACCCTCTCGACAGCAAACCCTCCAGAAAGGGCAAGGAGCGCGAGCCACCAACTCGCGATCTCCCATCCCGCGACCCCCAGCCCACAGATCTAGACGAGAAACTCACAGCGCTACGCAGGCGCACAGCAGCGTAAGCCACCCGAACCACCTTTATATTCCCCCGCTCACATTTATTCAATAGTAGCACCCGCCCGCGAGACAGATCAGAACGAGAACGCATGCAGCTCGTACAACCTAATCAGCCGCTCTCGGCCCCCAGCGCAACCCAACCCACGCCCTCCTCGTCATTTCTCGTTCGTCCAGAACGCTCCCCAAAGCTCGCCCCCTCATCATCAGCGACGAGGCAACCCCCCTCCTCGCCGCGCCGTGCATCGCCTCACGTCATAGTCTCCCGGCCGACACAGGAAGCCGACCATGAGGACTTCTCCCGTAGGCTCAAAATCTCAGGCTCTCCCATCCTCCGGCCCTCCCAGGCAGCTCAGAAACGAGGCGCATCCTCAAAACTCTTCAACCCAACCCCATCCCGCTGCGCCGGACACTTGAGCCTGAGGTCATGTCTGATCACACTGGCAGCTCATACGTCCCCCGTGCATCTGGCGCTGCCAGCCATCGAGAGGAGAGGGGTAGCGCTGCTCGCCAGCTCTTTGATCATCGCAAAGACGATCCCGTACGCTTCGCCGTCCTCGCCCGGCCCCAGGTTGGACACGGGCGACCAACACCGACTCCCAAAGCCTCCGCAGATCATGTATCTGCCTCTTCGACATCATCGTATGCCGCCTCCATTTCCTCCTCGACATTCACTCTCTCCTCCACGACCGATGGCTCTTCGGCGTCTTCGGCGTTGTTCGAAGGTCGTCCAAACCAGGGCCAAGGGACGGAAGACTCTGGTAACAACGTCTTCTCAATTCAACTCAAGAAGCTGTATCGTGCCATCTCAAATCTGGAAACGAAGATCAAGCAAGAGGATTCGATGGATGAGGCAGAGGACGGTATGAACAGCAGAGTCATGTTGAAGGGGAAAGAAGTGGAGAGTGACGAGTTGGAGAGGGAGAGATGGAGAAAACAGATCAGCGATCACAAAGAGTGAGTCGCGCACTATCTTATCGTCTATTGCTGTTGGTCTGACGCCAACTCCAATCTCTTAGATTGGCTGAGATCATGCATAATCTCCTCGAGATTTCGCTGGCGCCATCCGTGCCGGCCTCTCTGCGCAACATCCCAACAAAGTACAACATCATCGTGCGACTCTGGACATATGCCTTCCACAAACTTCTCGAATCACTGCGCCGCGCATCTTTCACTTCCCCTCTCGCCCTCGAACATTTACAGGATTTCATTTACTACGCATACACCTTCTACACAGGCCTTCTAGAAGAGCCCACTCTCAATTCGTTCAAGTCGGGATGGCTGGAGGCCCTAGGCGACCTCGCGAGGTATCGGATGGCCGTAGCTGCCATGGTAAACGGGGGCGTAGGAGGGCAAGGCGGCCTCACGACGAAGGCCTTATCCGAAGCGGCCGCCGGGTCCGACAGCAAGCCCTCAGCAGAAAAGGCTGGCTCCAGCGGATCCAAGTCTCTGAGCGACTATCCGGCCGCCCGAATCGATGACAGCCCCTCGCCAAGCATTGGGGTCGCAGCCGCTCGTCTGCTGGAGATCGAGCCAGAGAAGGAGCGCTGGAGGAACATCGCGCGGGATTGGTACGGTGCAGGTCTCGCCGAACAGCCCGGCACCGGGAAACTGCATCACCACCTTGGGCTGTTGTCAAGGGAGGTGGAAGGTGAGGAGTTGCGAGGAGTGTACCACTTTGTGAAGAGGTATGTAATCTGTTGCGTTGCGTGCCTAGGGCAGGACTGATATAGCCTAGTATGACAACACTCCACCCGTTCCCGACGTCGCGCGAGTCGGTGCTCCCGATGTGGTCACAGGCCGCCCAGGCGAGGAGGCAGAACCCCGAGGCGCATGCCTCGGAACTCTTCATCCTCCTGCACGGCATGCTGTTCACAAATATCCAGCTCGACGACTTCAAGCCCACCCTCGCCCGATTCATCGAACGCCTCGAGATCGAAGGTGCAGAGGAGCGCGTCTGGATCATGATGGCCACCATCAACGTCTCCGCCGTCCTCGAGTACGGGCGGCCAAGCGGCATGCTGAGGAAAGTCGGCGGTGTTGGCTCGAAGGACATCAACGGCCCACAGGCGGCCGCTGCCATGCGCGTTATGGCGAAGAAGGCGGCTGCTGGTGTTCCGGGCTCGATGCCCGTCGATGAGGAGAGGATGGATGTTGACGAGAACGGCGATAGTGTTATGAAGTCGCCAACCCTCCCGAGCGCGGATTCCGAGAATCTTAACGACGACCTCCCGCCTGCTTTCAAGTTTGCGCTCGAGCTCACCTTCGCCATGCTCTCCCATGTCCTGAAGCACCCCACTCGCAAGGCCTCGCAATATTCCAGCTCCACGCTCAACCCCTACCTCCCTGTCATCCTTACCTTCCTCTCCACCGTACTGAAGCACAAACCCACACTCGAGCTTCTCGAGCGCAGCATCCCCTGGGCAGAGCTTGCCGCCTTCTTCGCCACTGTCCCCCGCAAGATAATGATCTCGCAAGGCCTCATGAGCCCCCCAGATCGCCCCAACTCCCATCGGAACGTCGAGCGCTGGGTGATGCTTACGAGTGGCTGCCCGCCACCCCTGCCCGAAGACTGGTGTATGCGTGGTATGGAGTGGGTCGGACGCAAGGTCTTCGAGCGCGGGTTCTGGAAGAGCGGCGAGGAGCGCAAGGCTGAGCTTGAGGTCCTCCAGACGGTCGAAGGTGGCGAGCTGACAGACGGTCAGATCGAGGACGACGATGGCGAGGAGGATGGAAGGCGGAAATCGTCCTCGACGTCGTCGGGCAGCGATCTGGTCAGGCGATACGTGCGCATCATCCGCTGCGCCGTCAACATTGCAGGCACTGTTGAAGGCTTCAGCTGGACAGAGGGCACGCGCGAGTGGAAGGTCGAGGGCAAGCTCGCGGAAAAGGTAGCGCTGTGGAGGGAGGAAGAGAGGATTGAGCGAGAGGAGGAGGAGAGGAGGCGGATGGGCAGGCGGTGGGGTGACGACCCTATGGATGTGGATGAGGAGGAGGATGATAGTGTCTCGGAGGCGAGCGAGGACGACGAGAATGATTCGGAGGAGATCAAGAACCTGAAGGTGTGTTCTCGTGTCTTGGATACTTGCAGGATTTTAATCTCCTGTTATTTTCGCTTAGGCACGCCGCAGGTACTTGAAGAGTCTTCTCAAAGCTGGCTCTATGGGCACTTCATCTCCTCGTCGTGCTCGTCTCCCGAGGTCTTCGAGAACAGCTGCAGATTCAAGGCCAAAGCTTGCCATCCTCGCCGGATACACCAACCTCGTCGTCGACACCAACATCCTCCTCTCATCCTTGGCCATGGTCTCATCACTCGTCGAAAGCCTTTCCTGGACTGTCATTATCCCTCTTCCCGTTATCATGGAGCTCGACGGCCTCTCGTCGAACGCCTCTCAGCTCGGCGAAGCCGCCCAAGCTGCCATGTCCTACATCTCTTCGCACATCCGCTCGCATGCCCTCTCGCTCAAGGTGCAAACATCGAAAGGCAACTACCTGACGACGTTGAGCGTACGCACGGAAGAGATTGACTTCGATGGTCAAAATGCGGAGAAGTGTATGGACGACCTCATCCTCAAGGCTGCTATCTGGCAGGACGATCACTGGGTCGATCGCTCTGCCCTCCTTCACGCAGCGCCGGTTTCAGCTGAGGAGACGAAGAACGCAATTAAGGTTGTTCTTCTCAGTTTGGATCGAAATTGTACGTCTCATCTCTTCATGATCATGTTTTCACATTTGCTAATTACTTCTTTCTTTCTTCTAGTGCGCCTGAAAGCACGTTCGAGGCAACTGCCCGCCGCGAGCGAGAAGGATTTGGCGTCCATCCTCGCTGCTGCGACATAAACATGAAATCATTCAGTCTCGTAACCTCAATGATTTCATGTTTATGCCACATTGCATACTTCGGCAATCGCAGCAGGAAAGGACCTCTTTCCGCCCTCTCACGCCGCTTTCATAGGTCTCGTAACGGCCGCGCGGTGTCATGGCGGTCTTTGGAGTTCCTTCGACCTAGTCGCTTCCACGCGGACAAAAACGACTCGCCTTGCTTCGCCACACAAAAGCATCTACCCGCTGGGAACATTTGGCTATGCGCACTACTCTAACCGTTTGGACGGATCCGCTCTTTCTTAGCATTAATTTATCCCACTCACACAATGCGCAACCTTCGTTCGCATCGCACATACGTTCATACCCATCGTCGCTCTCTATACCTTGTTTCTCTTCATGTCTTCCTTCGTTATTTACCCCATCTGTCGCTCCTTTCTTAGGTCTTTATTGTTGTACTATTGGTGTACAAAGTATTCTATCTACGCAGAATAAAAAAGCATCTTGAAATTCAGACGAAGGATGTGAATGGGCATTACTTATTGGTGAATTATGTGGGATAGATAGACAGCGAGTGTGGGATCGAGACTAGATATATGTACTAAGCTTAGACTGAAGCACCATTCCCATTCCGTGGTGCTTCCATAGATGACTTCGTTGGGTCCACCCTCGTGGTATTTTGGTCGAACTCCTCTTCTTCCTCGGCCAATAGGTGGGACGCTTGTGAACGTGCTTCGAGTGTTGCTGCGGGAATAGGAGCATACGCAGCTTCCCTCTCCTGCCGGAGTTGGCGCGGCAACAAAATGTATCCGGTGAAGTATGCAACTGGCAGGATCTGATTGGAAGATTTAGTTATACTTAGACTCTTATCACCATTGAGAGGTTTGACGCACCACTGTCCATGCCGTCCATAGCGGCCAAGCCCAGGGTGAGATAGGTCCACGGTTTGTGAGTGTTTCCCACCACTCAAGTCCACTTCGAACCTGAGTATGATGGTAAGCAACGCCGTAAGTTATGCATAAAGGGTCACATACTTGGAAGAGCGACAGTCCAATTATTGATACCCCGAGACAAATATGCACGATGTTCAATGGAGGATGTGGCTGAGTGATGGGCCCGAGCTTCGCAACCCTCATGCGCCTGTTGTGGATGTAACGCCCAAGCAAGACCTGAGCGTAGTAAATGAACAGCAGGATCATTCCACATATCTAAATGTCATACCGTCAGTCAAACTAACTCAGGGAAGGGTAAAGATGCACCGCACCTCATGAGCATTGGCAAAATGAATCCTGAATGATTCTTTCGAATACACGATGACTGGGCCGAGCAGGACTCCTAGAGTTATGGCGGGCATTGCCAACACCATGTTCGAGATCCAATGAGCCCTGAACCATAGGGGAGTGAACACCCTTCCCCAGCGCCCAATCAAGGAGCCGGCAGGGAGTAAGACCAGAAATCCGAGAGAGACGAGGAAACCATGGAGAATTATGAATTTTTCCACCCTCTTGTAGGGTGCATTGACTCCTGGTTCGATCTTTCCAGGTGTATTTGGCTTCTTGGGCTTTGTGGGATCGACGAATTCTTTCGTGAGGTCGAATGTCAAATGTCCAGCGATTTGATGCCGAGGAATGGGAGCGTCGGGATCGCTTGAGCCAGGACCCGCCTCCGAGTACGCAAACACGAGAGGCTCTCGGGGATCACTGCTCTGCAGCAACGTCTTGTTCGCTGGGATATGAAATGCGAAGGTTGTTGTGTAGGAGGGGTACGTCTATTTATAGACTTGAGCGGGGACAGGATCATTAGGTCATGGAACGGGACGCACAACATATTTCTTGGGCTCAGAAGTGACTGCCTTGCGGGGTGGATCTTGAACGGGTTGGGGCATACGATATGAGTCTGTATACCGCTGGGATAGTGTGGTGCTGCCGTCACCGTTCTTCCACATAATGACCGAATGGGTGGGGACCATTCGGAAGCCGAATCCACTGGTTTGGAGACACGCTTTGAGTGGAAAGTGACGTGCACAGAAGCGAGTGAGAACTTACAGTGCCACCCATCCCGTATGTGGGACCATTGGGGTGAGCTCGTCTGCAAGGCGGGTTAAGACCGCCCATGGGATATCCAGCATAGCACTCACAATGCACATCATCTCCTTCCACCGTTGCAGTCACACAAACTGAGGACACACAGACCGCATCTCCTTTGAGAGCCCACGAGAGAGGCAAGGAAGCAAGAGCGAGTGGTAGGACGCGCATATAGGGCGCGAAATTGACCATCGTAGTGAGTGGAAGGGAAGAATGGGCTATTGGGCATTACGAATGGCTATCACCCGCATTTATCATCGGCGACGTCGATTATGGATGGAACACGTTTCCCGGGTCTGTTTGCACAGTCTAAACCCATTAGCTGTGAGAAGATATGTACCTGGATGTCTACGAAATTGATGTGATTCCCAGCGGAAGGTGGTTCCATAACGGCAGGGAACGCCTAAACAGGCAAACCGCTCGTCATTCTGTATCCTCCCGACGACCTTTGTCGTCCGCAGCAAGGCTTCAGTGCGCATCTTCGCGGAAATTGATCTCAGAACGCCGACGAGACGGCGAGAGATGGTCGTCCATGAACAAGTTCTTGTGATTTTGAATCTAATACACATCGACCCTGCTTATGACACACGTGACTGTCTGCCAATCTTATCAATGCCATTACATTTTCTCGTTCAACCTTCACTCGAAGATCCAAGACTCCAAGGCGCTAGTGTATTGCACAACGCCCTCAGGGAACCAACTATGAACGGAAAGAATCAGAACGTGTGCCATGGAACAAGAAGACAGAACTTACAGAGCGATCTCCTTCTCGGCACTCTCTACAGAGTCAGAACCATGGCAGATGTTACGGCCAACGGCAAGACAGAAGTCGCCACGGATCGAGCCTACAAAGAGATACAAATAAGCTAGTGTAGCTTCAAGGACCCATGGCGCGGTCACTCACCGACAGGGGAGCCGAGAGGGTTGGTAGCACCGAGCATGACGCGACCAGTCTTGACGGCATCGAGTCCTTGCCAGACCATCGCGACAACAGGTCCGGAGGCCATGTACTTGATCAAGCCAGGGAAGAAAGGCTTTCCCTTGAGATCAGCGTAGTCTAATATACCACAAAGAAAAGAGAGAGGTCAGACAATGCGATGAGATTGCGTGACTGATATAGCGCGATTGCGCGACGCGACCAGTCTTCCAAATGGTAAATGGACGTACGCTTCTCGAGGTGCTCGGGAGTGGATTGGACAAGCTTGAGGGCAATGAGCTTGTAACCACGCTCCTCGAAACGCTGGATGATCTTGCCAACGAGACCGCGTTGAACGCCGTCAGGCTAGGGAGAACGCGTCGATTAGATAACGTGAGCGACAAGAAGGCCTAGGATCTCACCTTGATCATGATGTAGGTGCGCTCGGTGACGGACATTGTGAATGTGAACGAGGTGGCTGGGTGAAGGATAAGCTTGAAGAAAAGGAGGCAGCGGTGCTGGAGATTTTTATAGGAGTGTTCACTATCGACAATCTTGTCGATCTACGATATCTGCCACATGCCAAATACAGCCAAATAGACCCGCGGAAACGTCCGGGTCAACTTTGCTCAACCTTATAGAACACAAGTACTTACACCAATTTCTCTAATAATGTTCGGTCCTCTGGGCTTGTCGCTCGCTCCGTATGTTCAGTCCTCGCGGACGCTCTCCAAGTGGATCACACCCGTTGCCAACTGGTACGTCAACGCCGCTGGGTACCGCAAGTATGGCTTCAAGTACGACGACATCTGTACGCGCTCCGAGTTCCATTGTGTTCAGGACATATTCGCTCATTTCCTCTTACAGTGGTCGAAGAAAACCCAACTGTACAACGGGTAAGTGGGAACCGGCCTGTCATTTCCCGCCATAATATTTGATCTTGTCATTAGGCCCTGACCCGCCTCACTCCCCGTGAAAAGTATGACCGCGCCTACCGTTTGAAACGCGCTTCCCAAGCCAGCGTTCTGCATGCACCCTTGCCTAAGGAGCTATGGATAACGGAGGCTGAAGTACGTGGCTTATGCCCACTGGTTTGGAACATTGTTTCACATTCGCTTGTTACAGGATGTCCGTTACCTCAGGCCTCACGTCGAAGAGGTGGCCAAGGAGGAGGAGGAGCGCAAGAAGTGGGATAATCTTATCGTTCAGAGGAAGTAGGCTACCAACTAGAGACGCCTTGATGCGCCTACCGAGAAAATTCATCGCTATTCTGTATTCCGCTGCTCCGAGGGTCTCCGTCCAGTTCAACGAAGGAAGCAACATCTACAGGTTGAGTTGGAAAGCTCATAAACCCATGTCCGGCTTGGTCAGACCAATCAAAAGTCTGTCATTGGCTGAACTACATATTGAATACACAAATGCTCTACGAATTCGTTTTTTCTAGTCCATCATTCCTAAAAACTGTGAAGTGCTGATACAATTTAGTTTACAGGGCCTTGACGAGGGGGGAAACGACCTCGCCACCCCTCTTCTTGTAGAAGTCGACGACCTTCTTGCCAACGGCAGCGATGTCTACGTGGAGGAGATTTGTGAGCTAGGGCGGCACCTCTTCTCAATTATGACTTACTGGAACCAGTGATACCAAATTTCTCGTACACCTTCTGGTACGGGCCAGATGCTCCCCAGGCGGGCAATCCATATTGCTACAACGGAGACCATGGTCATCACTTTGGTGACGTCGAGCTCGCGGATGGACATACCTCATGGCTGTATTTCTGCCATCCGGCAGTCGAAAGAGCCTCAAGCGACAAGATAGGCGCGCCGCTCCTCAGAACACTGAGCCTGTACTCCTCGTCCTGCTGGTCAAACGTCAGCCAGGAAGGCAAGCTGACAATGCGAGTCTTGATGCCCTCTGCCTTAAGCTTGCTTGCAGCTTCGAGTGCGATAGCGACTTCACTTCCCGTGCTGACGATCGTGAGGTCCTCGTTTGTCTCGTCGTGCAGGACATAACCACCGCGGGCGGCCTTCTCGATGGTCGAACCCTCGAGGTTCGGCAAGTTCTGCCGGGACAGAGAGAGGATGGAGGGGGTCTTCTTGGACTTGAGAGCCACGAGGTAAGCAGCGGAAGTCTCATTGCCGTCAGCGGGGCGCCAGAAGGCAACATTGGGAGTTGCGCGAAGGGCAATGGCGGTTTCGACCGGTTGGTGGGTGGGGCCGTCCTCGCCCAGACCGATAGAATCGTGAGTCGCTTCACATCAGGGTCAGTTCTCTGATACTGGAGGTGGGATGTTGCTACTTACCGACCCAGATAACTTGATGCCCGCTGAGAGCTGACAACCTCACGGCGCCAGAAGCATAAGAGACGAAATTCTACGAGAAAGTGATCAGCTTTCAGACCCGCGTAAGGCAAGAAAACATACCAAGAAGGTAGCAACGAAGGGGATGATACCACCATAAGCAGACAACCCGTTAGCAATAGCTCCCATGGCGTGCTCACGAACGCCATAGCGGATATATGTACCGGCGTAATTTCCAAGGCCAGTGGTCGGTGGTTGGAAGTCGACCGTGCCCTTCACCTTGGTCAGGTTCGAACCAGTCAAATCAGCAGATCCACCCAGAAGTTCAGGAAGGCTTGGGGTAATGGCAGTGAGGACTATTTCTGAAAGCTTGCGAGACGCCTGTGCAGCGTCAGTGGGCTTGTAGACGGGAAGGGCCTTCTCCCAGTTCTCCGGCAGTTCGCCAGCAATACGCCGGGTCAGCTCAGCATGCTCCTTGGGGTATTTCTTGCCATAAGCCTCAAGAAGGGCAATCCATTCCGACTCCAAAGCAGCACCGCGCTTGCCGAATTCCCCATAGTACTCATAGGTAGCTTTGGGCACCTGGAAGGTCTGATCAGGAGCAAAATTGAACTTCGCCTTGAGGGCCTGGACATCATCCGCCTTGAGGGCTAAGGCGACCATTAGAATGACCAGCCTTTTCTGAATATAAATACTTACGAGCACCATGAACGCCATGAGTTCCCTGCTGCTTGGAGCCGTACCCAATTGTCGTCCTTAAGCGAATGAGGGTAGGTTTGTTCTTCTCCTGGCGGGCTATGGCGATGGCATCGTGGATCGCAGCTAGGTCACTGCAAATAAGTCAGCGTACGCATTTGGCTTATTATTATTTTCAATCATTCACTTACGCATCTCCGTTATCAACATGTAGCACCTGCCAGCCATAAGCAAGGAAGCGCTGCTCCACGTTCTCGGTGAAAGCAACGGCAGTGTCTCCATCAATCGAGATGTCTAGAAGAAAAGATTAATTCGAGAATGGTATATGTACCATCTTCGACTCACGGTTGTCGTCGTAGATCTGAGGAAAGGTCAACCAGTGACAAAACTTCTCATAACAACATACGCACGACAATCAAATTTCCGAGCTGGAGATGACCACCCAAGCTGGCAGCCTCGCTGGCGACACCCTCCATAAGGCACCCGTCACCAGTGAAAACTAGGAGGATGAGCCAACGTCCGGTACGAAGAAAAAAGAAAAAGCGTACCATAGGTGTAGTTGCTGATCAAATCAAAACCTTCCTTGTTATACACAGCAGCAAGGTGCGCCTGAGCAATGGCAAGACCGACACCGTTGGCAAATCCTTGACCAAGGGGACCAGTAGTAACCTCGATACCTGCAGAGCCCTCCGATATGAACGGCGACTCCAATCTGTAGAAGCAAAGATTTCATACCATCAGTGTGATTTGCCTCGGGGTGACCTGGAGTCTTGGAATCAAGCTGACGGAAAGCCTTGAGGTCGTCCAAGGAGAGCTTGTAACCAAGAAGGTGAAGAAGGACGTATTGGAGTGCGCATCTAAATTTGGAGATCACCTCAACGCGTCGCCGGGCCAGAGTGATCTCGATGCACTTACGCGTGTCTACAGTCCAACAGTCATGTCAGCAAAGAGGATTGGCCGTATAAAGAGAGGACTGACCCATTGGACAAGACGAATCGATCGCGATTGAACCACTTGGAATCTTTGGGGTTGGCGTTCAGGAAGCTATCGTTAGCGCGATCAGCAAGAGCGATCCTTTAGTGAATTCATTATCGCGCACGAACCGCGAGAAAAGAACATGAGCGACTGGCGCCATGCCCAGCGGGGCACCTGATAAGGTGCTGTGGGTCAGATATCACGCGAATGACGCGTAGAGTGTGAGACCGACGGACCAGGGTGACCTGAGTTGGCCTTGCCGACAGTGTCGACGGCGAGGGTGCGGATAGTGGCGATGGAGACATCGTCGGCGGGGTGGGTAACGAAGGAGGGCATGGTGGGTTGGGAGAAAGACGTGACGAGAGAAATTTGGGAGAACCGAGTGATCACTACGCCGTCATGACTTAGCGATGGGGATGGACGGGCGAGCTCCTTATCTAATCACCCCATTATCCCATCGGCGAACAATGCCGGTCGGATCCGGAGCCGCCAGTTCCCGTCTTTCTCTTTCCAGTACTTTTTGCTCATTCTCCTCCCTGACCTGGGAACAATGCACCCTCAGCTGTCTGACAAAAAGCTTGGTCAGTACTCATGATATGAAGACACCTGATTGCTAGCTAATTTGTCGGCATTGATTAGTCTGCAAGGAGTTCATCCAAGCTCTCGAGCAATGTCATGCAGGCGGGTGGACTAAGTTCGTTGGCGCCTGCAATAGGCAAAAGGACGAGTTGAACCATTGCCTGCGGTCCGAGGTAATTCCTGGAAGGCTATGCCTACATTGACTCGCTGACATTCAATCTCAGCGTCTCACGAGAACTGCCCACAATCGTGAAATGGCCAAGGAGCGCAATGCGAAGACGGAACAGGCTTTGCGCGAATTCCGTGCTCTGTGATGTTCCGCGACATTGGCCACTTCTTCTCCCAGCCTTGCACCATTCTTTCGCCAGCTTTTGTACTTATAACACCGCTCCAATCAACTTGCATTGCCATCTCCTCGTCCAGAGTTCCGTTTCCTTCCGTTATCGACATCGGTCCACTTCATTCTGGCCGCCTTTCATCTTCCACGGCACCACATCTGACAGACTGGCTATGGACTATTCCGCCTACCGCACTGTCGACCTCGACCTGAAACAATGGCGTTTTCAGGCCAGATCCAGACTACAATTACAGGGCCAAATTTCGTTCTCGACCAACCCTCCAATTCTTTGTCAACCCTTCACTTTTCACCATGCATGGTGACCACCGCTTACGAGAATGCTACGCTGTATCAGCGAGAGCATGACTTCGACCCAGGACCCGTGACTTACTCGCTACCTGTGCAGAAGCTGGACGCGTCGCTGGCTAACCATACAACGACACCACGCATCTCGTCTGGACGACCAATACGTCCCATCGGGTTCAGGCTAGACCACTTGTCCAGAAGGTGTGGTTGGGTGTCAAGATACGCCGCTGTCATCCTGGCCGAGGCACCTCAGTGTTTCTGGCCCAACAAAGGCAGAGGAAAGTACAAACGAGGTGTAAATGTGCCCAGGTGACAATGAATTGACTCGAATGTTCTCCTTGCCTAATTCGCATGCCATACTCCTTGCCAACTGCAGCACGGCAGATTTGCTCGTATTGTAGGAGACCCAGGCATGGTCCTACAGGTATCAGCGACGCTGTCCGCACTTCTCGGAGACGAATACACCTACTTTGTTTGTGATGCTTCCAGACATGGACGCAATTAGGATGATGCTACCTCCATCACCGAACCTTCGCATTTGCTGCCCTGCGGCCTGGGCAGTGTACAGGACACCGTTGGTGTTTACATCCAACACCTACAAGAGAAAGATTTGAGCAAAATTCAGCACCTTCAATCCCACCAAATTCAGACCTCTTTGAACTGTTCTGACGGGTATGTCAAGCAATCAGTATGCGACTTCAATATCCCAGCAGCTGCAATGCAGAAGTCCATCCTCTGCTCTTTGTCCCCGATTTCCTTTCCCTTGTCCCACACCGCCTTCTGGTCACGCACGTCGATGCTGACATATTCCAGTTTCGATCCATTTCCAAGATTCTGCACGTAGTCGCGAGTCTTCATCCATTCATCCGAAGGAGACGCCGGCAGGTCGAAGCAATAGACCGCTCGGGCACCCGCCTCACATAATGCGAGCGCCATTTCGAGGCCAAGGCCCCTGTTCCCTCCAGAGACGATGCCAACGCGATTGCTCAGTGCGAACTCATCGAAAATCTTGGGTTTGGGCTTGAAATTGGGGTCTTTGGCTGCTTCAAGAGCTGCAGTGACGCCAAGCGGTGCTAGGGGAGAGATCGACTGGGCTGGGGAAGACATGGTTGTTGCTGGGAGAAAGAAGGCTATCTCTTTTACTTGCCCTGGGAGCCTGCATTATTTTAAGTTACTCAAGTCCTCAGCTGACCTTCTCAAGAGGTGAGTGTACGGCCATGCTGGACTTCACATGTGCATAGTTTACGGACCGGGTTTAGAGTAATTATAGATAATCGGCAAGTATACAAGCAGGTAATATTACAGCCAAGGCACCTCATTAGTACAAGTAAGAGCAGATGCGTCGGATCCGGGACTGGGTAGGATATACGGCTTCCCTCGAAAAGAGACAGGAGAATAAAAGAACGGTAGAGCGGAAGCCTAAGTCTTGACCTTTGGGACGTGGATAATCCACGGTGCTATCTTCGCATTGAGAGTTCTGAGAAGTGAGGCACCGTATCGAGTTGGCAAGTCCTGTCCTCCCCATTGGTCTACCAGCCGGATAATGCGTTCATTCTCGTCTAGATCTACGATGATAATTGACTCAATGACCTACAGGGATGCATCAGCGGACACCAAGGATAGTATTGGAAAGAGGGCGAACCTTCTTCTTCTTCAAGAACTTTGTGGTATACTCCTGAGTCTGAGAGTATATCAGGCGATTTGGGTTATCTGTGGACGACATGACGCGCTTCGATATCTGTTCCGATTTGGAGAATAATTTCGGCTAAGGGCGATATGAATGAGCAATTATAACCCAATAGAACGGGGTTCAAACATACCAGAGCAAACCACTGCAGCGAAGAGGGAGTGTTAGACTTCATGAAGTATGTTGGAACAGTAGCCACTGACCTGCGCAGCAAATTCATTAAATCCTTTGCACTTGCACAAAGGATCCTAACGGCATGTCAAACTCTGATAAACGCAAGGAGGCACTATACATATGCTTACCTCAAACACCGCATCCTTGCTCCATGACCTCTCCAAGATCTCCAAAGTCGGTCGACAGCAAAATAGTTCGGTTAAGTCGTCCAAAACACGCTGGTGATCGGCATTGAGCTCGGTATGGTGGCGATGCGAACTGCTCCTCCTATGCCTCAGAACGGCATCTGAGTCTACTTTGACACCTGCATAATGCGCTCCTCCTGCAACCGATTCGACGAGCGCCGGGGTGGGTACGGAACGAGGTAGGATTGATGGGTGAAACGTTTGACATGGCGGGGAAGGCGAGCGGGGTGGTTTGGGACTTCCATGAGAGTCTCTCGAAATGGAACGGTGGTGACGAACGCCTGACATGATGGTAAGAGTTGAACGAAGCTCCGTATGTGGTCGACGCTTGGAGTTGCCAGAACTCATATTCTAGGCTTCATGACGTAATATTCGGAAAGGTACTGCCTCACGTGACTGCCAAGACCAAGCAGGCGGGACCGATAAGCTGTCTCTGCAGTGTGCCGTCTTTGAAGTTCGAACTCTTACATGTATACAGAAAAGATTAAATCCTAGACATTAAGTAAAAGCAAAGCAACGTTGAACGAATACAGGTTCATTACTGGAAGGTAGTAGAGGACGCTCGATCAACGAAAATAGCCTAAACATAATTTCTTTCCAACTGTACAAGTTCATCAACTTCGGCCTACACCCCGTTTGTGGTTCCTTGCCATAGGCCGTATGTTTTGCCAGGAGTGGTCTGCCACAATCGGATCGTACCTACGATTCAGAGATAAAAATCAACAGATGCGTCATTCCCGGGATAAATAACAAACTCACCATCCTCTGTTTCATCATAGACAAATGTGGATGGCGCGGTCAGACCTTAACGGAAGCAAATCTGAAAGGAGGACGTACCGCTACCACTCGCGTACATTTCTCCGTCTGGGCTAAATTCTACGCAATGGACAGGGCCGTGGTGTCCCTTAAGAATCTCTCTTTCTTCTCCTTCGATGCCGTGCACACGAACCCATTCATCGCTCGTACTCCCTGTCACAAATCGGTCTTGCAAGATAGGATGGATGGAGGCAGAAGATGGGCAGTATGGAAGGGTGACACTGTGCGTTCCATGACCGCTGTTTGGTAGAGCAGGGATAAAGGCGATGGTGTTTCCAGAGGTGACAACTAATCGTTGTGTCTGGAGGGATAATTCCATGGACGTGATCGCACCAGGAAAAGCGAGAGTGGTGGTCAACTTTCGCGACCGTAGATCCCACCACCTAGTAAAATAGTGTCACGAAAGGATGTCGCGTATCAGGCTGTGGATGACTCACTTGATACGACCATCTTCACCAGCAGTTACACCAGTGTGATCACCAACCCAGACAACACTTTTCACGGTGCCTTCGTGAGACAGGGTCCCAGAGTCGCAGAGGAAATCCGGTTCTGCTTCTGGTCTATTGAGATCGAAAATCCGCACTTTCTTCTCCTGGCCACCCGTCAGCATGTGCGATGCAGTTGGTGACAAAGCCACACTGCGGACGATGTGATTGTGGGGGAAAGAGTGCAGGACTTTGCCGGAATACGTATCCCATACTTTCCTAAAGTTATTCTGATAAGAAGGTATCAGAGTTGAGCTCGATAGAGACGTACGCGGTGAAATCGGCGCTGCCTGATGCAGCTCTGGAACTGTCGAGCGAAAGCTTGGTGCTCCAAACGGCGCCTTTGTGGCCAAGGAAAGTGCCAATCCAGTCTCCAGTCCACTCTCTCAGCATAGGGTTGCCATCTTTACAGCTGGATATTAGCAAGAAAGTACCGTCGTCTTGAATCGGGGAGAAAGAAAGATGTGTGATAGGTCTTGTGTGGCCTGGTGCCACAAGGGGAGTGGATCTTAAGGGAGCTGACATTAAATCGTATCAAATGGAGTGTGATGTAAAGCTCGTGTGTCGTGATAGGTGGTGATACAGGCGCACCGCGCACTGGCCTGAAGGAGGGAGAGAAAGCGTAAAGGTATTTTGGTAAGAGTTGAACAAGGTCGCGCCAGCTCCTGATGTTTGCTGTCACGCTCAACAGTAACTTCGATCATGGTTTCCATATTCGGTATGACCTTGCACGTCCAATCACTGGCGCCTGTGGGGTTCTGGTGGTAGGCACAGGGAGGATTCCTTGAAAATTCTGTATTGGAAAGTGAGGAGGAGACTCTGAACATTGGTGACATGTTTTTCTCGGGTTGAGAAGGCCTATTGAATGACTTTTGGTCCGAATGATGCCGGCCTGACTCAACATGATCAAAGCGCGACAACTTGAAGTGTATATTGTTGCTCTGTGGCGCATTACATCCTAAACACACTGCTGCAACACCCGTTATTTCTTAATGGGTTTCTGAACCTGGTATATAATGTGTCGTGGTATAGCCATTGGCTTCAGGCGATAGTTGTTCCGAAGCTTCCTCCAAAAGTTCTCCGATTGCAATTTGCCCCCCATAGATCGAGGGAGTCGAGACTCGAATAAGTTGGGTCGAGGTACCGACATCGTGCAGGGCAGAACAAATATCCAAAACCACCAGACAGGATAAATACGCCGCTGCATGCTGCATCTTCCATCCTAAAATTTAGCGCAGTAAATACCACCGAAAGACCTGATGAACGCTCCGTTTCCTGTTGCCAAAGATCCTGTCAAGGCTGGCTTTTTGACTCCGCCAGGCTCATGTTGAACCTAACTTTTAAATAACGAGGAGATGGGGCTGTCATTAGACAGGTGACGGGCCCACAGGAACATATTTGAGTGCAGTCGATTATTGGCCATGGCAAGGTCCTCGAGTGCGGTTGAATCGGAATTGCATACAGTGTTAACAACACGTACTTATAAGGAATAAGATCGAAATATGGCGAGACGGGCCGCAGAGGGCCTCACTACGAGCGCGAATGATTTGTCCAAGATTGAAAGCCGTGGCCGTAGTGCAGTGGCTCTTTTGCCCAAGGAAAGTAGAAGGTGCTGAAGGTATTCTGAAGATTCAGTGAAGAAGCACGAAGACGACCCAGAGTTATCCAAGTAATCTTAGCAGAAGACGCCAGAGGCTAATAGGAAGCCTTCGGGATTTTACGCCGATAGCAGCTGTTATCTTGTCGCCTTCCAGCCGTGGACACGGTGCGGACCAGTGCAGACCGCGACAGTATCAGGGACCGAGAAGTCGACCGAAAGTCCGCCAAGGGGTTGATTCGATCGCCACAACATCAGGTCGCATGTTGTGTACGATATTGAAAAAGCTAGAGGCCCCGCTCAGGCGTCGAGGCGCCATCTGGGAGAAAAATGACGACTTCCCAAAGTTGCGCTGTTGCTCCCATTGTAAGTTGCAATGGATAGCGGACATGATTGGCGAGCCGGCAAGGCGTAATGTACCTGGTCGCTGCTCTTGCGCTGAGGATAAAAATAGCGAGCGCAGGGCTCGCGATGGGATGGTGCAGGGGTAAGCGTCTGTAAGCGATTAATTGGTGCCCACTTCCCCCAACAGCTGCCTGCCTTATGCGGCAAGTGTTGGGTAATTTTGAACTCCGCGAATATGGATTATTGCGCCATCTTGGGGATGGATGACACCAATAGTGCTCATTCTAACCAATTCGGGCTACTTGAGCATCGCAGATTCCGCGCCGACTCGACAGATGGCGATGAAATTTGTGTATTTTCTGACAGGACAATCTTGCCTTCCTCCATCGTAATCGGCCTTTCCTCCCTCGCTGATTTCGTGGGTTCCAGGTTCTCTCGCCCGGTCGTGCGGCCCAGTATCCACCCTGTGGTACCTATAAAGGATACCCTCTTCTAATTGCGCCGCCTGCTCCTTCATCTGCAATGGCCCTCTCCTCAGCAAAGCGAGCTGGCAAGCGCTTCATCGGACACCCTGAGCACGCGATACCCGTTGCTTCCAGCGTTGACTGGGTTTCTCAGGTCTTCGTCAACCCTACCCAACACGTATGGCCCGGACTTCTTCCTCTCGTCTATTTTCCTGACGCTGCTTCTAGATCAAGGACTATCTCATAAGTTTATTCCCCATCCTGACATGGATAACACGATATAGTGAGTGTTTTCCCCGATCCGCACTTCGCTATTGATATAACGTCTTCTTTCTTGAATGCAGATCCCGGATGGCTTACTGGTGATCTTATCGCCGGTTTAACCGTTGGTATGGTTGTTATTCCCCAAGGAATGTCCTACGCTGTGGTGTGTTTATTTTTGGCGTACGTTTTCCAGCTTCTCAAAAGCACTCCAATAGCTTGCGACTCTCCCTGCGGAATATGGTCTCTACTCATCCTTTGTCGGCGTGCTCATCTACTGCTTCTTCGCAACCTCGAAGGATGTTTCCATCGGACCCGTGGCCGTGATGTCCTTGACTGTCGCACAAGTCATCAAACACGTCGAGTCCCGCAGTCCGGGTGAATTTGACGGACCCCAGATCGCCTCCGTCCTCGCTCTTATCACCGGATTCATTGTCCTCGGAATCGGTCTCCTGCGTATTGGTTGGCTGGTTGAATTCATCCCTGCTCCCGCTGTGTCTGGATTCATGACTGGCTCAGCCATCAGTATTGCCGCAGGACAAGTTCCGGGATTGATGGGCATCTCAGGATTCGAGTAAGCTATTCCGTCACTCTTCATGTTTTGTATAAATTTGACAAGATTGCAGCACTCGTGCGGCAACTTATAAGGTCATCATTAACACTTTGAAGGGGCTTCCTCGGACGAGACTCGATGCGGCTTGGGGCTTGCCTGGTCTCGTGGGTCTATATCTCATCCGTCTGGGTTGCATCAAGGGCGGAAAGAGATACCCTCAGAGAGGTAAGTATCACACCTTCTACGATGCCAGATTGCAGGGGCAAATAAATTCCCAGCACGCTTGTTTTTCTTCATTAGTGTGCTCCGGAATGCCTTCGTCATTATCATCCTTACACTGGCGGCATGGCTCTACTGCCGTCACAGGAAGGACGATGCCGGAAGATACCCGATCAGAATCTTGTTGACCGTCCCCTCTGGCTTCAGGCATATCAAGCAGCCTTCCATCGAGCCTGGACTCCTCAAGGCTATGGCCCCGGAGCTCCCTGTCGCCACGATCATCCTTCTCCTTGAACATATCGCGATTTCAAAGTGTGAGTCCATGAAGTATGCCTTGTCTGAACTCGTGGATTGAGACCTCTTGCAGCTTTTGGTCGTCTGAACGGATACAAAATCAATCCCAACCAGGAGCTCATTGCCATTGGAGTAACTAACACCATCGGTTCCTGCTTCGGCGCCTATCCCGCGACAGGTTCATTCTCGCGATCTGCCTTGAAGTCCAAGTCGGGTGTCCGTACCCCCGCCGCTGGTATCGTTACGGCTGTCGTCGTCATCGTCGCTCTTTATGGCTTGACTGACGCTTTCTTCTGGATCCCGACTGCCGGTTTGTCCGCCGTTATTATTCACGCTGTCGCCGATCTGGTTGCTTCGCCATCACAGGTAATGAATAGCCAGCGATCTTGAACAGGGCTTGTTGTTGACGAACCCCCTTTACCAGGTATTTTCTTACTGGCGAGTCTCTCCTCTGGAGTTCTTCATATGGTTGGCTGCCGTGCTCGTCACCATTTTCTCGTCGATCGAGAATGGTATCTACACCTCCATTGCCGCCTCCCTCGTCCTTCTCCTGATCCGTGTTGCCCGTCCTCGTGGTGCCTTCCTTGGAAAGGTTCTCGTCCGAGAAGAGTCTAGCGAACAGGAGCGCGAGATTTTCCTTCCTCTTACCAGAGCTGGCATCACCAACCCTGATGTGAAGATCGTTCCTCCCTCTCCTGGTGTCATCGTCTACAGGATGGAGGAGAGCTACCTCTATCCCAATGCATCCATCATGAATTCGGTTCTCGTCGACTACGTCAAAGAGAATATGAGACGTGGACGGGATATGACCAATGTCAAGCTCAGCGAACGTCCATGGAATGATCCTGGTCCGAGCCGTGGTGGTGCTGCAGCTGATCAAGTCATTAATGAAACGAAGCCTGTTTTGCACGCCGTCGTCCTTGACTTCTCCACAGTGTAAGCCCTTTTCTACCTTTTTATCGAAAGTGCCATGCTTACCAGGTCACACTAGATCTCACATCGATACCACAGCTATTCAGGCGCTGATTGACACGCGTACTGAGATTGACAAGTGGGCTAACCATCCAGTAGAGGTTCGTCTTCTTGCTTCAGGGAGAAAAGAGCCTCCTTGCTGACCTTCTACTGCATCCTTAGTTCCATTTCGCCACCGTCCTTTCTCCGTGGATTCGTCGTGCCCTCGTCGCCGGTGGCTTCGGTATCGGTATCTCTGCCTCCAAGTCACGCGAGATCGCAGCTGTCGTACCCCACCGCGAAGATCCCAATGAGATCCCCGAATACGAAAAGGATGACGTCGAATCTGGCGACCTCAAGAAACGCGCGTCGTTGTCCTTAAACGAAAAGTCTGGGTATGCGCCTCTCATCGGTACCGAGACACCATTCTTCCACGTAGACCTCGCTGCCGCTGTGAAGGCCGCAGAGAGTGGCATTGGCTCTGCATAGATGATATCCTTTTCCATGGACCAAAGCAAAGCAATGATATTGTGGAATTCGGAAATCACGTCTACTAAGTAATGCATATCCTCAAAAAATTCAATTAACGTTTACACAGTAACGATATACTGTTTGATTCTTCAAGGTTGTAATGAACTCACCACAAAGTGTAAACACTGGCATCATCTTGTAGTATCTGTATTATTTGAATCTCGTCTGGTGACTGCAGTTGAACGCAAGATTGGGAAGTAATATAGAATATTGTGAAAGAAGACAAAGATGGCTGAGCAGTTGTTATGCCCGGGGGGCTCCGGTCCGACTGATGGTAGAGCATCATGAACTGTTCCGACTTTCAAAACCACTATGTACCAGGCCCTCCAACCCTGCTATCGACGCCTGCCCCTTCAGTTCACGCGACAATTCTCTGTAGTTCATGCTAGATGGGCAGGCCATAACAAAGTAAGTCGTGCATTCAGGTCGAATCTCGTTGGCGCCGACTCGTCTATAATAGTGGTCCAAAATAAAGGACAAGAAGGGAGTCAACGACAGGCAAAAGAGCATACTGTATTCGAAAGCCAGCAATGTAGGACGTGTTTTTATTTTACTCCCAAACGTCTGACGCCCTGTTAAAACTCTTCTCTGTAGGAAATTATCACAGCAGCCAGAAGTCTGTTCTCTCTCTCTACGTCAGGCGTTGGTCGAGATTCTGACTGTTTGTCATTCCGAAGTTGGGGGCTCCGTAGATCCTGCTCTGAATATACGGCTCGCTGCTGCGCTGAAGTCAGCTAAAGATCAAGGTGTTCCGAAGGAGAACATTCAGAAAGCCCTGGCACGAGTACGTTGATTGACTTCCTTCGATATGTTGGTTCTAATGGTGAGCTGCCCTTACAGGCAGGAGGCGCAAGCAACGGATCGGGGCAACACTTCGTGTATGAAGCCTTGGCCCACGATTCTGTTGGACTGATAATGTATGTTTCCTGCTTCATGTCAATGACTGGCGTACTCGTAGCTGATGAGGTCAAGAGAATGTTTGACAGATAATGCGAACCGCACCCTTCACAATGTCAGAGACATTTTGACATCATATGGGTGTGCATGCAGCGTCTTGTTGACAAGAAAGAACGCTCATCCTACTTTTAGGGCCCGTATGACACCAGTCAAGTTTATGTTCGAGCGGCAGGGCCTTGTTACTGTCGCACTAGACAAGAGCATAGACGGAGAATTTGACAAATTCTTTGACATCGCGATCGAAAACGGCGCCGAGGAAGTCAATGAACGACCAGATCTGGAAACAGATGGTTATCATATCTACGAGGTTTATCGGTTTTCCTGGTCCTGACCTTAAATTCTACGCAACTCATACTTATTGATCGCTCTGAACATAGATTTCTTGCGCACCCACACAGCTCGCACAATTAACAAGTGCTGATTGGAAACAACAAATCGAACCGTTACAAACTTCCCTTGCGACTATCCTCAGCTCAGAACTAGCTTATGTTCCTGCTGATCCACAACCTTTGGGAGATGGGGAACAACAAAATATGGATGAACTCTTGGCTGAATTGGAGGCAAACAACGATACAAGAAGAATATGGACGACTGTGAAGGCTAAGCGGCTATCGGCGCATACAGATACATAAACATGCAAGATCGATACATAGCTTTGCAAATGGCACCGGGAAGCACTGATCAAATCAAGGGGAGCTTCCACCATCCAGGCCGCAAAGATATCCAGACCGCGGCTTCCATACCTCCAATTTCAATGATACCTTGTTTCTGTGCCAAAGCAACGTACTGACTAAACTTCTCGACGCCTGCATTTCGGTACGCTCCCTTAGATATTTGCAATGCAACTACGGAACGCAAAGGTCGTAGGGCCTTTCAGCCCGTGGTTCTGAAGAACGCCGACAAGGACCGTAAAAATAGGTGGAGCTAAAGCGGAATCTTCTACTTGCTGCGGGTGAAAGAGTACTTAGTGGGCTTTCACGGGCTCGCTGACGGTATGAGGTGGAATTTTGACGGCGGCTGCTACATTGACTGTACCTGGAAGGGAACAAGGCTCGGGTGGCTGGGGTGGTTACGGGAGCTGAGGTGGTAAGGGGTTAGTAACGAAGGAGGACGAGGCGATACGCCCTCGACGATGGTGTTCGTGTCTAGGACAGAAGAATGGCCCCGATCCACAGATGATAGTGCGGATTTGACATTAGGCTGCCCGGGCACCCGGATGTCCTGGTCGGAGGTTGTCCATACATTGAGCTCCGAGACAATTTTTGTAATCCAGAGGGAAGCAATGATGGAGGAAGGCAGGAAATAAGAGTACAGGATCGTGCCACAGGTATATTTGCGGGCAGCGGCGATGCCTGGGCTGTGGCACTTCATGCCGAGCGGAGTTAATTGCTCGAGCATTACATAAGAATCGGAGCGTCACGTGTATGGGGCAAACCTTTCACTCGACCATGTCCAACATTTTCCTCCATACTAGCTCTCAGCTTCGTGTGGGCCTACCAACAGTAAAGCCTTTGCCTCCCAATCCCCTCATCCGGGCAGAACCCGCTGATGATGCCTTGGCTCGTGCTCTGGCACCTCCGTCCGAGACTGCGCAAACGGACAGCGACGTGTCCCCGGAAGTTCCATCGCAGAAGGAACTACGACAACAGCTCCTTGCCTGTGATCAGCGCTCTTTTCTCACTGGATCTGCAGTCGCCGATCTTCAGGCTGCGCATATCATCAATGCTGTTCGAAAATCAAGTCATCAGATGCGTAAGGAGCAGGTGGTGAGTGCCTACGCCTCATTTTTTAACCTTATGCAGGGTTTGACCAACCCCAATCCCAGCAACAATTACTGAGCCGGCAGCGTCTACATACTCCCCGCGAGGCCAGTTTTCTTTTGGACGGTCCCAGCAATGCGATTCTCTGTGGGTCTATGCTGTTGCATTTATGATACATCTCTGACTTTCACTCAAGTGGAACCAGGGCTTCACTTTCAATGGGATACTTACGGAACATTCTGCTTTGTTCCAGCCAAGCCTGATGCGGACGCTATACTCGATGCGCTGCGTCGGTCCAACCAAGACTGGCAGGAACTTTACAAAGCAACTCGCGGTATACCAGCCAGGCCTTTGGATGTATGCACTGTATTTTGGCTTTCACCATCGTTTTAACGGCTTTTTAGATAACAGCGCCACCTTTTGGCAATCCGCATTGGGACATCATCATCCTTCATCCGCACGCACTGCTCCCAGATGGTCAGCCGATTTTAATCTCCCAAAGCCGGACCTTTTACCTTCCAGGGCAGCCGGTACCAGAACCTGAATTGTCATGGGAAAGGTGGATTTCTTTGGGTGATCAGCTTTGTTCAATGTCTGAGCCCCATGAGCCTTTCCCTCCCTTCACTGCCCAGGATGTGCGCAAGCATTTCCGCCGCCCCAGTATTTGCTCTCTCGCCATGATCATCAACGCGCATTGGAAATTGGACCACTTCATGGGGAAGCACAGTCTTTCCGCTACACCCCGTGTTAGAAGTATGGCAGCGCTGATGTCCGATCTTGTTGCAGAGATATTTTATGTGCCTCCTGGATACCCTTCCAGCGTTTTGCTTGACACTGTTGCACACGGACATTTGGGGACAGCATCAACAGAACAGTCTTTGGGTGCAGGACATGCAATGATGGTGGATCCCCCTGGCCAAACTTCAGCACCATCAAGTGGAAGTAGATATTCTGGTGCATTGGACTTGGAGGCTCCAGAAGCCCCTGAAGATGCGGATGAAGATGGCTTAACTAACACTGAGTTCCAACTACTTTCAGCACAAGCACAAGATCCTGTGCTTGACAGCAAGCAGCGTGCTAATGCAGCAATGATGATGCTCTTTGGTGTATGTTGTGAGTGCATTCACCTGCTTAATCGACCTTGGATAACCACTTTTTTTGCATTGGCAGCACCTGCAAACCCCTATGCTGAGAGAATGCAAGCAATGCAAGCTTTCAATGATGTGCCAGGATATGGTGGTGCAGTGGATACAAATTTGATCAGTGCTGATGCATGAACTGCCTGACTGTGACACTGATTCAACATAGGTGTATGGGGTTCAGGACAATGTGTACTTAAGGCTATTGTATCTTAAGTATGTACATGTAAATTCTGGCCTTCTTGGAGACAAGGGGTATGCTAGATTTTTATTTGGACCTCTGTAGCTAGATTTTTCTTTTTCTTTTCTTTCTTTGCCTGATCCTGCAGATCTTGAGATGGGTCCAAGTGGTGTCATGTTGACTGATTGGAGAAACAATCACAATTGCAAGCACCTGCAGCCAGGTGCTCATAGCAATCAAAGAAAGGCAGTGTTTGATATGAGCCAGCCAGAAGCAACTTTCACATGAGAAGAAAACGGAAGAGAAGAACCATCTGAAGGCTATTGAAAGTAATTTGACATTAGGAAGTACAAGGACTGTAGACATGACACCAAAGTCGAATTGGATTCATCCTCGGCTCCCTATTATTTGTAAGGATTGGCCAAATGCACATGAACGCTGGTCAGCCGTGAGCCAGTCGTTCTCACTATCCCAGCGGCAACAGCTGCTTCGAGATAAGCCTTCAATTTGGAAGTCCCAGCCTTCTGATAAGTTTTTGGGTCGTCCTTCAAGAGTAGACCACCAAGGCTGGAACCGCTGGCATTACCACCTGCGCTGCGAAGAGTATTGACCAAAGGGACCCAAATCACTGGGGGTTTTGCTGATAGGGCCGGGCTTGATGCTGCAACAGCCGTGTTGTGGAGCGGTAGGGTTTTCGTTGATGCATTTGTGCTTGTCGAGGCAACAGCTGGTTGTAACAAAGGCATCGGTTTGGGAACCTCTTGAGGGGTAGTTTTTACTGTAGCTGATGCGATGGTGGCAGCTACACTGCCCGTAGTGCACGAGTCCTCTTTTCGTCGAGAACTCGGAGAGGGTTGGGAGGCTGAGGGTGCTGGTGTTGCTGGTGTCTTGGAGATATGTAAGGGCATGGTTTGGGCTGCCAACTGTTGCTTCTCGTTACAATCTTCATCCGGATGCTCAGCAGCAGTTGGTGCACTCGATGCGTCAGGTTGTTCAATGACTGAGGAAACACTGTCGCCTCTGGAGCTGGAGGAAACAGTGCGAACAGAAGCTGCCTGCGCTCGTACACCTTTCCACTCAGGCGTCACGGTCCTTGTCGTTGATGTTTGGTTGTCTTCGAAAGGCTGGAATGCAGAGGTATCTGGGGTTGGAGAGGATGTGACTAGAGGGGCAACATCGTCTGTATCTTGAATTGGGAATGCTCTTTCCTTTCCTTTTGAAGTTGCAGTCGCGGCAGGGACAGACGGTTCGAGAACTGCGTCTGCGAAGTGGGGTCGAGGCGTTGTTGGAGGTGGGGTTGCAGGAAGGCTCGAATGAGAGATGTTCGGCGGTGCCGAATCCGAGCGAGAGGGCTTGAGCCTGAATCGTGAATGAGGCCTAGGAAACAGAGGACCATCTCCGAGCCCGAATGAAGGGATGTTTCTAGGCGGAGGTGACATGGATCCGTCCCAAAAACTGCCGGGACCATTGTAATCTGAGGCGTAGACCTTCGGAAACACGGAATTCCTTCGACAGCGAGGGGCCATGTCGTGCACCTCGACAGAAGGTGCAGACCCGCCGTGCACTGGTCCAAATGTTTTAAAACGCGCATTGAGCGGTGCAGTGGGCGGAGGTATATGTGAGGCCATCTGCTCTACAAAAGATCCTCGCGGGCGAGATGACGGCGGCGGCTCCTCGTCTCTATCGTCGCGGTCATTCGGGCCAGTGCCACTGTTGCCGAGGCTCGATCTGCTCCAGTCCATCTGAACCGACGCCTGCGACATCAAATCCTGGTGGGCACTTGCTGGTGCCATGAGTAAAAGACGGTACTTGCGCATGCGCAGCGTCGCGATGGCGTATGCGAGGTCGCGGTCTTCGGTAATGACGCAGATAGTTGAGGAAGGCCTGCTATCCCATGCATAGCAGATGAGATCGACTGGATGAAAAGGGACTAGTTAGATTAAAATTACCCGTGACGAGTACTGGATTCCCTACCTAAAAGCCGCTTGGTAGAAGCTCCTTTTCTCCCTTCTCCCGGACAGTCGATCAGCGAAACTCCAGACGACGCTAGTTCTGAACGGATTCGTGAAGCGCTTATTAGGGATGTGGTCGCGGTATCCCAATATGCCCTCAGGGTCTTTATGACTCCATGCCTCGAGATGGCGGCCCGGATGTTGTCCACGACATCATAGGTGGAGAGGCTGCGCGCAGCTGAGCAGTCCAGTCTTGCCGTTTCTGCAAGGGAGAAATGAGCCAAGGTACCCAACAATGCATTTACAACTCACCAATATCCCAGAAAACCGTGATTGGATCCTCAGCCTGGTCACACATGTGTGAATTGGTTAGGATACACCGAACGCACCTTGCTTTATAGACCCATTATAAACCCCAAATTCCATAACATGCACTCAGTCGACGGTCAACATACCTGTTACATGAGGCTCCTGAAAAGAACAGCTCAGCGGCATAAAGCAGCATGTCCAGGGTTCTCTGTTTGACAAGCTGGCCGTATTCCTGCTGCTTCATGGCAATCGTGGACGCCAAGCTGGGGGCCGATCGTCGACGTTCCCCTCATTCGGGAGGTCGGAAAAAGAAAGAATGTGGAAAGCCCCAGAGGCAGGGTCTTCGTGGACGAATACCCCGTGGCTGGACCTGCTGCAAAAGTCATGTCAGTTGGAAGGAGAGTTCACAATAAGCGATCAGAGCTAACCGAAGTACAAAGCATCTGCCCACTTCCACAAGTGGGAAAACAAGTAAGGCAGGGTAGAGTCTTGCTATTGAGTTCAAGCATCCGGCATGGGGGGAAGCGCTTACGACACGACACAACGCTTTCGACACAGTCGACGAATCGCGGTCGGCGAAACGCACCTTGACCGACATGCTGAGACGTCGCGCAACATCCAAGAAACACCTCAGTACATCTGCAGAACCAGCAAACGGGGGCTACGCCGCTGGTACAAACCAGTGAACCCTGTTAGAGGGTCTCTCTTCGATCGTGACCTGTCATTAACCGGATTACAAGCCTACGACTCCCTTGACGGCCTGCGCCTTGCGGCATCTCTTGTAACGAAATCGTATCAGTCAAAGAGACAGCGCAGAGGCTGTGATTCCTTATGTTCCGCGACGCGAGGAAATCGAGTGGTGGCTGATTGGTGTTTTGCAAGTAAAGCATTAGAAACGAATGAAAGTCAAATGAAGGAGCTTCAGAAAGCAAAAGGTCGCGGTGTTGATTAGGTGGGTGCATGCTAAAGGATACAGATTCCAGGGCAAAGAAAAGGCAAGGCAGAGCGGAGACATCTATTGAATAGATTTTCCCAGTCGAGAAAGATGATAATTAATAGTTGGCTTATGCATTTTCTTGGGCATAGGCTAGTGGTCGATAGAGAGTGTTGTGCGAATCAGGAGTCCGTTATGGATTTTTGTCCAAGCAACGTAGAGGATTTATGCGCGCAAGACGCGGGAGAAATCGGGAGTCCACGGTCAAGGTCGTAGGATAGGTGTGTCGAAAACACATAAGTTTAGGGCAATGAGACGCATTAAAAAACACGCACCGTCGTCCGCATACATTGGAACAGGTCATTGGCCGACTTTGAACACTCTTGGACGGACATGAGGTCCCCCCTCGCAGCCCAACACGAGAGCATAGCGGTGAGCTGTGGTGCACACATTACAGTTTGGCCCGCTACAAGTGTGTCAAGATCTGGTCGACAATACAAGTGTGAATAAAGGTCACCTTTGCGCGGTCTTACTTTCAGCTTCTCGATATGAATGGTCATTTCAGCTCGAGCGTTGTTTTCGCTCTCGAGAATGACGGAAGGACAAAGATCGGGGTAAATTTGGATTTCCTCCCGAAATGATCAACGCACGTGATGGAAAAGTTGCCGCATCAGGGAAATGGGACAGTCGCCGAGGCGTAGCCGCTTGACATCCGGGGTTGTTCAGCATCCTCCACGTCGTCCGCATCGTGTTCGACCAGTGTCATAAATCACAACCTCCGAATCTCTTCTTATTCTATTTCCGCCTCTATCTGCATTCGTATCTCCTGTAATCTAGAACCGACACCATGACGGCCTTGAACAAGAACAACTCTGGTCGGTCGTGACCCAATTCGTCCCTCCGCAGGTCCTGACCATCGCACACGCATAGCTGTCAAACGCATCATGCAAGAAGCGAGAGAATTGGCCAATGATCCTTCCACAGACTATTCTGCTGCCCCGCTAGAGGTGTGTTCTTACTGGTGAACCACCGCCAGACTTCATGGCTGACTGATGTCATTGAAATCGTGTCTGCAGGATGATATATTTGTGCGTCATTCGACCATGGACACATTGTTTATTGATTACACTTGACTATAGGAGTGGCACTGCACTCTACGTGGGTCTGCTGGGACTGAATTCGAGGGCGGTTTATACCACTTCCGCATCTTGCTACCCGCGGAATATCCTTTCCGGCCACCTTCTATCATGATGTTGACGCCGAACGGACGGTTTGAGCTAAACACTAAGGTATGTTTCTTTTCTCTTCTAGATGTCGACGACAGCAATTTGGTCCGTAGATCTGCATTAGTTTCACCAACTGTATGTCAAGGCTCCATCTTCATTATCTCTGAGGTTTACAGCGGAGGTTAGATCACGAAGAATTATGGCAACCCGCTTGGGGGGTGCGAACCGGTGCGTTCTCTGAAGCTCGTATCCTAAGGCCCACCGACTCTTTATTCCAGCAATCATTGGTCTGCAAGGGTTCTTCCCGTTGAAGGGTCAAGCTGCTGTTGGTGTGGGTTCCATAGAATACCCCGCCACTGAACGCAGGAGACTGGCAGCTCTGTGAGCTTCTCCCATCTTCCCCTCTTGTCAATAGTGGTCTCTTTCACAGCACTCCCTGACCATGCCTCTCTATCCTCAAATCACAGATCGCGCGAATGGGTCTGCCCACATTGCAAGCAGACAAATCTCGAGCTCCTGCCAGATCCTCCTGCACCGACAACGCCCATCGCTGCAACAGCCCGAAGCCTTGGTAGCGAAGAACCCATATCAGATGTGGTAACTGAAGATTCCCCACGCTGCGATTTGAAATCTGCTTCTGTTAGTGGCCGGAAACCTCGCGCAGGACGTGTAGAGCTGACACGAGTTTGGATACGTAGGTTGAATCTATACCGTTATCTACTCCCCAGCCGAATATGCCGCACATCGTCTCCGCAGTACGACCGGCTCCTATCATCCAGCTATCGTCCTCCACGCCGACAGGTGATTCATTTGGCATGGATCGCAGTACATCAAGAAGTTCAGCCGCTTTGCCCAGAACAGCAAGGAGTGAGACACCGCCGACACCGACACCGACACCGACACCCAGTGAGGGTTCTACAGTGCATGGACCTCGGAGTAGTCAAAAGCCGCCCATGCTGTTGGACACCGCCATCGCCATTCTCTTGGTGCTCCTCTTCGCGATTATCTGCCGGCGAGTCGTTTAATATCCAGGAGCATCGAACTTCAATTTGTATATTCAGTCAGGCATGTACATATCTATCTACGCAGGAGTGTAAGAATAAACGCGAACGGCGGGCTGCGAGTGAGACAACCCGAGACAGTGCAGACGAATTAGGAAGGTCCGTCTATTTTGGGCCGAAGCTATTTAAAGACCGGCGACATGTGTCCTCGTTGAGATTCGATGCATCCCCGCCATGGCCAGCAGCGGTTCTTCCCAACTACCACCACCATCTCCTACTCGTCCGATGCCCCGCAGACGTTCGCTGCGTCTTCCTGTCCAGCCACTCGAGATCCCAGTACCGCCCACTCTCCGCCACTCCCCTTATCTCAACTCTCCCATATTCCAAGGCGAGCTAACTTCACCCAGGCTGCCCAGCGAAGCAGCCGAGAGGTGGTTGCAAGACACCGTTCCACAAAAATTTGCTTCTGCGACAGAGGGTGGATCCCCACAGACCGCCAGATGCAATATGGATCGTAGGGGGAGCATTGTGCAATTGTCCAGACGCGCCTACCACAAAGTCGACGTGGACTGGCCGACGAGATCGTCGCAACCTGGCCTGGGATCCCCACAATCCCCTGCCCCCTTGACACACAGTCGCAGCAAGTCCCAGACCACAGCAAAATATCTCTCTCACTCGCTTGCGCCACCGCCGGCGTCCCCCCCACCACTTTGGACGTTCTCGCCAAATCTTCAAGAGTGCTCGCAAGCGAACAGACTAGCGCGCCTTCCTAAAACCCAATCCGACCCCAATATCCCGCGTAACTTAAACACGAACGCTTCAAGATGGCAGGAAGACCAGGGCTATTTCTCCCATGTGCCTTCCACGCGTTAACCTCAAGGCCGGCGGCTCCATCGATCGATCCCTAGTCCCACTAGTCCCTCCTACTCCAACATACCTCTCCTCTCCACATCCTCATGTTTCCATTTGTCTTTATTCATATCGGTATCCAGGGAGCACGACCTCACAATCGCCGCAGATGCTTTCCCGCAAAACTTCTCCATATTTTGGTCTTCTTCAGCTTCTCTCTTCTTTTGGGTCCTCTGGTCATCATATCCTGGGCGTTTCGCGGGTTACTCGTCATAGAACACTGAACATATTATGTAGCGCGATGAATCCCATATCTCCTCCACGTACACTTACACCCACATTATTAGGCTGTACCATCCTTGTAGAAACCTCACCACCTCACTGTAGTCACTGCTGCAGCTTCCTAGTTCCCATCTTGGTGTAGCCTGTATCAACACCGACTGTCCGATGAGAACAATTATGACAGCTATTCCATGTCAAGCAGTGTTCAAATTGACCCAACTAAAATGTATCATACCAAGTCGTTAGTGGGGACTGATCAAGAAAGACGTCGCGGATTCAAGGTGGGACACATTCTGGACGTTTCATAGAAGCGATGTTATATTCTCAATGGAAGTACAGGAAGAAGATCGTACAGCCCGAGGAACTTGGTTTATTTTTTCTTCGGGTCGCGAACATCGAATATAAGCAAGTCTTCGTCCTCCAAATTGGATGCAGCTAGAGTAGTCTTGTTTGTCAGCATCTTGCCCTGATAGGACAATCGAATTCTTGACGCTGGCACTGTGGAATCCGTGTGTTGGAGGATGCGGTCGCGGAGGGTTGATACCAAGAGATTGAGCGGTAGGTCGGGGATAGTGATAATTTGACCTTGGAGCTTCCATTCAGGCTTGGAAGGGTCGTTAGGCATTTGAACCTGCAGCGAGATGGGATGCTGTAACAGTGGAACACATGAATGATGAGCACCTGCTCTACAGCAATTCAAAGATAAAGTGCTTACGGGATGCATAGAAATCCAGTCCTCCTCAGGGTACAAAGCACCACCAGGGAGTTTTGCCACCTTTTGTCTCTTCGCTGGTGGCTCTTCACCAGCTTCCATTTCGTCGGCTGACCGCACCATACCTGCTTGAACGCTTTGGATGACGCTGTTAGCTGCTGCCAGAGCGGCCACACGCGTTGGGTGCATTCCAGGCGCCGCTCCGCCAGGCGCGGGTTGGTACCCAAAAGGCTGTGCGGCATCCATTCCCTGGTAGTGGAGCGGCGGAAGCATAACTGGCGGCTGGGCATTATACATTGAAGCCGGCTGTGGACCAGACGCGACAGTCGCGGCCGAGTAAGCACCTGATGCACCAGATGGAGGTGCAGGCAGCGAGGCATGAGCGGGTGGGAGAGTTGTCAGTGGTGGTGGCGCGATCGCGGGTCCGATACCTGGCCCGATGGCATTGGCGTCTTGACTGAGAGATAGAGTACGTTAGTCATAGAAAGTGAGTAGAGATGAAACGAACATACGGTCCAACTCCCTTCGCCCTGTGAATCGCGGCAATTTGTTCGTCGAGATTGGCATTCATAGAATATTTGTCCATAATACCGGCTTTGCTGGCAGTGTGTCCATCCCAAACGACTTTTTCCCTCTCTCTGCGCTTTTCCCTTTCAATTGCCTCCTCTTGTCTCCTGCGCTCCTCGTCTGTCTCCGTTCCAAAGATGTCGACACGGGTAGCCGCGAGTGTCTGAAGGGACGCGACAACGTTGGTTCCGCGTTGAAGCTCAGATGCTTGAGCACGACGCGCATCCATAATATCGCGTTGTTCCTTCCATTTGGGATCCAGCAGCTCAATGCGCATGTGTTCCGTGATTTCGTCTTCGGGTATTTTTTGGCCACAAAGCTGACAGGTTGTCATCACCTTGTTCTTCTTTTCACCCACTAGTATGAATCTGTTAGTGACTCCGTTCGGTTGAAGAAAGGAGGCATAATGAACTTACGTTTAGGAACATAGTCTGTCCTGATCTTCATAGGTCCTGCAGGGTTTGTTGCACTTGCTTGCAGAGCTTGCGCATGTGCAATTGCCCGTTGTTTCTCCTCTTCTTCTTTCTTCTTCTTCGCCGCAAGATCCTCTTCGTCGTCGCTTTGCTCCATTGTGGCATCCTCATCGCCGCCGGTCCCAACACCTCCGACAGCGGCGGCAGCCTCGGCCTCAGCAGCCGCTTGACGTGCTCGGTGGGCTTCGACCTCATCCGCGGTCGTTTCCATGATCATCGCTGCCATTCTCTTCTGCGCCAGTGTCATATTTTCAACTTCTTGCACGCTCATTGGCGGTGGCAGCTCGGAATTGGCGTCGACTGCAGTGAATTCAATGGTTTGTACGATGGCATAGTCATGCCAGTCGATTTCGGCGAATGCACCTTTTGAGGAGTAGTCAACACCCAGGCCTGCGTATATATTGGAAATGTACTTACGTTTCTCGGCCTCCTGGTCATCGTGCCGTTTCTGCTCCTTTTCTCTCTTGTTCTTCTCCCATTTCGCGTGTTTCAGGCCAATTTCCAGTGTCTGCCAGCGCGCCGCTGGCTTGGCCCGTTCTTTTAGCTGTTCCAGCGTCTCCTTATTAGGCTGGATGACTTTGGTATACTGCTCCACCAACCGATTAAAGTAACCGAATAATGAATGAGTGGGTCGGAGGAAGTCGAACTGGTAGTTTCTGCCTTCACGAGCAGAAAGGTTGGCGAGAAAGTTGCGCCCTCGACGAGCAGTGAAAAGAGCCGTAAGCTTCATGATGTCCCTTTAGGCAACGATATGCGCGTCAGATGTCTGTGTGAGATAGAGAGGCCCGTGCTACGCACAAGTCAATTGAGCTTATGCTCGGAAGATCCAAGATGAACTCTGCAGGGGGAGGCTCAACGCCATTATCTACAGGTTCGCGGCTTTCCATAACTTCTTCTTTATCCTTTGGAGCGGTTTCCTCATCTACTTCCCCCTTCGCGACCTTGTCCATTCGGTGTCGATAATAGGCATGGTATGGATCGGCAGGGTTCAGGAAAGAGAATTTCGGATCGGAGCGTTGGCCCTCGCGTACCCTCTCTTCAAATTGAGGAGGATTAGCGGAGCGAGCGACATATGAGGCCGTTCTGTCGATAACAACTTGAATTCAAGGGTTTAGCTGGTCAGTCGAGGTACGCATATGTAGACGAACACAACACTCACCCTTGATTTCTGGAGGGGGTAGGATGAGACCGCTGCTGAACCGCAAGGCAGATTGGATAGCATTGCCCATCTCATGATCAACAAAGCCATTGAGATGACCCCCGTTCACTTGAGCTACCTCTGTCATGGCTTTTCGGGAGGTGGGAGAAGGTGAGAAGGGACTACGAGTTGCTCCAGCCAAACGAACCGGCCAATTCTGACTGTCGTTCCCACGGCAGGTATCCTTTCCCATTTCGTTCAGGTCGACTTCCAATTTCCTCCTTCTAATAACCCTTTTGCCTGGTCGCCAATGTTCGGCGCTTTCAGACCCACTAATGTGAATCTTGGAGGACTTCTATGGTAAGCTCGTTCCTTTCATTCCCATGACGGTGATGCATGGCTTCTGCATAGGAAAACACCGTGGAAGCTTTCTGTGACACGAAAAGCCAACGCCAGAGCACGACTCAAGAAAGTCGACGCCGTCATAGAATCTGTTAGAGCTAGCGGCGTTCATTGTGCTGCTTTGGTTTGCTCTTTTCCCTCCAGCACCTGCCCTCATACCTAAGAGGTTTTCCTAGTACCGCGCACTTGAACTGCCGAAGGAATGTGAAATGCCTGCAAAGGACAAATATACGGTGTTCAGCCCTCACGAGAAGGGGTATCGGAAGGGTATTCATAAGGTTCCAAAGTGGACAAGGGTATGTTATCGCACGTTTGAAATGGGGTAACATTAACTCCGTCATTGTTCAGCGTACACTACGAACCAATCCCAAGGGTTTCTAAAACTCCCGCGCATTGCATCGATGCACCATATTCCGATATCACGCCTCCCTAACATCAAAACAAGACTATCTGAATCTTCCCTTCCTTGACACCCTTCAGAATATCCTTGTTGTTCAAGACCGTCGTGAAGACCTCGTCTCGAGTTTCCGGAACTTCAAGGAGATTCCTGTTCTTTGCGTCTTTATGCGTGATATCCAAGATGATATGGGTTAGGGCAGAGATCTTCAGAGCGTCTGTACGAAGTGTCACTCTTTTCATCAACGGAAGCGTGTACAACATACCAGTATCGTTCAGCAATTTGCCCAGTCGACCAGGTGTTCCGACGGCTGTTCCTACCTGCGTTTGCTTGAGGTAGGTAATGTGTTGCGCGAGCTTGAAGTGCTTGGCAAAGAGTTTGGCGACGTCTCCCCCTTTGTCGCCTCGAAGCTTCTTGTCTTTAAGAACTCTCGTGACATCTACCACTCGAAGGGCCGCAGCGGCGATGTAGAGCAAAGTCGGTGCGCCGTTATTCTTTGACCGTTGTGACAGACGCAGTTGGAGGGTCGGAAGAACTGAGTCAAACATGAGATGAAGAGGTCAACGAACACGAGCCAGGAACCAACCTTTCGTAATGAAATTCGGTAGTTGGTCCAAAGTCCTAGGACCAGTCCATGAGGTCGTATCTGCTATAGCCGTCTCTATCTAGATGTTAATTTGAGAATGAAATTTCACGAAGACAACTTGGGGCACACCTGGTATCCGTAGGTCGTCCATTTCAATAGACGACATTTTCATGAAGCTTTTAGCTTGCATCGAAGTAAGGTAGCTCGCTAATTCTATGGGAGATCGGGCAGATATTGAGCCCTCTACGACTTCGAGCGTCTCAGCGAGTTTTCTTTTCTGATAATGATTATTCAATATGAATTTAGGCGCCAAGCACGAGACCTGCAGTGGCGTACCTTGGCCTTGCGCTCCTTATCCTTCTCTCTTCGTTTCCGCTTCCTTTCGGCTTTGGAAGAACCCTGAGTGTTTGTTGGTGAGGCAGTTAGATCTGCAGCCTCCTCTCCTTCGACGTCCTCGCCTTCATCATCCCCGACCTCTACAAAGACGTCTTCATCGTCCAACGGCGCTGTTCCGGAGCCCTCATCGACAAAAAGCGCTACCGTTTCGTCAGGAATGAAGTCGTCATCTAGGTCGTCGCCGCCATGCATGGTGGCCTGCATCGTAAAGAGCTTGGGCACAGAGGGCTATGGTCGGCTATTTCTTTTTTCATCAGGTCCGGAAGCGGTGCACTGATCCATCAATTATGTCACGTGGATGCTAAATTTAGCTCCCGAAGGAAATCATTAAACTTCTTGGCGTCTTCAAGCAGGTTCCTATCCAGGCTCAACATCTCCTCACCGTGCCGTTGGGTTTTTCCCGAAATTCCCGGCCGTCCGAACATGTTTTCAGGCCTGCTTGACCTCGTCGTTCGTCATGGACATCACTCTTTCCTCAGGTACCTGGCGGACAACGCGGCGCTCGCGTGCATCATCCTGTTTATGATTGCAACATTCCTCATCTGCTCGCTTCATTCACGTTTCACGAAGAAAGGAAATCAATATAAGCCTGCGCAGGTCTTATCCCGAGCATCGACTCCCAAAATACCCTTGTTCTCTCGTATTTTCTTCAGAAACCCAGGACCTGTCGTGGTTGATCCTCCCCCTCTTTCCACTCCATCACCGTCGTCGCCGAAGAAGGGGATGCGCTATCAGAACAGGTCACGTCGCGTTAGGACAAGGAGGCATACGAAGAGGGAATCTTCTGACCTGGGAGATCTGAGAATAAAGCAGCCATATGAAGCATTCCTCGTATTGGATATCGAGGGCACATGCAAACTCGGTACAGACTTCAACTATCCTAATGAAATCATCGTATGTGACCCGGAGGTTAGCCTGAAAGGTTGATTTTCACGTACTTTTAGGAGTTCCCAGTTTGTGTTCTTCAATGGACAGATAGATCAGAGGAGGGTAGGGCAAACTTGTTGGAAGTTGTTGATGAGTTTCGGACGTTCGTTAGACCAACATGGAGGTCAACACTATCAGATTTCTGTACGGAGCTGACAGGCATCACTCAGGTGTGCAGGTCTTACTTTTTGTTCCTTTCCATTCTGCTAACCAGAAACAGGAACAAGTGGATTCTGCACCATTGTTTCCTGAAGTTTTGGTTAATTTGGAGGCATTCCTAGTAAAGAATGGCCTAATAGAGAAGGGCACACGCAAACGCCTAAAGCGGTTTTGTTGGTGCAGCGACGGTCCGTTCGATATCCGGGATTTTGTCGTAAAACAATGCTTCATATCCCAGGTTCGTAAAGCATCGACGTTCGTGGGCCCTGGTCCCAATCTAAAATCACTCTCTGCATCAGGTTGAAATGCCATCGTGGGTGCAAGGAGATGTTCTGGATGTTCGTTCCGTAGTTCTGGAATGGCTAAGCTCACAACCAGCCCTGCCCACTGAAGGAGGACTCGTACGTCTATCATCTGCCGCAAGCTCCCTACATCTTATTTCTCTCACAGCCTTTTGAGGGTCTAACCCGGCGCACGTTAAACATATCTGCGCAATTGAATGTGCTTAGTTTGCCGAAGTTTGAAGGTCGACAACATAGTGGCATAGACGTCAGTGTCAAGAACGGGCTTTTTAAGCTCCTTCTTTTCCCGATCGTGGAATACTGACTCGGTTATTGGTGCTCATAGGATACCCGTAACATCGCGAAGATTGTGACCGAACTTGCTCGTCGGGATGTGTGCTTGCTGCCGAATACCGCCATAAATCCAGGTAGGAGATGGCGTTGGATGGGAAAGCACGGACAGGTTTTGGAGGAGTTTTTGACTTGAAATATCAGAAACCCTTTCATTGTGTATTACTCTGACAGTGCCATAAAAATGACTCCGTGCCCGCGACGATAAAAAAAAACAGGTAGATTTCAATGCACTCGTCATCGTTTTGCGCCCTCTTTGCTCAGGCAGTCTATGAAGGATGAGCAACTCGATTTTCTAGAGAGCCATAGGCAAATCTCCATTTAGCATGAACGGGCATAAATATACCTACCAGTTTGGTTGGTTTTGGGATGGTGGAAACTTATTTATAGGCAATTGCGAGAAGTGTTCTCGACGCCTCCTTTCCCGTGGCTTTTTGAAGCAAGAGCATGGCTCTGATGTATATTTGGCGCAAGGAAGTGCTATTGATACATGTGTGGCATCCCAAGTCAATTGTCAGGTAAAATAAGTGCGTGGAGAAGGAATTCTATTGCCAAAGCTAGCCGTGTCTCATCTACCGTACGACGTTCATAAAGCTGGTGATTGATCGTGAAAAGACCTGGTGACATTCTCACTGAAACAGAGTTAGGCAGGTCCACAAAGTAAGTGGAGGATACGTACGAAATCCCACAAAGTACCGAAGCAGGGAATGCCTGTCTCTTTGCAGCCTTGCATGATCTCTGAGTTTCCAATGTAGTTTGAGGTGATAAAGACAACTATTGACGACGAGTCAGCCATGGCCACTTCTGGGAAAGGCATTCTGCCGATGCGACTTGCCTTCAGCATCCCAGTAGGCATAAGCCTCCTTCAGAATCTTCATTGTGTCGGGACGACCCCCTCGCGCCTTACTGTCCCAGAGAAGCAGGCGCTCAGGTCCGATGTGCTTGTGGATCAAACCGCTAATTGTTGGCCCGAAGGTCTTTTCTTGTTCAGAGCCTTGAGAAAAAGTCAATATCTTATCCACTGCGCAACTCGTCTCGCGCGCACCGATCCAGATCAGATACCTGCTCGAGGAGTCAGAACCGTGGTATGGTATGAACAAATATTCTTACCAATAAGGAGATTGGAGACACGTAGATAGAGCGGCGCCGATACCAGTTCCCGTGCAGATGCGGATACCACGTTTGTATAGTGTCGACGTGTTAGAGACACCGGCAAACTAAGCAAAAAGTATGATAATCAGAATTAGATTAATTAGAGGTGCCTGCGTCGTATTCTTACCTTCAATTCACGGGTCCAAAGTGTCTTAGGTGGGTTTTGGACAAGGCCGCGGGTGAAATCGCCTATATTTACGTTAGTATAGGGCCCAAGGGAAAGGGAGGCCCAATAAATCACCTTGGACACCAGCAATCATGTAATGGCATTTAGCGTGGCGACTCTCGCTGACGCAGAAGCAGGTCAGAATAATTGCGAATCAACAGGGATCTGTACCTACGAGATAATACCGAACGCATGATATTCCATGATGGAGGAGCGACTAATTCTTCCAAGAAGACCTTGTTGCATGCCACGTTTGAAGCGAATGACAGCGACTTTCGCGGAAGGCTATAATTACACACGGCCAACCTCAAGCTAAAAGTCTCAGCAGGTGGCTCTCGGCTTACAAGTTCGATGTCTACCGGAACTTCACGGACAAAGCACCAAGGAAGGGCGATGCTAAAGATGCCTACAGTCAGCTGCCCTCGAGTCCTGAAGAGAGCGGTTTCTATGGCGTACAAGATGGTCATGCCCATAGTGAACCAGAAGTCCTGGTGGCGAACGAGCTCAGCCCCACTGAGATTCCACGATCGTGTAACCGGGTCGTAGACGTTTCCAAGAATGACGAAAACCCCTAGAAATGCGAGAACCGTCAATAAGAGAAAATGTCGGGGCAATGATCTTACATGTGCACATGAGACCAAGCCATCCAACGAAACGATGGTGGCGCTCGAAGACACTGAGAATGTCTACTTTAGGGAATATGGAGACCAAAGAAGGCAACTCAACTTGTGGTGTGTGTTTCGCACCCAGGGGAAAGCACTGAGAGCACTGATCATAACTGCAAGATTGGTAATTACCCCCATCACGAGCACGGCGTCGTGTGTGACATCAAGCTTGCGGAAATTGTTGATGACCTTGTAAAGAAGCCAAATTACACCCGACAGTGCGCAGCCACTGTGAATTCCACCCAGATGCTGGGAACTAGTGAGCAAGATGGAGAAAAGGGGATTATTGAGCGCTTACCTGGAGCACAGAGGTGCAACCAAGACGGAACCAAAGAGGAGGCCACTGAGAATGCGGTTAGCAGTTAGTAAGGCGCCATTCCATGGTCGACTTTGAAGATGGACCTTTGCGAAGCAAGTGTTGACGAAGAGGTATAGCAGACGTCCAAAGACCTCATTGCGCATCAGGATGGCAAAGTTGAAGTTCGCTACAACGATGGCACCGTTGTATTTGAGCCCGTAAGGCCAGTGCCCTGACGCTGCCAAGGCCAATCCAATCATGTTCAAGCCAAAACTAAGAGCGAAGAATTTCCTGTACACAAGAGGTATCAGTGACCCTTGCCAATCGAGAGAAACGCACGCATACCTGTACATGTTAAACCATAGCGTCCACAGTATCCACTTCGAGACCTTTTTCTTCTGCCTCTTGGGAGGGGGTTTCTTGTCGGCGAGGACGACCTCCTTGATAGTTGTCGTTGCCGCAGAATCCTTCTCCTTCGAGGAAGGCAAAGCTGTCGGAGGGACCAGATTTGACTTCACATCCTGCTGATAAGGTGATTGAGGGGGCAACGGGTCAAGTGTCCCCTTCTCGGGATCCACGAGGGAATTTTCTTTGAGAGCGTCAGACATTGGAATGAGGATGCGTCGGCGTTGGGGAAACACAGATGGGTCTTAGGGGAGGGGCATGGAAACCCGAATTCCTGGACACCTGCATTTTATATGTATAGCCTTTCATGGGAGACTGATATGCGACGGATTCATAGGAAAGACTATCCAAATGTAAGTTGTGGCTCTGAACAGGAAGCTCGCTGCGGTTTCGATATCCGGCCGGCTGAGTTTCCGCGGCGGTGCCTCCGCCTTCTCGGTTCCACACGTCTGCAAAATCTTTGTTCTCGGCGCCGGGAGAGACGAAGATATGGTAAGAGCTGACGCCAGATGATGGATATTGGACGCCGCAAGAACGAATGTCACCAATGATTGCATAGCTTGTGAGGAAACGAGTTCACACAAAGCATTCCATGGCGTTGGCATACGACGAAACGCGAATCATAAGCCTTGTGAAGACGAACGGCATCCTGAGATCGGGCCAGGCAATGTCAGTGCGAAGGGACAGCAAGGGAAACTTACGCCACTGTATAAGGGATTATCCCCACCCAAAAACACCCGCTGACGAATATGGGAACCGTTTTGGAGGCACCAAGGCGTTAATATTAGAACACCTGAGAAGGTGTCGACGTCTCGGAAACATTTGAGGGTCCCACCCCAGAGATTCGGTATTTTTTAACTGGAAGAAGGATCCACGATTTCCAGTTTTGCTGAGAACATCGATGTTTTGGAATGCGCTTACGATGGGGAAACGAGAACCCGGAGATAGCGGCAAAGGATGCAAACTAGTGCCCGATGGGTAAATATTGGCGATCGTCGAGACCATCGGTGTAGGGCAACGGGATCGGTGGAAAAACGCCAGCGGATTGTAATATTGCCCCACCGGTCTCTCCGGAAAGCAGGATGCTTTAGTCGACAGTAAGAGATTGCTTATTGGTGTCAAGTTCGACACCCTATATGCACGTCAGTTGAGTGTCGACGCTGGGTCTAAACAATACGTACCTCGCTATTTTTGGCCCCGAGTCATAGCGGAAGTAGAGGACACAAGGGCCCGACTCTTACATACAGACTCGGGGTCAAAGCGACCGCTATCAGTATCTCAGGTTCGAACTACTGACGAATCGGATGTGGTGGCCAATTGCAGGACCGTGAAACGTTAACGAAGGTATCGTGTGCAACGACCCAAAAGGTTCATTCCATTCCCATATCCAAAGATAAAATACACCATTACTACATTGAGGCAATACATGAGTACAGAGCAATGAATATGACAAAAAAGACGCAATAATCAATTTGCTTCTGCAAAATCGCGAAGCTCTTGCAAGTGTCGCGACACTTCTTGTTTGAACGTGGCGATTTCTTGACTATTCTTGAGAATTGCTCGTATGGTATTCTCCGTTAATCGGGATACGGCCTCCATTTGTTCCTTATAACTGCGAGTAGTTAGTTGAAGGTTGTAGATATGTTCTCAAAACATCTAACCTGAACTGCAACGCCTGCAGCCGTGATTTGACACCCAGTCCATTCGCAATGGCGGCCGTTCGGGCATGATTAAGATCGCGTTCTAGGCGCGAGGCTTCCGCACTTGCCACTTGCGCTTCTTGCTGCGCTGCCTGCGAGCAGAATGACAAGGATCAAAAAAAAGGTTGTTAAAGTATACCCGATAGGAGCGTACATCTCGTAAATCATCGCCTTGCTCATTGAGGGCTGTAGCCTTCTTTTCCAACTCTCCGATCTCATAATCCAGGTTCTTGCATTCTGTTGTGAGCTGGTCAAGTTCGTTATTAACTTTGACGGACTCGTTCTCAAGGGCGGCTCTCTCCAAGCGCTTCGTTTCCGCGACGCTGCTGAGAGTAGGTTTGATGATTTTCCTTATATCCGAGCCAGCCAGGAGTTGCTGGGGATTCGATGAGGCCGAGTTCAATTCTAACGTCAGGTCGATGTCTTGCCAAGGCTCCGGCGGTGAGGGATAAAGTCCCAATGATGACAACATGTTCGTGTACGTGTCAAGGGCCTCTTCCACGGCAGCCGCCCGGTTAGTGACGTTGACTTCTAGAGTCATCACCACTTTGTGGGATTCTGCAATCTTGGACTTGAGATCTTCTAAGTTTCGGCTCAACGTTTCGCGGTCTGTGTTCATCTTGATTACTTCCTCAGGTGTCAGGTTCTGGATCTTCACTGTTTCGCCCAATTTATCCAGTTCCGACTTCAATTGCTCGAGAAGCTCGCCTAAAGCATATGAATATTCAAGAAGCTTAGCGCACGGCCTGTATCTGACTCACCTCCTTTAGCCAATTCTGCCTTCTCAAAGGCGATTTGTTCGATGAGTTTATCACGCCTCGATTCATACCGTTCAAGGATCTTCTTGAGTTTCTCGCTATCCTTCTGGAAAAGCTCATTCTGTTTCTTGAGCTCGCTGATAGAAGGCTACGGGTCATATATATGAGGAATGGCATGTGGTATGTTGGTAGAGAATTCGAACTTACTGCGGTTGACTTCAACTTGCTGTACTCCCCCTGAAGTTTGGACAATTCCCCGGTCTGTTGATCCAGTTCATCTTGAACTCTTTCGTTCCGCTTCTCTTAAAGAGTCATGAGATGGGGTACGGAAATAGGAGACAAAGCACGAACGATAGCGGCCTTCCATAGCCTGGTTCCACTCCGTGAAGTCATCTTGTAGGTCGAGCCACAGCGTATAAGTTTCTTCCAGATACTGGAAAGCAAGCGCTTTATGGTCAAACGGGTCATCGAATTCTTCCGGAACATGCTCTGGATTCTGGATGGTAGGGTGTCCACTGAACAGATAATCCATTCGCATCTATATTTACATGAGCTTCACAAGGGGTTTCAAATCTAGGTTTTGACATACTTTGCACAATTCGACCAGCCAATGAAGCACGCCTAAAAGATACGGCCATGAGTGCGGACTAGCTACAGCAGCAAGCCATTTCGGGTCAAGCTGATGAGCGAAAGGGTATCGTAGTGCTTTAAGAGCAGGCACAAATTCTTCTTCGAACCGAGCACCGTCTTTAAAGGGATACGAAGAATCGAGGGTGAGAACGAGGGTGTCAAAAATGGCGCGATAGTCTTTCCCTTGCATGCTCGTTAATGCAGGCATGGAAATTTCGAAACCAGACTCGTTGAGGTAGTTGTAAACATCTTGCCGCATCTTCGCTTGGTAGGGTCGATCTCGTAGAGGTCGGCTATCCTTTGCGACTTGGTTGCTGGACGGCGGTGCCAGCATAGGACCACCACCCCACGTTGACCCACGCCGCACAGAGCTAGAGTGGAAGAAAGTTGAGCTTGCGTATCGACCAGATGGACCTCGCTTACTCTGTTAGAGGTGTCCGCAAATGATTTGGTTTGCTCGCACTTTGCAGCAACGGGTTTGCATGCTGAGGCCGCAGCATTGACTGCCTGTGGATACTTGGAGGCGGCATTGTATTGGGCGCTCGCATTGCAGAACCTGCCAGCGACATTCGTCCAGAGCTGGGTGTAGGTTTCTTCAGTGTTGAAGGCATTGGGATTCCCGAGCGACCATTGCCGAGAGGATCCTTCGAGGGCTGCATTACGGAATATCTCCGTGAGTCCATGATCGGTGGGTACCGGCAAGGAGATGTATGAAGTCGCAGAGGCGTCTTGAAGTCGTAATTGTTCAAAATCGACAATATGTTGAACGGGGCGTGACATCCGCGTCGCGTAACGTAACGCGTAAATGCACGTGAGAGGCTGACGGCCCGACAGCCCGCAGCCGATGATGTACAAATGACTTCACACAAAATGTTGTCAAAATGACTCTTGGACTACAGAGACTCTCATATCCAACAGCCTTTGTCCTCGCTTGTTTTCTTCCCGTACTCTCACAACTACTGAAATCGGCTAAAATAGCTATGTCCGCACCTCGCGATCTGTTTGGGGGTGCTATCACTGTTCGTACAGCGCATGATCTTGTCGATGCATCGTGCGTAGCTTTTGCGTCCGTTCTGAGGAGCTCTCGAGTTGACATACAACAATGCTCGGCAGGGATCTGCGTCAAGTACCTGACACGCAGGAGGTTTTCATGTACCCTTGTTCCTCTGTCAGTATCGTCGTGGAGATTCTCCAACGAGCAGAGCCTTCTAATTTGGACGATGCTATACGGTATATTTTCTCCCGCTTTGCTGCAACTATAGGAAAGCTTCAATTCACCCCGATATCCAATTTACTCTAGTTTTCACTTTGATTCTCTGGCACATGACAATTCGGCTCGCTCAGTTCACGTTGAAAGTGTCTTTACGATTCCGACCGATCGAGGGGATAACACACCATCTGCTACTATCCTCTACGGCACCCAATCCATCCCCAAGTTCAACCAGTCGGTTCCTGACCAAGTGAATATCTACATGGCCCTGTTCCGCATACAGGACAAATCCATCGATCTGGTGGTAACTTTCAACGTGCCCACCAGCTCAGTAGATGGTGGCGCGGTCAATAGTACCGGTGTCGAAAGGGCCAAAGCGGACTTCAGCGAATTTGTTTCTTCGTTGCGCATCGTTGATTTTGGGCTCTTTGCCTAATAGACCTTTAGGAGACCTACGCTTTTCAGGGAAATGTACAACGAAGTTTTCGGCCAACTAAGTAAGACAATGTTTATCTTATCCTCCTGCAGTGAGAACATCATCGCCGCTCGGGTACTTAGCTTGTGCTGTCATATCTCCCTGTCGCAGGAGACCATTTTTTTATAGCTTTGTTTGTGCAATTGCACCACGTGTGAAAGAGAGCTTGACAAGTTATATTTCTCGTGCTGGGTCGCATTGGGCAACTAATTTCCTCATTACCGCGGCAGATATGCTCCCCATATAGGTCTATATTGTACACTCCTGCCCCTCTCACAGTGTGTCAGATTATTTCTCTTCTGGTTCTCCTCGTCTCCATCCCTTCCTTCCGAGGTACATCCGCCTGGTATTTCTATCTCGAAGCCGGACATCTACATTCCTTGCCTGGATTGAACCCACGCATGAAGGGCCTGCCTCACACGTCCTGCCAAATGTTGCTCGAACCTTCCGTCTATGGATCCAGAGCCGCTCACCAACGTGCCAATATTCCAATATTCCACCCCACACAACGGTTGCATTCGAAATCCTTTGCGGCGAGATTTGCACGCAGCCCCTCAATGTGTGTTTCGAGGGCGAGCACTTTTCGAGTGCATGTCCTTTGAGCTTGATGCAGCCACATCGAGATCTTATGGTCGAGTAATGTGTGGAGAGTGGGAGAGTGGCCCGACTTTGTGATGATTCTCTCCTTGCATATGCACAAATTGAGAGAACCGGCATAGTGTGCAAGGAGGGGTTGATTTCGAGTCAACAACAGGCGTTGGCTCGTTCACTGGCAATCCAATCCGGAAATCGGGTCGTTGCTGGAAGAACTATGTGCGGCATATAGTATAGCGTCAGCTATAGATACATTGTATGATACATGCTACCAGAAGCAAGAGCAAGGGAACGAAAAAGCCACAGGAAGTGACAGGTTTGGTGGAGACTGATTTGAGAATTATGACACCTATAAACAAAAGTGAGACCAGATGATCAGAAGTGGCTGGTTCGATAGCCAATTCACCTCTTTTCAGCGCCTATCAGCGTGTTTTTGCGTCGTCTAGCTCCTCCTCTGCTTCTGGCTCTTCGATAATGCGTTCTCTCACTCCAGTGGCGGCCTCTGCAGCAGCCTTTGCTTCCTTCTTCCTCTTCGCAGAGTCCTTCAGCTTTTCCCACCTCTCGCGGAACTTCGCAATCATTAGTTTCTATTTGGCAGCAAAGGCAACATGAATCGGAGCAGCAAACACGAGGGATTGGGGCACACTAACGTTTTTATCATTCTCAACTCGCATGAGCCTGAGCTCCTCCTCGAGCTCCTTGATTCGTCGCATGTACTGGGCCTCTCTGCCTGTATTCATTCCGGGGATTGGCAACGCCGGGACGTTGATGTTGAGATTGTTAAAATCCAGCGCTGGGGAGGGCACGGGTCGCTGAAGCACGGTTGATGCGCCGAGCGCTCGCTGGGCCTATGCCATGTGAAACAAAATCGGTCAAAACCAGTCAAAAATAAGAGGTGAGGATATGGGTCAGGTCGGTGATTGACATGCCAAGGGCTCGTATGGTGAAACGAAGAGACCTACCTCGCGTGTCGCCATGAATATGCTGTCGCGTAGCTGGAGATCTTGCTCCTTGCGGAGCTTAAGTATTTGTTCGGCGGTCTCCAGACGACTCTTCATTGACGTGATTTCGGCTTTGAGGGAGGCATTCTCTTTCTTAAGCACAGCGGGGGTTTGTTCGTTCCCAGATGGGATGAAGAAGAACGATCCCGATAGGTCATCACCTGGCCCACGGAACGAAGTGAAGATGCAGACATCAGGCCAGAGAAAAGGCAGATGGAGGGAAGAGGCAGGGTTGGTCAGATCGGCGAGGTCGGGAGAGAAAGATAAGGGTCCATACCGTCTTCAAAGAAATCATTATCCTCCTCGAAGTCGTCTCCGTCATACGAGGAGGTTGTTGAACTGCTGGGCGCAGTATTGCGGCCGGTATTGCTCTTTGCAGGTATACGCGTCTCCCTGCTCCCTTCTCGACTTAGTCCAATTTTTCTCGTGAATTTGGAAAATATAGGTTCATCTGCATCTGTATCACTGCTAATACTTCCATCTCTCCGGCCTTCAACAATGTTCTTATTTGATGAGGGCGTGTCAGGAAGTTCGGGATTGCCGAGAGGAACAGTGGCAAATGCCACTGGTTGCGAAAGATTATCCAGCATACCCTGCATAATGTTCCAAAACTGATTGAAAGCATCTCCAGGATCTGACTGAGGGCGGAGGCAGTGTTGAACAGGAGAGGAGGATCATTGAGAATGAGTATCATGCCTCCGCAATGGGAGTGCTGGATGCGGAAAGGAAGACACCACTTACCCGTTGGCCGCCGAGTAGCATAAAAGATTCATCACCAGTGTTGGAATCAGTTAAAGGTCGACCAGTGGGCTGGGGTGATGAAGTGTTCATCCTGGAGGGTCCAGCGTATTGGCTAGAGTTTCGTCGCGGTGATGCAGGCTTCGGCAGGTCTGGTTTTTGTGGGAGTGCGGGGTCTTTGCCTTCCTCTCTCAGCTTATCGATTTTGCGTTGCAGATCTTTGGCTGCCTTGCAGTGTTCGTTGTAGAGCATCCGCAGTGTCCGCTGGGCCTATAAGCAAAGAAGAAATCAGAACAGTATAAGCAACGCAAGGTGATCTGCTCGACAAACCGATTCGTCATGACTCCTCTCAATCGCGGCCTGGTAAGCTTCTGCTGCCTTCAAATGCTCTTCTGCCGCGAGTACTATCAGCCCATTCGCTATATAGTCGTCTGCATTCGCCGCATGTTGGTGCGCCTAGGGGAAATAGCTCGTAAGGCGCTTAACTCGAGGGTCGATCAATTTGAAACCTACCGCATTCATGGGTGTATCAATGACCGACATCGCGTGGGATACATGCGCAGTGGGTGCTGTTGCAGATTATCAAGGAACAGAAAGGTGGAAGCTCGTAAACCAGGTGGCAATGACGGAAGGAAGTGATGACGGCCTCCTACTAGCCTCGGCTTGGACTTTGCAGGTTGTCCAAATTTAGCATTATGGAGAGAGCCCAAAGCCCTCTTCTCACGGCTGGACCTTGACCTTGAGGACTGAATTGTCGAAATACCGACAATTTACTCACACGGATATGTCCTGGGCTCACTTACTGGTAGAAATCGCCTGATCTTCAATGATTTCTTCATCTCTACAATTACTTAGTACAGCTCGGCATATCCAAAAAAGCGGCATCATGATGACTACACAGCCCAGCTACAAACGAACGGCAGTATCACTGGCGCTGAGCGCTCAAAAGTGATCTCTACGGATATGGTCGGAGGGAGGGAGTGTTGGACCTCGGCGATATGTATTGATAGCATCCAAGTCGAAAACAGGAAACATAACAGTGTGGGGTTGCAGCCAATGAGTAGCAGATCAGGATTGCCCAAATAAACCAAGGCACATTGCACATTATCAGAGAGCGCCCGCCCGTGGAAGCCGGATAGCAGCGTGATGTGTAGGCAAGCGAGATGGCAGGGACGGTTTCAGTTGGTTCTCCTTTTCCGATGTTCATAAAAGCAGTCCTCCAGGTAAGACTTGAACGATTATCCCCGCCTTGCCACCATCTCAAGCACCATGCCATCTATCAACAACTTCCTTGCAGTGGTAAAGAGGCCGTTCACCTGTCGAGATAAAGGGAGGTCGAGGGGCGAGGCAAGTGGAGACAAAGTTATTGGAGTTCGACGATATTGCTGACGACCCAGTTGCAGGCAGCGGCTGAAGAATGTATGACTGCTGCAACCGTGGACTTTGGGTCGGTCACGGTCGTCGCTACCGTATGATTGCGTGTTCTTCTGCATTGTTGAGCCTATGAGAACCTGATGACAGGGATACAAAGGCTTGGACACACAGCTCCGAAGTCCTGATGTGACAGATCCCAAGGAGAGTGGGAGAGGCTTCTTCCGCGCTCGGAGAAGGGGCTCGAACAGATCGTTGGTACGCCATGCCATGCTACATCTACGATGGGGGATTGACCTAGAATGAAGAGGAAATCAGTTCTTCGCGACCAGAAGTGTATGCCCAGTATAAGGACCGCAGGCAAGCGGAAACGACGTACAAGTTCAGGCGACAAGTGGGAGGCGCTATTGTTGGCTGCGAAGGCGAGAGACCAGGAAGCGAGACAGAAAGTGGAGGATCCCGTTGAATACTCAGCCGAGTTCATGCAGTGGGTGACATGGGGCTCAAATCGGCAGATTATGGAGCGGTTTCGAGACGAGAACGACGAAAGGAGAGACTCGGATCTGTAAATTATTGTTATTACGTATGATATAGATACCTTATTGCGCAGGAGTTGTGTGCACTCAGAGTGCAGAGTGCAAAATGAAGACGAGAAGGGAAGTGTGACATGTGACAGGGAGGTGTTTGCGGAATTCTTGCTCAGCACGACTCTCTTCGTTGTCAAGCACTCCGACGTACAGCACCGCCCACAGTCCGTCCAAGAGTACACCGGCTTTTCCAAGCATTCTCCTTCCTCTTCCACCACCCCGATGGCAGCAACCCCTGGCCCCCTGTAAGCCTCCTCTCTCTCATCCGACTCAGACCGCTTACTTATCGCCCCACCTCGCAGCAGGAAGAAAGTCAGGGTGACAGGTCCGTCGTTTGTCTCTCTTCACCACAGTGCATACAGCTGACTCGGCTTCTCGTGCGCAGTCGTCGCCGCTGACGGCCTGTCCAAGCGCGATGTTTTCCGCCTCCCAGACCCCTTCGCAGTCATCACTGTCGACGGTGAACAGACTAGCACCACCAGTGTTATCAAGAAGACTCTGAACCCGTATTGGAACGAAAGCTTTGATATGTGAGCATCATCTGTCTAACCACCTCGTCTCAACCTCCCAACCGAGTTATCGTCTCCTCCCAGCACTGTTAAGGATTCGTCTGTTGTGGCTGTCCAGATCTTTGACCAGCGCAAGTTCAAGCGAAAGGATCAGGGTTTCCTGGGTGTTGTCAATGTCCGGGTCAGCGACGTCCTCGATTTAGAGCTAGGTGGCCATGGTAAGCTTAACTAGTGTCTCCCGGACCTATGTCTCTCTTGATACCAATCTGATTACAACTAGAAATGCTCACCTTGGACCTCAAAAAATCCAACGATAATCTTGTTGTTCATGGCAAGCTCATCATGTATCTGTCCACCAACGTCACCCAACCCATCTCCAATCCTGGACCGTCACAAGTGGCCGGTATCGCGACAGCCTTGTCCGAAATTGGTCTAAGCAGCGCTTCGCCTTCCGCAAGCACCACAAATCTCACTCTCAACGCTTCGACTACAACCAGTGCCCTCTCCAGAACAGCTAGTTCCCACGCCACAGGCCCTGATGTTGCAGGGCCATCTGTCGCACCTTCAAACGTAACTTCTCCGGCGACCACCACCTCTGAAGATCATCAGGCACAACCTGTTGCCGTTTCCTCCCGACCGACTAGCACTGCGGCTTCTACGGCTCCTGCTACGACGGTCCCTGCTCAAGCCACAAGCACACAAGGGACGATGTCCGCGACGCAGACGAACCAACAAAGCTCCCAAATGAGGAACTTCAATCCCAACGTTGATCAATACGGGCCTCTCCCCCCAGGGTGGGAAAGACGCATCGATCCTCTTGGGCGGACGTATTACGTCGATCACAACACCCGCACAACCACATGGAATCGTCCATCACCAAATGCAGCCGTAAACAATTCAGCACAGGACAGTGAGACCAATGCCGCTCGTGATCAACACTCTCGACGTATCTTGGCTGATGACCTTTTGGAGGCCAACAATAATACCTATCGAAGCAGCAGCACGACTCCGGCGCCAGCAGCTACCTCGCCATCGCAAACCCAGCAACAGGCTCCCCCAGCAGCCATTGCAACTTCGACAGCGACTACAGCGGGCACTGGTGCTTTACCGAATGGATGGGAGGAACGATACACTCCGGAGGGCCGTCCGTACTATGTCGATCACAACACACGAACGACGACCTGGGTCGACCCTCGTCGACAGACCATCATTCGCGTCATGGGGCCGAATGGACAAGGATCTGGTTTGCAACCCCAGACAATCTCGCAACTTGGGCCGTTGCCGTCTGGATGGGAGATGCGGCTTACGTCGACCGCCCGTGTCTACTTCGTCGATCACAACACAAAGACCACAACATGGGACGACCCTCGTCTGCCGTCCACGCTTGACGCGAACGTGCCACAGTACAAGCGGGATTTCAGAAGGAAGCTTATTTACTTCAGAAGTCAACCTGCCATGCGTGCTCAGCCTGGCAATTGTCAGATTAAGATTAGGAGAAACCACATCTTTGAGGATAGCTATGCGGAGATCATGAGGCAAACGCCAAACGATCTCAAGAAGCGTCTCATGATTAAGTTCGACGGCGAAGATGGGTTGGATTATGGTGGTTTGTCCAGGTGCGTTTCCTGTATGGCCTAGGGTGAAATGTCACGTACTGATTGAAATATTAGAGAATTTTTCTTCTTGCTCTCGCATGAGATGTTCAACCCATTTTACTGTTTGTTCGAATACTCTGCCCACGACAATTACACTCTGCAGATCAATCCTGCCTCTGGTGTTAACCCGGAGCACTTGAACTACTTCAAGTTCATCGGGCGCTGCTTGGGTCTGGGCATCTTCCACCGCCGATTCTTAGATGCATACTTCATTGTCAGCTTCTACAAGATGATTCTGAAGAAGAAGGTCACGCTGTCTGATTTGGAGAGTGTGGATGCTGAGCTCCATCGTGGACTGACATGGATGCTGTAAGCTTCCTTTTGTTTTTCCATGCTTTCTCCTCTCAATTGTTGTTGTACCCTGCAGCGAGAACGATATCACAGATATCATCGATGAGACGTTTACAACGACAGAAGAGCGCTTCGGGGAGATGGTCACCATTGAGCTCAAGCCCGGAGGTGCCGATGTTCCAGTCACCGAAGAGAACAAGAAAGATTATGTCGACCATGTTGTGGAATACCGCATCTCGAAGCGAGTTAAGGAACAATTCGAGGCTTTCATGTCTGGGTTCAGCGAGCTCATTCCGCAAGACCTTATCACAGTCTTTGATGAGCGTGAGCTGGAATTGCTCATCGGCGGAATGTCAGAGATTGATGTGTAAGTGTTATTTTCTTCACTAAGCCGCTGACAGTGGGATACTGATTGCCACCGCGCAGCGATGACTGGACGAAGTTCACCGACTACCGAGGATACGAGGTCAACGATGAGGTCATCCAATGGTTCTGGAAGTGTGTACGAAGCTGGCCACCAGAGCGCAAGTCGCGGCTGCTGCAGTTCGCCACGGGCACCTCACGAATCCCGGTCAACGGCTTCAAGGATCTCCAGGGTTCGGATGGCCCGAGACGCTTCACGATCGAGAAGTCAGGTGATCCATCGCAGTTGCCAAAGAGTCATACTTGTTTCAATCGTATCGACTTGCCTCCGTACAAGGATTATGCAAGCCTGGAGCAGAAGCTCACGCTTGCCGTCGAGTGCGTAGCCTTTCTTTTCGTTCCCTTCATGCCTTTATGCTAACACATGTGTGTTTGTGTCCTTCAGAGAGACTGTTGGTTTCGGGCAGGAGTAAACATTCCTTGTCCATTGTCTTTTCGGTTTACCGTTGCTCTCATTGCTCGTGCCCACCATGCTCCACGACCCGGCTTAAAGCTCTAAAACCCAATTGTTCAGATATAAGTGCATTCCATACCTATCCATCTCGTGTATCACCTTATTACGCATGATTTATTCTGGCTTCTCTCCTTATTAGTTTTCCCTTCTTTCATACTTAGTCGGTGTTTCTGCTCTGGCCATCAGCCTAATGTGTTCGTGCTCTTCGTGCCTTGGGCTTGTTGCCGGTCCGAGTCTTCTCTTCTCTGCGCGGATTTATATAACATCTCATCGTATTCCCTCTCAGTATGAATGTGCAATGCACTAGAGTTAATTTCATGCGAACCTCCCTTCGTTTACTACGCCAACAAACTTATCTGGAAACATGTCCTTCACCTCGATGGGTGAATGATCTAGCTGTCATGCCAAGGTGGTCTTCAAGAAATAGCTGAAATTACAGAGTCTGGATGGATTTGTGATTAATTATCAAATTGTAATATGTAGCAGGGGTTTGACGAGTGTGCCGTAGCTAGTGTTGTTGGCACTGCGACATGTTGTTGGATTGTTGAATTGTTGATTCACCCTTCCGCCTACTACCCACCATATTTCTCCTTTTACACATTTTCTATTGAAAGCGGGGTCGCCGAACACACTCACAATACAAAGCGACACCGATTGTGTGGCGTCGGGCCTCGTTGTGCAGATGTTTCCTTTTCCAGGCTGGTTGGTGAAGACGGAATGACAATTTAAATCTATGAACGGGGCCTTCTATAGCATAGAAAATGGTTGGGGGTCGATTCGTACTTGCTGGGTTGTTGTTCAAACGTTCACGGTGCACCCAGCCGTATTGGTTTTGTACACATCAGTAAGAATGGACCGCGTTTCTGTCCTTTTACAAACTGGCGGTGCAGCAGGCGTCGTGATCAAGGCAGCTGGAAAATGTGCTCCAACTGCCATAGGAAGGATTGAGTTCATGTGCTCTACAGAATCAACGGTGCTTATTATAGATGAATCGTTAAGTCACCTCGTCCCGATTTCGAGCGACTTCCAGATGGACTCGCTGCCTATGCACAAACAGCCAACTTCACTAAACTCTGGCCTTCGAGGCATCGCATCGACCATGCACTGCTACACGGCGTCGTCTCTGCCATTGGTCCATGTCATTCCCAGTCCCACCGGTCACATAGATACACTGCGCGGGGTCGTTGCTAATGCCCTTGACAGCCGGGTACCTCTTCAGAACTTTCCAGTTCTCCTTAATTATTAGACTCGGAGAACTCGGCGTGTACCCGGAGCCGATGTAGTCTAGGTTATCCCGACATTGCTTTCGCAAGTAGGTGCGCCACACAATTTCCTTCTTGGGTCGAAAACAGGCCCCTGAGCCTGAGAGCGTCGCACCAAAACAGAAGTGAGGAGTTTCACGGGCGAAATCAGAGCTGTCTGCGGTTCTGAAAGACTGTATCCTGAGTTACAACAAATACAACACTTACAGATTCGAACAGCCGGGAATCCAGGAGCCACCATTACCCTTCGGGTAGCGCTGTACCACGTCTTCAACAACAAGCGTGCCCAATCACTTGTCTCCGACAAATGCGGCCTGGTATATCATATTGCCCGCTTCCGTCACCGCTGGTTTCTTTTTCTCACCGGCTGTGTCAATCGAATTAACAAAAAGGCAGGCAGCGGCACTTCTCGTTACTCACTTCAGTGTGAGACTGGCCCTTCGATGAGGCCGTAATGCGTTGCAGGTTTAGTTCTTGCGTAATTGCTGACACAGAGCTGTGCGATATCGTAGTCAGCACCCTTCAGTAGATGCTGCCAGTGAGAAAGGCATACCTTCCATTCGTCCGTCCCTGTCGCGAAGCTGAGTGGGATCTCTCGTCAGTGCGTCAAAGCTAATATTCAACTTCACCTCACCTCTTCGTTTTCAGAACTGTGTTCGGGGTATATTTGAAAGTGACCAAATACCAGACTTTGTGTGCAGGGTTCGGTGACGCAGTAGTGTAGGCATCTCCCTATGCGATAGTGTCATCTAGGTCTTACGTAACAATTCAAAGAATTCAACAGTTATATTTCATATACATGTATGTGAAACCGGGCCTGCAGTTGAAGAGAAGATGTATAGAGCACCCTCATGTGCGAAATCGCTTACTCTACGATATGAGAACGTCGGATGGTGTCCCTTCTGATAGTTGGCGATGTGCGCAAGCTCCCGCTGAGTGACACCACGATAGAATATCGTAGGAACACGCAGATGCAAAGGAAGAGGCGAGGTACGTTTTTCCAACTCGACGGTGACAGGAGCCGCAGCGACCCGGACCAGGGAGACGCATGCAGCGAGTGCGGAAACGAGGATGGAGGTGAATTTCATGGCGAGTCGTGATCAGGAGGGGCTTGAGGGATAGAGACCAGCTCTAGGGAGATTTCATGGAGAGTAGGTTGTTTTGTAGAATTTTGCGAGATGGCGCTCAAGAGGAACCTTTTCGAGACCGACACCGGAGCTCCGAAGTGAAGAGCGCGACTTATCTCCATCTCATCGCAGGCGAACAAGGTCTCCGGACCTCTTCAGCTATGCAGTCCATATTTCGTCGTCGGTAGGTAGCCAGCTCAATATACTCTGGATGCGAATCACCTCAAGGTTCAGAGCAATAGCGTACAACCGGACTGTAGAGTTGATCACCATTCAACCAGTTTTGCTGTTCGGCCCTTCGGCATTCAGACTGACGATTCCATAGGACCTGGATGTCTGAAAAGTGCAGTTGGCTGTCGGAAGAACACCTCTGGAATTGTCTGTGACGAACCCGTCCTGTCAACATGTTGACGATGTTGTACTGTGCTGGGCAGTGCATACCTTCCGCCTCGTCCACCCTAGCATATCCTTGTCATTGCTCATTATGACTTATACAGGCCCGAAACAAGTAAAGAGGTGTCCGAGCTGACATATCTGTTGCTTCCTATATATTTCTACGATCTTCATGTCGTCGCTGCGTGGAACGTCTTTGCGGCATTGGCATGGAAGGTTGACCTCGCGGCTCTTACTTTTCGGTGTGGCCACAGTCGCCTCGTAGATTCAGTCTCGTAACAGGAGGGTTCGACAGTAAGGCCATAGGCAGCGTAGACGATAAGCCAGACGAGGACTATCGGCCGTCATAGGTATTGGATGTTCACTCGGACTGGAGGGGGGTTCGCGGGGGATGAACGCTCGAGCCATCCATCGAGCCATCGCCAATCCTGGCGGACAATAACGAAGCTGGGCCACCCTCGATGAACAATGGAGAGGGAAGAGAGACTCCGAGCCCCTAAGCGCAAACCTTATCACGCCCAAACGCGTCGATGCGCATCACGTGTGTACGCGTTCACGCGCCGAATCAACAAACACCAAAAGTCAGCACAGCCACGGGTAACATCACATGATCGATCGCGCCCGCGTTTTGTTGACCAGGGCGAGGATATAAATAGGAGCGGCTCGGCAGCAGCTGAGCTGCGTCCACCCCCCACTCGAATCCCTCTCCCTCCGTTTATTTGTGATACAACAAGAGCCTAACCCTACCGCTTACACTTACACATCACCTCATCGACTTTAACAACCTCTACTACTAACACGCATACAATGTCTGCACCTTCCTCCCTTGCTGCGCCGCCCGTCGAGACCCTTGCTGAGTCTTCCCCCGCTCCTGCTGCTGAGGCCGCCCCTGCTGCGACCAAGCCTGCCTCCAAGGCCAAGAAGGCCACCACTGCGAAGAAGCCCGCCTCGAAGAGGGCCGCCGCTGCCAAGGAGAAGGCACCCAAGGAGAAAGCCACCACCTCCAAGGCCGCGAAGGCCACCACGAAGAAGGCGGTTGCTGCTAAGCCTGCCGCGAGCGGCCGTCCCTCGTGGAAGGATATCATCAAGGAGTGCATTGTCGCGAACAAGGAGGACGCGCGTGTTGGTGTTTCGAGGAACACTATCAAGAAGGTTTGTTGAATCTATTGTTGGTGAGGAGAGCAGGGTACTGATGTTTATCGATTTGTAGTACGCTGAGGAGACCTATAAGCTCGACGTCACGGGCACCAACCTGTTCCAGCTGAACCGCGCCATCGCCACCGGTGCCGAGAGTGGCCTGTTCTCGCTCCCCAAGGGCCCATCGGGCAAAGTCAAGCTCGCACCTAAGCAGCCCAAGGCATCTGCTTCCAAGGAGGTAAGCTCACTAGCTCTTACCCATGGAGTTTCAGCATACTCATCATTGTTTACTCAGAACTCTAAGCCACCCTCGAAGGCTGCCTCTAAGCCTGCTGCCACCACCAAGAAGCCCGCCGCTGCCGCGAAGCCCAAGGCTGCTGCAGCCACCAAGAAGACCACCGCTGCTCCTAAGAAAGTGCTCAAGGCCAAGGCTGCTACCACCACGACGAAGAAAACCACGACTGCCTCGAAGAGGGGTGCCGCTAAGAAGGTTAGTTGCGCTCTCCTCCGCCCTTCCCCTTTCTATCTTTCTTTCTTTCTATTCTCCGAGCGGTGATTAGATATTGCCTGGGCCTTTTCTCACATCAAAACCCCTTTGTCCATCTATTTCGGGCTTGTGTGTGCTGACGATGGTATGCGTTATCTCAAACAGGCGGTGACGGGCACCACGCCTGCTGCCAAGGCAAAGGCCGCTGCTACGAAGAAAGCCCCCGCAAAGAAGGCCACTACAGCTACGAAGAGCTCCAACACTGTCAAGAAGGTGGGCTTTTCTTTACCGAATTGGTGCAGTCGTTGGTGCAATACTGATGCTTGTGGAACAATAGCCTGCTGTGGGCGCGAAGCCACGCTCGAAGACAACAGCGAAGCCGGCGTCAAAGCCAGCATCGAAAGCCAAGAAGGTGGGTAAAACGCCATTGATGATGCCTTTTTCCGAGAGAATGAATGAGCTGACAATGGGTGTTTAGGTGGCTGCATGATTAGAGCCGTGGAGTGACTGATTTGGAGTTCATCTTTGTTTATCTGCTTACATTTTCCGTTTTTCCGTCTCATCTTGTCGGCTGCGCGCGTGTCTCTACTAGTATCCTGCTTGTACATATATATTGTTATTACTATCTCAGGATTATCTCTTGTGCGAGAATTGAGAATGATAGGGTAGTTGATGATAACGAGCCTCGCGTGGGGAGCGTGTGTTTCCATGGATGGAGTGTGTTGAGACAAGAGAGAATCATGACAGGTTAATGGAGTAAGCGACAAAAGGCTAAGTCGGACGGCTTCTCGATCGAGATCTGACGCGCTGTGTGCTGTTCCCCAGCGAGCGTTGGACTGACGAAGGTGAGAGTGAGCTGGGGTGTGTCTGGACGTGTTCTGTGTTTTTCTGGCGTGGTTGCTGGGGGAATAGGGGACGGGGTGCAGGGTCGGCAATCTGCGGCAATCAGGGACCCCGGGGGCAGGTGCCAGGGACTGGTGATCGGAGTCTGTGCTGCGTAATTTGGAATGGAAAAGGACTGGCGACTGGCGAGATCTCTCTTCCCTCACCTCTTCATGGACCAGCACCACTCATACGCCACCCGCATCCGCCACAACGTACCCATCCGCCCCGCTCCTCGTCGCCAGAACTCTCCAGAGCCCCAGCCGCAGTACCCCCCCTTCCCCCCGCCCGGCGTCGAGCTCCACCCAGAGGATGCCAACAGCAAGGTCTTCCTCGCCGTCGCCCGCGCCTTTGTCTCGGTAGTACGTATATGCTACCTCTCTCCTCCCGCTGAGCTCACCCCGCCTAGGACAACCGTGCCATGACCATCAAGGACATTGCAGAGCGCGCAAGCCACTTCGGCCTCGTCTGTCAAAAGTGCGTCTCCACTTGCTCCTTTGGGCGAGATCAACCACTCATCATCCCACCCAGCCTCTCAGCCGCCGCCCAGGCAGTTACTACCTACCTCAGAACACACAAGACTCGCTGCGACCAGCAGCAGGACTTCCCCCTCCTCCTCAGCCACACCCTCTCCGGTACACCCGCCGACGACGACCTCGTCCCTGCCCTCTACTCTCGGTCCGGCGGCGATTCCCACCCAGTACCGAATAGGCTTACAAACTTTAGAAAGGGCACCGCCGTCTGGTACCTGTCTCGCGCCACCGGTGTGCCCTGTCCCTTTTCCCGAGCCGGCATTCGACTATGCGACTACGTGAGCCAAGACGCGCAGGACGCGGAGAGGACGTCCAAGCGCGAACGAAGGAGGCAGGAGAGGGAGGCTGTATGCGGTCAGAAACGTAAGCGTCCTCTGCGCGGGTGCGCCATCCGCGGTGCCAACGACTCCGACGTCGAGCGGCCACCCAAAGTCAAGCTCACCCTTCGCCTCAAGCCACTCCTCTCAAAGCAACAGCCCACGCCCACCTCGCCGCCTGCCGAGGGCTCCTCATCAACGCGCCCAATTGACGTATCTAGGGAGGAATCAGATTCTTACGACTCAGGCGACGACTCCATGTCCGTTGATTCTTCCGACGACGAATCACAAACCGCTCAAATTAAGAAGGATGAGGAAGAACCATGGTCCCTGCCCCCGTACCCACGCCGGTCCATCTCCATTCCATGCTACACCCCCTCGGTCGAGTCGTACTGCCCATACTATCCGCCATCGCCATCCAAGTACAAGGACCCGTTCCGCCGTTCGCCCTCCGTTCCCTTCAGCGTCGATGCTACCCCTCCACCCGACTCAGAAGACGAGACGGATGACTATCACGTCGCGATGACGCGCATACAGCAATACCATGCAGAGGAGGAGGAGGAGGATTTGGGTTGGGAGGCGGATCTTGACAGTGAAGGCGATGGTGAGACGATGTGGGAGAGTCCCGGACCGCGCTCGCCCTCTGCGCCACTCGTCCTGCCACCCGCAGAGGTTGCGGTCAAGGAGGAGCCGAGGGATGTGCAGGGTATGCTTGACGCGTGGGAGGATTTTGACTCGACCATCGCCGACGCGCGTGTCGCTGAGGTGCTTGCGAAGGCCCTCGACGCAAGCGCGACAGAGCAACAGCAAGTGAAGGTCGAAGTCGAAGCAACGGATCCGTGGGATTGGGATACAACGCATAGTGGACACGGTTGGGCGTCGGAGGATGGCGTGCGCGTCAAGCAAGAAGATTTTGGCGTCGACTCGCTCTTCCCGCCTAGGCCGTCCTCGCCGCTTTCGGCTGTCTCCTCGCTTGCATCTCAACTATCTGCGTTCTCGCCTATGGATACATCTTCTTCACCTCCACGAACACAGCATGGTGAGGACGGAAGGAGTTGCCCAACTGTTCGACCACGCGCAAAGACCGTGCCGGCAGCCTCGTCCCTTTTCCAAGCCCCCACCCCCGCAACGACCTCGCTTCCACCTCCGATTCGTCACTCGGTCTCCGGCTCGTCTGCTAAACCTAACACGCACGAAACTTCCATTCATTCCGCCGCGCTCGCGAGGCTTCTCCAGACAATGCATGTAGGACCTTCGTCCAGCTCAAGCTCCAGCCCTGCATCAAGTTCAATGAGCTCTCCAGCCCCCTCCGTACTTCTCCACTCGCCAACGCCCTGTGTCTCGCCACTGCAAACGCGCTGCCAACCCTCGAGCAGCGGGCCGCCCGTAGCCAAAGTCGTTGTGCACACCTGCCAGCCGTGTCATCCTGCCGTCAGTGCAACCCAAATAGAAGGTGCGTTCGAATATAGATTTGATGATATGTGACCCTTGACTGACTGACAAACTCGTCCCCTCGTTCCTTTCGCCATCCTTGCCTTGCCTGCTGCCGCTTGTGCGAATCTGGATCTGGAATGGACGTGAACGTTAATAGAGATATCGGTGTATCAAATGATGCTGGGGCCTTTCCAGCTTCTCCGCCGCATTGACTCCGATTTCGTCAACCTCTCGCCTATTGTGGCCTACTCTGGCACAGCGCCAGTGATGAATAGGGATGGGTGTAGTGGTGGTGACTCGACCTCAGGCTCCGCAACGACGACATCGCCTTGCGCAAGTTCGAATTCAATAAGCTCGAGTTGGAACCCGAGCGTCATCGCCAACGCCACGGTGATAACGAAGGGATCTCCAGAGGTGTGTGGAACGTGGGTACCGCTCGCAGCCGCACAGGCGTATGTGCGCGAACACCTTTCGGGCGAGGGTGCGCGCGCGCTTGAAGTTTTCCTCAGCGATACGCTTGTCGATCGCTTCCCTCGTGCGTTGCGTGACTTGCAGTTCCAACTCACGCACCAGAGCGCGAAGGGTCTCAACCAGTTTGGGCGGCATTTCGCATCGACGCTACTTGCTGGCGGGTTGGGTGTTGAGACGAGTATCAAGATTCTGCAACACCCGCCGCACCACCATCAGCAACATGGCCAGCATACAAGCAGTGCAATGCTGCCCGGGATGAACACGCTGGTGATGCCGACGCCGTCATTTGTACTTGGACTAGGACGTGCAGATGAGAACGAGGTGCCGCTAAGCGCGACGGAACAGGAGCTCTTCCACGAGCTGTGCGTTATTCCACCGGATTGGGAGAAGGAAAGCGGATGCGTTGGGGATGACGAAAGGGAGAATGATGAAGAAACGAAGGACGAAGAGGCGATGGATGTTGATGTCGACGTGCAGAAGACCGCGACTCTACCCCCAACACCGACAACGGCGGTGCCTCTGTCGATCTCAACTGCTATCCCGGCTTCAAGTTCAGGTTCGAAGTTTACCCACTCGCCCGCGTCGTCGATCTCCTCCATGTCGTCACTCTCCTCGTCCGGCTCTGAGTCAGCGTCGTTCACATTCAACATGGCCAGTTCTAGCTCGACGCCCGTCACCTCAGCCGCGGGGTCCAGCGCGTCACCCTCGATGAAGACTGATTCGGAACCCCGGACAACTGGGACGGACAGACCCCTTCGCCGCTCGAAGCGTGTGGCAAAGACACTCGCGACTGCTCCGGTGCTGCAGCCATCGAGAGCGAGGTCTCGGAAGAGCCAGGGTGGTTCGAGGAACTCGCTTTCGTGAGTTCTGCACGTCGAGGCTTTGTGGGCTTCGGCAAGAGCGCCGTCGCCCTGGCTTTGAAGTCAACCTCTTACCGGACTTGTCCTCGTCTTCTCTCCTTTTCCTTCGCCTCAATTCCGGTTTTCCTGTTTCTCATCAGGTGGTCTCTTCCTCTTCTCTTGTTCGCGAGTGTCCTTGCTGTATTTTTTTGAACTTTCTGTGTTTCATATGACCTTCTCCTAAACCTACCTTTGTATTCATACTTTTCTTCTCCCCTACTACTTACTCAAGTTCGATCGCCGCTAGCCCACACGCCCTTCGCTTCTCCTTGCGGTCGCTTGATGATACTACGTACAAGTACTCGTACCTGCATTTCACCCCTTGCGTTGTCGATTTTGGCGCCCTTCTTGAACATACGTACCCTTCGCAGCCAGTCTCGTTCGACCGCTCCTTCCATGGCCAATAAGTAGCAGTAATAGTACTAATACTTTTATTCACGCTTTTTCCACATACAAGTTATACAAATTCCACACCCCACTCTTCTCTCTGATCACTTATGACGACCTAAGTATTAGTACTACCTACGCTACGCTACATGCATTCGCAAATGCTTACTGCACATACAGTACCTACAAGTAGAATTTTGTATCAGATATAGTTCGCATTTTCCATGGTCTTAACTCTGGAGTGTTTCGACGAGAGCATTGATATCGACTATGCCGTACGAGTCCTCCAATACATTTTCTCTCCGACTAGTTTCAGTGGACTTCTGGTGGACTTCTTCTGCGGTGTCTATTTTTCAGATTGCCTGGGCTCTACACCGAGAAATGAGAACACACCTGCCCTGCCTCCCTTTCCCCACCGAGAGAGCTCGAGCCTTTCGAATCCATCTCAAAGGGCTCTTTCATGTCTTTGTACCGCGGCTTCGTCCGCCTTACGTCGCCCTGCAAGCAAACAAGCATGTCTGGCTTTGAATTGGCAACCTTTGGCAACACAGGCTCGCCGATCCTGCACATGATCACGTAGAACTCATCTCAGATTGGTAGAAGTCGGGGGTGGCGGAAGCTGGTACCGTGGAAGTCGTTTGCCCAGTTCCACCACCACCAATCTGGTCACGACTCGCTGCTGTTGTAGTGAACGCAATTACACTCCGTAAATAATGTACATAGCTAAGAACTAGTACTGTACTATTTTAATCAGTTCGGCCAGGGGTGTGACGCGGGACCAGGGAAATGACATTTCGGGGCAGCTTCGCCATTCCAAGGGGTTTCCTTTTGCGGAGCAGGACCGAACCTTGACCGAGATGACCGAAGATACATCACGTGATAGAAAGAGCCGAATTAAGAGCAGTTCCGGGGCCAAGAACCGTCCCTGCCGAAGTGTGAAACAGAAATAATGACGAAATGAGACACCTGCCGAGGAGTTTGCGAGAGGTTTCAGACGAAAACCCTGGCCAGAAAAGTGCACAGAATTGCTTCCGGAACACCCTTGAAATGACCAATTTTTCCATTTCGGCCTCCCACACCGCACGGGAACCCATGCACGGGAACTCTTCCCTTTTTCGGGATGTCAGTGTGGGAGAGCTGACGGCTACGTGGTCCCCTGGGCCCGCTGCTCGGACTTCTCTTTATCCACCCACCATGGACAGTCTTGACCAATTCGGCAATTTTACCCCTCTTCGATTTTCTGTCAGGAACAGACTTCGATGCCTGGCATATCACCCTGGTGCTGTTGCCCCGCAGAATGTTGAGCCTGTATCACCACCGTCTTTATCCTCGAGCATAGCGACAAAGAGGCTGGTCGAAGACGACAGCTTCATTGTCCGGCGTCTTTCTTCACCAGACGCTGACTCCGCCTCGTGAATGAACTTCTGGATTTGCAAATTGACCTCACGGCGGTCAACGAGGCCCTGCACAACGCACGGGCACCCAACTGCATTCAGGGGAATCCCCCGAACATCTCAATACCCATGCGCAACGCCCTAATTCAAATGAAGATAACCAGCGAGGATGCGTCCCCCTGACCTGATAGGCGCGAGAAGGTTTATAAGCCTACCGTGCTCGGCGCGATGAGCACGCTGACTGCCCTCGTCGCAATTGCCTTCCTTCAACTCTGGCTGAACGAAGGGGGGGCCCAATCAGAGGATTTCTTCAAAGCTGCCAAATTCCTCACCAAGCTCCGCACAGAGGAAGATGAGCCGCTCGGGGATTGCACTTCAGACCATATGATATCAACAAACGCGACGGACTTGGGCCGAACAATTGCAACTGTAGATCGGAAGGGCATGGAATTTACCTGCTACCACTACCACCACAGGCATTGCCTCGATGCTATGGCGGATACCAAGGATCTCTTTATTGATCTCGTGGTTGAGAGGGGCGTTCCCTTATGTAGTGTGGTGGAGGAGGTGAAAGGAGGAAAGGGAGGGGATGGTGGATGGCAAGGAGCCGTTTTGCATCTTTTGGGACAGGTGAACCCTTTCTATCCTCTGGAACTTTTCATTTCCAACAAGACTTGTATTCATTTAGATCTTGGCCACGCAAGGCAATGCATCCACCTCTGGGTTCTCTTCCTTCACGAGTGTTTATGCGTTCAACCGAATAAGCCTTACTTCTCATTCTACGCGCGAACTTTTTATCACAGAAAACCTTACCCGTGGTCAAAACGCGCATCCAGGTGTTGATGAATTCATGCGTCTTATGTTTACCTTTCTAGTGGCCGCTGTTGCAAAAACGGAGCCCACAACACTCCCCCTATCAAAACGATTGCTCTATGGGCAACTCTTTGTTCCCGAAGCGAGTGGTCCGATGCACTCTGCACAGGCTTCATCTGCTTCAATCAGAATCAGATCTATCACGGTCAAGTTGAGGACAGCGCTTCTGTCCATTTGTCTAGCTTTTATAGGCATATGCTGTCTGATTTTTCAGTGTCCTTTGGTGGGGGCACAATCAAGAGGAGTGACGGACGGTAAGTAGATGGATCACCACCCTAGCTATGTAAATCATGCTGATGAATTTCTGCAGCGGTTGGTTCTGGGCATCTGAAATACCTTTGGAGCTTAGGGAGGATAACAGCGGCCGCCGCATTGCCACCAGTCCCTCGACGAGGCTGGTTCTCAAAATGTTCTCCAAAGCTGATGATTTCTCTGTAGAACGATCTATTTATGGACTGCTTGATTGCAGGGATGTCCGATATGTTCCTCGTTATTTTGGAGCCTTTCGAAAGCAGTGGATGCTTTGTTAATCAGTCATGAAGGCCAGCCGGTGGAAGAAGGGACAATCACTTTCACAGACTGGTGAGTCTGCCACGGTTTGCAGCACTTATTACTGCTCCAACACCTTGCTTTCCCCTTGACAGGCTGCACTTGCATAATGTCATCCGTGATTTCCACCATGCAGGAATACACCAATGCGACTTAAGCATGCGTAATATAGTACGGCGATCAGATGGGTTGCTAGTCATCATTGACTTTGGTCTTGCAAAAGGAGGGTCTTGCAAGTCTGCGAGATGTGGGGATTGGGCCTGGCTTCGGGATGGTTCGTCATTCATTTTTCTGGGTTCACAAGCGATGATGTGCGCTCATCTTTATTATGTGCAGTACATCCGTCAGGTATTTATGACGGACCTCTTCCTTGCCTCTCGACGAGTCCTCCATACCACTTGCACCGCTTCCGTGGCCTTTCTGTCATACAGCACTGGGGTTTTTGTTCGCTTTCTTACCCCGGATGTTTGCTTTGTTCTGTCGTTTCCCTCCTCTTTGTCACCTTTTACTCTTACAGCTGTTCCGGAAAACCTTTTTTTTTTTTTTGAAGTCATCGAATGGAATCTGCACAATTTCTTTTCTGGACATGTAATTATGAAGGTGCATAGAGCTAATTATATTCATTTCTGACACGGGATACGAATACTCATGGGTTCAATGCTTGCTCAACTTGTGTTGTTTCGCTGGTCTTTGGCCCGAATATTCGTTAAAAAAAGCTAATGCACCTTAAATGAAGCCCAATAGCTGTTACAGCGGTCGAAATTTTGAGAGAACTCGTACATTAACTGAAAGAGTACTAGGATACACATGGAATTTATTTACAAGCAAGAGACCTCGAGTGCTACGGTGTGAATACCACTACAGAACGGTGGCGGCGATCAGCCGCCTGATGCGTCCATGAGTTGGTAGAACTCATCTCAGATTGGTAGAAGTCCGGGGTGGTAGAAGTCGTTTGTCCAGTTCCACCACCGCCAATCTGGTCATGACTCCAAGCACCCCGAACTCGATCTTTCTTTCTTATTCCTCATTCCATTTCCCCGGATGCGTAATTATGCCTGGTCTCGTACCGTAATTATGAGGTTCGGTCACCATGATTTGAACCTTCGGAAGTTTCTGTGGGACCTGGGCGCGCACATGGCAGTTCCATCCGTGTGCCGCGCGGGCCACGCATGGGTTTCGTCATCGTCCGGAGGCAATGTGTATCATATGTATGGATGCGCCGCCGTGGCGCAACTTCTGGTCCCGGGAGCACGCTGGTACCGCGAAAAATCAGAACGAAGCAAGGTCTTGTCCGCTCACCTCCTTCCGTCGACCTTGGCTTGCAGCAGCAGACCGTGTAGCGCGACGAAGAGATTGTCGGCCTCACCAGGGAGCCGATATCACGAAAGAGATGTATCAAAACACCTTCATAGATCTCGCGACGCTCCCTGGCTGGTTGTACAGCGATCAGTCAAAGGACTTCAAGGAAATGGATATGTGATTGCTCAACCTTCTCCTGGAGGTTGTCGGAAAGGAGGGCCGCCTGAAGCGAAGGTTCGGGTGTTGCAGTAAGCTCATCAGAACGTCGATGTATTAGAGGGGCATATGGCAGCCTCCATCATGGATGATAGAAGCCAGCGTGAAGGAGCGCACGAGTCGTGATGGATACCGAGGGTCTGAATCACCTCTCCCTCGATGCTGTAAACTGGAGGTTTTTCGAGGAGGAATTCATAGCACAGAGGTTTCTGAGAATGTCTGTGATCTGCAGGCCGCTTTGTGTCCGGAAGGGGTCGAAAGGTGGAACATTATGGACACGGCGGAAGCTGATGGTGGGCGTGGGAAGTGGCCAGGTGGTGTGTGGACAGATTTGCGCGAAAGTTTTGCTCCCAACGACCATACTATTACTTAGTACCTATTCCCGAGGCACTCCTTTCGCCAGTGCTGTGCTGCTCGTCGTCCTTGTCTCTGGGCATCCACGACAGCGTCCCCGTACACACGTAGCCCCGGAGCCTCCTTACCCGACTAATTGGCAACCCCATTGACGTCTTCTCTACTTCACCGAGCACCAGCTCATCCATTCGTAATCCCTAATCGTTCTCAATTCAAAACCACATATAATGTCTTTATCCGCCTCTGACAACAACGGCTCCTATTCCAGGGCTCCTCCCAGTGGGAAGACGCCACCCCCAGCTCCCTCAGCGGCCTATGCAAAGAGGTACGTCCTGCAGCTTTCCTTCTCTCATCGCCCCCCTCAATCCCCCCTTCAGAGCAAGGGAAATACAGGCCCAGGATATGGGTGGTCGCTACCGACCACCTGCGCTGCGGGCCTTGGCATCCGGCGGTTCTCCACCCAACGAAGGCCAGCCTTCCGTCACGAATTCCGGGGACGGCGCAACTCTGCCACCCACGAACTACCCTCCTGGGTTTAGAAGGGCAAGGGCTGGCACCTTACCTTCGAACGTTCAACTTGCTGCCCAGCGATATGCCGCCTCGACTACCTTGGGAAGTACCCCATCCACCGACTCCCTCGTAGAGCAGCATCAAAGACAATCCACCGTCACACCGACTGCCACCCTTCCTGGGCTCACTGCCAGGCCTTCCCTTCGCCATTCCACGACAGCCGTCGCGCCACCGGCTGCTGCACCTTCAGTGCCCGAAAGGAATAGCCGACTGAGGTCAGGTTCTCTTACGTTGCCCTCAGGCGGTCTTTCCAACGCGTTCGGACCCTCGATCTTCTCTTCATCGTGGTTATCCAACACCAATGGTGCCGCTGCCGGCTTCTCAGTCCTCGACGAATTGCGCTCCGTCACTTCCGACTCAGGGGCGGAGGATTTCGACGTTCATACATTGGATTATCTCGGTTTGGACGACACCCTGAGGCCTCCTCCTGCAGCCACTATCTCTGAGCTTCGCAATCAAGCTCAGGCCGCGATTGCAGGAAATCTCGCTAACCCCGCACGGATGCGTGCCAGCACCGTGTCCAACCCATATCGTACCCGTCCTTCGGTTTCAGGTTCATTGCTTTCGACCCCAGCTGCAGAGGAAGAGGACGAGTATTTTGCCGAAAGTTACGACACCCTCAGCTACGACCGCCAGCACCTCAGTCCCTATGACCTTGGCCTCCAAGGAGAATTCGGACAATCATCGTATCTCTCCAAAGGCTTTAAGAGCACAGATCACCTTGCGACAAACCGGCCCCGTGCGATCTCCGTTGGCATACTTGACGACCCCATGCGCTCTCTTCAGAGACGTGCAACGACGAGCGATACCCACTCTTACCTCAACGAGCTTTCCCACTCCAGTGCTAATATCTCACTTTCTAATAACCTCAACCCCTCTGGTATATTGAAGACGGATAAATTCGGGCCTCCTCGCGCTGGCATTTCTCCGAGCGTTCATTTCCCGACCAACGGTGCCGACCTTCCGATAGGACGGGGTGCCTCAGCGTATCTCCTCGCCCCCAACAATCAGAACCGGTCGGTATCCCCAAAATCAGAAGGACCATCTACGCAGCTGCAAACTCCCACACGTTCCTTGTGGATTGGAAATTTGGATAGCGCCGTCTCAAGCGAACAACTCATACATGTGTTTGCTCCATATGGTGCCATCGAGAGCCTGAGGCTGCTTCCTGAGAAGGTGAGTGCACACTGTTTTAATGACTGCAGTTACTGAAACGCTCCACAGGAATGTGGCTTCGTAAACTTCGTCGACCAAGCGGACGCCATTCGTGCGAAAGACGATGTCCTCAACCGCCTGGGAGGCAATATCGGCATGCCCAATGGCCAGACCGTTAGAATTGGCTTCGGGAAGGCTGACAGTGCTCCTGTTGCTCCTGCGAAGGGTAGCTCTGCCAGTTCTGGGCCCACTGCTCCTAGTGCGGCCGGCAGCAAGTCCTCTGGCAATAATGCGGGCCTCGGAGGAATGGACGCGCAGCTCCAATCCACACCTACACGCGCTCTCTGGATTGGCTCTATCCCATCCTCCACTACCCCCGCTACTATTCTCAGCGTTTTTAGCCCATACGGCCCGATTGAGTCTGCTCGTGTTTTGACTCACAAGAACTGCGGTTTCAGTAAGTCTTCCTGTTCTTTTTGTCTATCTTTAGTCTGACAGCTTCCAGTTAACTTTGAGCGACTTGACGATGCCGTTCGTGCTCGCAAGGCCCTCAATGGCCGTGATGTCCTTGGCAGCGACGTTGGAGCCATCCGAATTGGATTTGCCAAAGTGCCAGTCAAGAACGGACAGGAAGGTGGCGGTTCTTCGGAGGAGAACGCGAACGTCGCTCAAGGCGTAGGCGATTTGAGTGTCGGTGCCACGATTCACGCTTTGCGTAGCATCAAAGGCGCATCTACGATTCCAGCGGAACAGCAAGTTCTTGGCGGCGCAGTTGAGAATTACAGGTCCAACCTTCTGCTGAGTATGATCGCGTCTAATATGCACCTCGGTACAACCACCACTGGCCCTGATGGTACCAAACAGCCATCGAGTCTTCCTTCGGTCACAGAGCAGCAGATGATCTTGAGAAAGCTTAGCGGAGGAAGTGCTGAGGCTGAGGCTGATATTCAGGCTCTGGCTGGTAAGTTCCCAAATCCTTGTTGTCTCTGTTAGGTTGTCAATGACAATCGATTCAGAATTCCGTCCACCGACCATGTACTACACGACTATCCCTCTCGTTTCTGAGAGAAGCCACAACAGACGTTGGGATGCTTCGAAGTTGCGCGAGCTTCGCAAACGTTTGGATAATCTCAACATGACCGTGGAGGAAATCGATCAAGTTGCTGCTGATTTCGTAGATGGTGAAATTGTGGACCTTGCTTCTGACTGGCTTGGGAATACCGTTCGTCCGACCTCCCTTTACCCTTCTTCAGTTACTAACTCTACTGCTCTAGGTCGTGCAAAAACTCTTTGAGAAGTGCTCAGCTGGTCCAAGAGTTGCTATGCTTGAGCGCATTTGCCCACACTTGGCTATGATCGGCATTCATAAGAATGGAACATGGGCTGCTCAGAAGATCATCGAATGTGTCACCAGCCCCGATGAGGTTGCTCTCATCGCTCAAAACCTGAGGGCTTATGGACCCCCTCTGCTCTTGGACCAGTTCGGCAACTATGTCGTACAGTAAGTGACACATTATATTGTGTCCTTGTTCTCTAACTCATTATCCTCCAGATGCTGCTTACGTTTCGGTGCTCCTGCTAATGACTTTATTTTCGATGGTATCGTCGACCGTATGTGGGAGATTGCTCAAGGCCGATTTGGAGCTCGTAGTATGAGGGCGTGTCTTGAAAGCCCGCATATAACGATCAACCAACAACGTCGAGTTGCGACCGCTATCATACTCAACTCCATTCCGTTGGCCACCAACCCGAACGGTGCGTTATTGCTGACATGGCTACTCGACACTTCTGGTTTCCCGTCACGATATGACCTGCTCGCCCCTCGCTTTACGCCCCATTTGTCGCACCTTTGCACGCACAAACTCGCGTCGCTTACCGTCCTCCGCATCGTCAATCAGAAGATTGAGCCTGGCGCTTCCAGCCAGATCGTAGAGGCCCTCTTCAACTCTCCTGGCGATCATGTCTTGACCGACGTTCTTGGAGATCAAGTCAACGGTGTCGCCGTCGTTCACAAGATTTTGACCAGCCCATTCCTCGACCCAACAGCGAGGCTAGACTACATCGAGGCGACCAAACGCGTCCTGATTGAGTTAAAGGTCATCGCCACGCAAGCATACCGGAGACTCATTGAAGAAGTCGGGTTGCCGGTTCCCAACTTCCAGCCCACCTACAACAACACTTTGCCTCCTACAGGCAAAGTCACGAAGAACTCTTCACAAAACTTCGGAGTCCCAGGGCTTCCTTCGGGGTATCCGTCAAATGACCAGGGTTTCGCATCTATGATGGCGGCCTTGCAGATGGGAGGTCAGAACCCCCAAGCTGGTCATCCCACTGCGCCCCCACTGCATGTCGACCCTGGTTACAACCCGAACACTCAACGACGTGCAGGACAGCCTAACCCCTCTACCAATTTTTCGCCCTCGACAGACCCGTTCAATCCCTTTGGCATGCGAACTCCCGAGGCGGGCAACCCTCGCCAGCTGAGCAACGTTCGCCGTATGCCAGGTACTCCTCCCATGGGAGTACCTAACTCACCTTATGTCAACCAATCGCCTATTCACCATGGCGCACCTCTCCCCACGATGGGTCAGGGCCCTTACGGAGGCATGCCCCCTCCCCCGCCGCAGTCGGTGCCTCCTCACGTTTACCAACCCTACCTGTACCAACCCTACCAGGCTCCACCTTCGAACATGGGATCATATCACGCGTAAATGCCACCTATACGACATCTCACGACGCCGCTCCTTCGAATCGACGCCCAATTTTTGAAATAATCTGCATCCAAAGTCGGTGCACCTCCTTTCGCTCGTTTGGTCTCGCAATATGCTCTTTGTACGATTGTGGTTTGGTTAGCATTGTTCTGGTAAAATTTCACTTTCCATATACCCTTTACACATCTCGCAACGCGTTGCTGTGCCATCCGCCTCTCCACATTCCTTTATATTCTTTTCGACGCTCTCCTCTGACAAAAAAGGGGCATCTAGTGATCGCGGCTGCTGGCTGGTGCTGAAATGAACGGTTGTTGTCAAAATATATTTCTCGTTTATCTTTTCCTCACTACTTGTACAACAAAGCATGGTCTGAATGGCCATAAAATCAATAGACTAGGTTTCACTGCTTTTCTCTTTCGAGTAGTTTACACATGTCTTATCATTATAGCTGCAAAAACCTTGCCATTTCTCCCTTATTCTCATCGGGCAATGAGCCTAAGAGACTGAACTGAAGAGGAGTAAGAGGTATGTGCACCTCTGACATCATCGACATCACTCATCCTTCACCCGGACTTTCATGACCATTCCCTGACATGGGAAGTTCAGCTTCAAAAGCTGCAAGAAAATACCCTCCTCAAGCAGCTCAGGCCGCCTTGAAGAATGGCGCGAAAGCTCGCGCGCCTCCGGCCCCGGCTCAGACCGAGCATCTAGCTGACAGCCATCGCAGCGCAGGTCTGTCCGTTCGTTTTACATTCCGCTGTTGTACTCAAGCTCTTCGTTACCTTCCCAGCCATTGAAAGAGATGCAGGGGATCCAGATTTTATGGCCAATCTGAGCCGACTGGGGCAGGTACGAGTCGACCACCACATGCAACCTGTTCGACTGGTAGGAAATTTTGTCGCATTGTTTCGCGTCTTGTTGTGCCCACATCGTGCAATATTGTTTAGCAATCCCCCAGCACGACCAAACTCTTCGAATCTCGCGCCGAGGCAGTAAACGAATCGTCGCAACCCACGAGGAACAAGCTATACGCGTTCGTCCTCAGCGACCTGCTCGACAAACGCAAAGCTGTTAAAACGAGGGCCGACCTGGAGAAGTTGGCGAAGGAGTATAACGTGGATGTGGACAAGCTGGAGGGCCTAGCTAGGTTCGTGAGCAGTCCGAGCATCAGCAACTCGAATGTACGGCCGGCGAAGGGCAAATCGGAGGAGGAAGGCTTCATTGCTACGGTAAGTGTGTTCTCATTCGGATTGCGTCTTAGAGATGCCTAAGTACTCTGCAGGCAGTTTGGTTAGAACCTAATCTTCGAGGTTCGTAGCGAGCGTCACGCGTTCTTTACATTTGTATAGTATAATTTGCAATGCACACTCCACTCAGAATTCGGTCATGAAAACAAGAGGGAAAAAAAATGCATTCCAATCCAATAGATGAGATATGTCAACAAAATCTCTGAAGCCAGTCGAGAATTGCGGGAGGTGACCGGTCTGAGTGGTAAACTAGGTATAAATGTACAGATGTGGAATCAGACTCCAAAGAAACGATGGGTGCGGGCAAGGGACACGAAGAGGACGTCATGAAACTCGAATTTCACGCCTTGATCATGGGCCAAGTAAGTGTGGGCATGAAGAATGAGAGGAAGGATTCAAAAGAGCGACTAGATGGGTGAGTGGGTCATGAAGGGTACGGGAAAGTGGGACGTATGCCGATGAGGCTATTCTGGGAAGGATGGGAGGTAGACAGTCGAAGACGACCAGGAGTAGATGAATGTGAAGAACGTCCAGAAGCGATTAGTTTGCTTTAAACTGGTCGGCGTCAAAGGAAAGGTTGTCAAAATGAAAAGAGTCAAGCCGCAACTCGAGACTCTCGTCTTCATCTTCATCCTCCGGCTCTTGGACTCTTGGAGGTGGAGAAAAGGGGTTGGCCCTAAATTTGCTCGGTAGTCGTGCCATTGAGGATGTCCATGAACTGGATGACTTGCGCGGCGTCTTCTCAACATCTTGCTCAGAAACAACGGTCGATCCAGCCCCCGAATCCAGGCTCAAACCTAAACCCAAACCCAAATTCAATCCACCACTGGTATCAAACATCGAATTGAGACTGTCAAATACCGGAACATCTGGGGGTGCTGTTTCATCTCGCTTGACCAGGCGGACAGGAGGGACTATGTCGTCGATGCTTGTAGGTGTCTGTGGTACAGAGCCTGAGATGAGAGAAGACGGAGTCGACCGGAGAGTGGGCGTGGCACGATCGGAGTCGTCAGAAGGCGGATCGATAGGCTCGGCGGCAGCGGGTGGAGGTTTAGGAGAGGCGAACGAGAAAATTTTCTGCAGGCTCATAATTGAGAAACGACGAGTGCCGGACTTGGTGGCGGTCGTTGGAGTAGGAGATGCAGCTTGGAGGCGAATTTGGTCTTGCTCAGATGGTTCGTAGAGCGACGACCGACGGATTAGAGGTTCCTGAGATGACGCAGAGGCAACAAAATTACCGTGGATAGAAGAAGAGGAGTTAGAAGGAAGAGGTATCGGACTCATTGGCGATGCTGGAGGAGGTTCGTCGAAGGAGGCCACAGAGGTACGAGTTTTCAGGGGAGGAGCTGTGAATAGTTGAGACAGAATTCGAGAACCTCGACGAGATACACTGGGGCTGCGGGCTTGCGGTAAAGTTTCTGGCTGTTCGAAGCTTTCTCCTCTATCCTGCGGTATCGATTTCGAAGAACCCGCGGCAAAGATGTCCTGAGCCTGGACATGGGACTTGGACCGTAAAGTTCCTCTAAGAGACCGAAAAACCTTGGACGCCCGAGACTTGAGTGTGTTAGGTCGAGCGTTGGCCTCTTGCGGTAAACTCTGCCTATCTTCTTCAGCCTCTTGAGGAGGGGACCTATTCCGCCTAACCTTGATGACTTCTATGACGTCCGAGTCGTCGGCAGCGTCATGTAGTCTCCTGGAGGGTCGGCTGCGAGGGCTTTCCTGTATCGAGTGTGGGTCCTCCTCGCTCTCTCCCAGCTGCTCATGCTCTGATTCTGAGTCAAAATCACCGTCACCCTCAAAATCGTCACTCATGAGGGCTTCCACCACGGAGCGAGTCTCAATGCTTCTCTGGGGCATGATGACAGGGTCTCGAGAATTTCTCCGGAAAACTGGGGTATCCATATCGGGGTGAAAAGAGAAAGTGGGGGATTCTGGTGTTTCCGGCTGCTCGATTACCTGGGAGAGGGCGGGGTTTGCAGCGTCGAAACAGCACCAGGCCGGTGAGTCGTCCTCCTCGGGTGGAACGACGAAGACATGGGGCATTGGAGGGAGCTCCTCCTGAGGGGTCGGTGGAATTGGACTTCTGAACGTGAAAAGAGCGGCAGCCATCGCAAAGACGGCGGGAGGAAGAAGAAATGAAGACGAAAGCAGTGAGTACGAAGTTCGAACAGAACAGACGAAAGACGAACCGGGTCAGCCAAGATTGTCACGTGCCCGCGTATATTTGAAATTGCCCATCATTTGTGGCGTAGACTTGGCCATCTTCCTACAACCGCCATGGACATCGTATTCTTGGGTACATCAAGTGGAGGAGGGCCCTCAGAGTCCAGGAATTGCTCATCGCTCGTATGCGATATGCTTGCCGACCACTCACTTTGGAGTACGTTCATCCGCGAATAGTTTGCGTGTTCGAAGATAACCTTCTTTCATCTAGAATAGTGGTGGATTGTGCAGAGGGAACGACGCGTCAGTTCGCCCTCCAACCTCACAATGTCAAACCTTCTCTTCGGATTCAGAAGATTTCAAAGATATTCATTACACATATGCATGGTACGGTGCATACTTCGGAGTGTTGAGAGCCTGCTGAGCTGAACTTCGTTACAAGCCGACCATGTCATGGGCCTTGTTCCTCTCTTAAGAAACGTTCTGTTTCCCCCAGTCGCTTCAAACTCGATATATGCGGCTCCGAATCACCCGAAGGCATGTTGTGTGTCTATTCGAACTGGCAAAATACTCAAAGCGCTCATTAGCGCCGAATTGAGCTGTATGGCCCTGCAGGCTTGCGCACCTTTGTCCGCCAGATTATGAAAATGACCTTAACTCGGACTTCTGACGAATACGTCGTGCATGAGCTACTAAGAGAAGACGACCAAGTGACGCCCTGCATCTCAGTAACTGACAACACCTCTATAACCGACACGAGCGTGATGCACAGCAGTGAAATTGCGGGCTCAGACATCCAAGCCTCACCGGATGGTCTCTGGCGTGCCATAACACAAGGCCGAGGAAGGATGAGCGAAATAGTCGTGGATGCAGGCCCTATTCTCCATCGAGGTTAGTGGGCTTCATGAATTTGAACGGCACACGCATGTTCATACGATCTGCAGACCCATGCCTCGGATATGTGTTCTCAGAAGTGCGGTTTCCTTCGAGGAAAATTGTGATACTCGGAGACACATATGATCCGTCACCGATCATACCTCTCTGCAACAACCCATCTCCGTCTCTCCTGATTCATGAGGCCACGGACTCGCACATTTCGCACCACGCAGACCCAACAGGCAAACTCTCACGACGAACAGAGAAAGACGTCCTAGAAAAGGCGCTATCTCGCGGCCACTCGGTGCCGGAGATGGCAGGAGCCTTTGCCAAACTCATCGGTGCTCGAGACCTCGTCCTCAATCACATTGGCGGAAGGTATATGCATTGGCTTTTGGTGTTTTAAACTCGGGTCTTCTGTATATTTAACAACCGCCTCTTCCTTTCCTTTCCTAGGTTCCCGGCACCGCGTAACCCACGAGATGCCCCTCGCCAGAAAATCATGCGCGACATCGAGAACAATGCTGCGCGAGCCTGGGGTTCAGGTCGGCGCGTTACAGCAGCGTACGACTATATGCGTGTGCACGTTCCGTTCGACGTCGGCAATCCAATTCCAAGTTCTTCCACGGAGACCGTTCACGGAAACCAAGATATGGTGCAACTGAACATGTCAATTTCGGCTCAGGCCTCCGCTCCCGTCGAAGAAGCTGAAGGCAGTCAGGATGCCGTCGAGGGCAGTGCAAGCTTCGCCAGTACGTCTAAGATTACCGACTTGACAGTGACATCTGGTGGGCATCACCCTGATGCTCGTGCTGGCCCTTCGCGGTACTCCGTCCGCGGGAATAACAAGCGACATAGAAGATAACCCGCGACCCTTCGGACATCGCTCAGGCTTTTTGTTTGTTGTATCCCATTTATCACTCGCGGTTTTTTCATTCTGTTTGTTTGCATTATTTTTGACCGCTTTAGTCTGATTTTAGAGCGTGATCGATGTAGAGTATTTATTATCATCGTTTCAAGAAAGGTCTACAAAGGGTGTACAGTGTATCCAACAAGAATTCAAACACGATTAGATGATACAACCGCGACGTCTATTTAACCGAGCGGTGCATGAAGATCAAAAACACTCAGACTACAAATAAGAATACGAATACAGACGCGCCGTTTGTGGCGTGGGTGTGGAGAGCGCCGGTACATTACAATGCTACAACCTGATAGTCAGTCCGAACAAAATGGGTGGGTGGGTGTGCCAGGGTATGTCCTAGACGAGGACTCTGCTGTAGAAAAAAGCGGAGAGAATCCCCATCTGCACCTCGCCTCTCGCGGGAGCGGGTGAGCTTCCATATATTTTTCGCCCACCCCGAATCCGGAGGGGGCGCCAGAACGGAAATATTCCAAAACTTCTTCGAGGCCTATGAAGAGCCCGCGGGGTTGACGCTCTCCACCGTGAGGGTCTTGGGGTGCATGCCGAAGATCTCACACATGCACTTGCACTTTTCCTCTGTGCTGCTGGTGTCGCTCGTTGGTGTCGTGACGTCGCGCTCGACGACGACGATGGTGTCATCCATCTGGAGCGACACCGCCGTGGCCGTGCTGCGCCCTGACGCCCCCGGCAGGGAGTTCGAGTCCTTGTACGCAAAGTTGGACCGACTGCGTACCCACCAGCCGTACTTCTAAATACGCGAACAACGAAGGCAAAAAAAAATGCGTCAATCTCACGGTTAAATTTTAGGACGGCACAACCCCAACACCTACCCAGAAGAGCAGCGGTATCGGCATACACGCCGTCGCCAGGCCCGCGAAGACGCTCATCGCCCACTCGTCCCCGAGGGCGTTGAACATCGCCGGGCTAAACAAGGGGAACACCGCGCCGCACAGCGAGCGCAGGACGACCGTCGCAGCGATCGCGCTCGCGAAGTAGACGTTGTACGTGTCCATCAGGTAGGTCGTCAGGCTCTGCAAGATCTGGGAGATGCCTGTCCCGAAAGGAAGACCTGCGAGGATGGGCACGCTCCAGTGGATTGACGGACGGGACGTCCTGGATTTTTTGGAGTGGGTCAGTTGGGTCTCTGGATTTTTTTTGGGAGGCAGAGGAATCGTATGACCACGGAAGGACACTCACCAGGCGAACCACCAGAGCCCGATGGGAGTTAACACGGCGCCTAAAATAGCCATGTGCAAGCGGCTGTCACGAAAAAAACAATCGAAATAAGCTTCACGAACCCATGCTTCAAAAATAAAATGGATGCGGAAGCCATCCTCTTGCAACGTCCAAACACCAAACTAGCAAACCAGCGAACAGAAGAATGAAAAAAGACTCACGCCTCGGGCGGCGCACGCCCATTCTCGCTCCTGTCCATCGTGCGCCAGTATATTCTGTTCTGGATCGACTGGGACGCGGTGCCAATGGTGATCCCGATACCAATGCCGAGGAACGCCAGGCCGCCCTCGCCCGGCGAGAAGTGCCGGTGCTGCTGGAACACGATGGGAAAGCCGGAGAAGAGCGCGTAGAGGATGCCATACACTATCGAGACGTAGATCGCGAGCAGGAGGACGATGGGCTCTGTTACGAGGAAGACTGGTGTATTGAAGGGGGAAGGACGGCAGAAGGAAGAAGGGTAGGGAAGAGACAGGGGGTTAGCGCGTTGACTTGCTGGGTTTCTGGGGCCCGAAGCTAGCGAATATACTCACGGAAGGGCCTGCTGAGGTTGGTCCGCATCACCTGCGCGAACGACTTGGGCGAGTTGAGGTCGTGTCGCGAGATGTATTGGATTGTCCCGTTGGACGCCTTCTGCAGCTTTTGCGCGCGCCGCCGGAGAAGGACGGGGGCGTACTGTCAACACAAAACAAAGACGCCGCGTTCTTTAATCAGCACACGTATGTACGCACAAAGCAAGGGACCCAGACAAAGGCAAACCGACAAAGAAAGAAAAGAATTGTGGCGTTGTCGCCAGTGTGAAGCAGGTGAACTGCAAAGTGAAGTGAAGAAGGGGCTTACCGTTTCGGGGGTGAGGAAGTAGCCCGTGAGGAGCGTGAGCCCAGAGAAGATGAACATGAGCCAGAAGTTGAAGTGCCAGCCGAGCTTGGGGTTCTGTGCTACGAACCCGCCGACGATTGGGCCGATGACTGGGAAGAGAGAAGGTTTGTTATTATTTATATTAGGTAGAGGCTTGGGAAGCGGAGGGAGGGCGCACTCCCGCGCTGCTGCGTAGTGGTGGGGAGGTGACACTCACCTGGTCCAAGGAAGGGCACCGTGGCGTAGATGGCCGACGCGAGGCCGCGCTCGCGAAAGCTCCATATATCGCCCACGGTCCCGCCGGCGTTGGTAAGCGCTGCACACGCCCCCCCAAAATGAAGTGTCAATCAGCACAGCTGCCATCGCAAGGGACAAGGAAGAAGGCAAAATGAGCGACACGCACGCGAAGCGCCAAAGATGCCGGTCAAGAGGCGACATGACAGGAGGCTGGCTAGATTTGGCGCGAGGGCGCCTTGCAGCTGGAACGCGGCGTACAGAGAGGCGGTCACAAGGAACACCACGCGCTGGATAGATAGAGGTGAGGTCAGTAAGCAGGATGGAGGAGCGGATAGCGGGTATTACCCTTCCGAACATCTGTGAAAAGGGACGGTCAGATGATTTTACGGCATAGGGTATGTAAGTACTTGCCTCGCCCATGGATGCGAAGACTAATGGGCTGTGAGGTAACGCGACGATCGTTAGCGTTTATAATTATCGGAGGCGAGGGGCAGATCAACGCCGACGCACCCCAGAGCAAAGCCTAGGACGTAGAGGGAGATGCCGAGTATGGCGACGTTGTAGGAGATACCCAGGTCGGCCATGGTGTACTCGATCCCACCTGTGTAGGAAGAGCTGCTGAAGGAGACAGTAAAAGTGCTCAGCGCCAACTGTTGTCGGAAGATGTCAGTGGTATCTCTGGATTTGTGAGGATGGGCATACCTGTGCGGTGATAAACCATCTTTGAACGCTAGGCCAGTTGTAAGGGTCTTCTGGGTCGTTGAGGTCCCAGTCGACGACGTATGGGTCCTCGGCGGTGCCGCTTCCCATATAATTTCTGGGTGGTATGGGACTAGCAGGGGCCTTTTCTGGGTCCTCGATGACCATGGTATCGACGGAGGAGGGGGAAGAGGAGCGGTGGGCGGACATAGAGGTGGTGGGCCAGGGGATGGGTGAGGAGGAGGAGTGAGTATGGTGGAAGGATTTATAGGGACTGGGAAAAGAGAGATATAACTATGTCCTCGGTTGCATCATGTTCAGTAAGGATATTAATATACCACCTCGGCTATCCAATCCGAAATGGAAAGGGGCAGAAGACGAGAATCCGCGCTCGATAGATTGACGGCCGTCCGTCCCAACAACTCCGATGCACGCGCGCACGCCCACTATCGAAGAACGCACTGCAGGGTTAGCACAGTGCCCGTTCAGTTTGCACCCCTGTCGTGCATCGGGCTGCAGGCGGGGCTGTATAAGGTCTGCTTGCAGAGGCAGGAAAGCAATGCATGCTCTGTGCCTCTCTCTCGTGGCTCCACTGACGACGATGGCGAGTCAATCAGCGGCGGGGGTTGTTTCAGCGTTGACCAAGCTCACCGCACGAGCGAAAGCCTGTTAGCGTGATTGGGGTAATGGAAGTGGGGCGTTCGGGGCGGCTTACGATTGGCGACGAACGTATATCTTTCAGACGGTATCGGACACGCGCCGGTTTCTCAACGCTGCAAGATCTGGGTGGATCTGCCACGTGCATGACGCGACAGGATGCGACGCAGAAGTTTTTGCAGAGGACTGCGCCGGGGAGATCTCAGCCGTCGGGCGCATCTGGACGAGATTTGGACAGGCACTACTGGGATCTCGCGACGGGTTCGATATAAGTGGTGTTGACGCGTGTTTGGTCCGCGGGGGTCACTTGATCAGTCGCCCTGTTCTCCTCCTCCCCTTCCCAGCACACTGCCCCCCTCTGCAACGCCCCAACCGTCCCATCAATACCTCTCCCAGCCCCCGCCCCCCGAGTCCACGCCCGCCCCCATCGTCCACGCCCGCTTCCCCCCAGTTTCCACGACGTCGCCAACGCCTCCCGCATCCACCCATCCCCGCCCCCGCCTCCCCGTTTTCGCCCCTCGTAACGCTCTGTATCTGTACTCTCTCCTCTTGTTTTCATCATGTCCACCCACGGTCCAATCAATGGTGTAAAAGTTTCTCGTAAGAACCCTCCATTCCGCCCTTCCGTGTCTCACTCTTCCACTCATTCATTCCTATTTTCTATCGCATTTCCAATCTCCTCAACCCATCCCCGTCCCCACCGCCTCTCGTCCCCGTTTTCCTTCTCCGTGTCCTAATCGCAAACAATCGATACATGTTCTACCCGAATGCCTTTGCTCCAGCCATTGACGATCCCCACAAGGTCGTCAAAGTTATTGCCTCCGACGGCAAGACCGGCGACACCAGAGACCTCACCTACACAAACTGTAAAGTAGTCGGAAACGGTTCCTTTGGTGTCGTATTCCAGGCAAAGCTCGTCGGCTCTCCCGAGGAGGGCGAAGACATTGCCATAAAGAAGGTCTTGCAGGACAAACGCTTCAAGGTGCGGATCTACCGTCATCCTTTCCTTGCCCATTATCTAATCCCTTCGCTTCTAGAACCGTGAACTACAAATAATGAGACTCGTTTCTCATCCAAACGTCGTTGACCTTCGGGCCTTTTTCTACTCCAATGGAGACAAGGTGGGCTTTACCCCGTCGCTATCAACCAAATCTCCTCATCATCCAATAGAAAGACGAAGTCTATCTTAACCTCGTTCTGGAATACGTCCCAGAGACCGTCTACCGCGCTAGTCGCCATTATGCAAAACTCAAGCAGCCCATGCCCATGCTCCAGATCAAACTCTACATGTACCAACTCCTCAGGTCCCTCGCCTACATCCACTCCGTCGGCATCTGCCACAGAGACATCAAGCCACAGAACCTCCTTCTCAACCCAGCAACCGGCGTTCTCAAACTCTGCGATTTTGGCTCGGCCAAAATTCTCGTCGCTGGCGAGCCAAACGTCAGCTACATCTGTTCCAGATATTACCGCGCTCCAGAACTTATATTCGGAGCTACAAATTACACCACCAACATCGGCAAGTCGCCTTCCCGTCCTTATTTGGCTGCCTTTGACTGACCTTCTATCCCCATGACAGACATTTGGTCAACAGGATGTGTGATGGCTGAGCTCATGCTGGGCCAACCGCTATTCCCAGGAGAGAGCGGTATCGATCAGTTGGTCGAGATTATCAAGGTCCTCGGAACACCCTCGCGTGAGCAGATCAAGACCATGAACCCCAACTATATGGAGCACAAGTTCCCGCAAATCAAGCCCCACCCGTTCTCAAAGGTAAAGCAAAAGTTACGCCGAGTGTCCTGGGCGCCGTTGATGAGTTAAACTACGCAGGTCTTCCGGCCACGCACCGCGCCCGAGGCTATCGACTTGGTGTCAAAGCTGTTGGAGTACACACCCGGAGCGCGGTTGAGCTCTATTCAAGCGATGATTCATCAGTTCTTCGACGAACTGCGGGCGCCAGGGGCCAGAATGCCGAATGGGAAGGAGTTCCCTCCCTTGTTCAACTTTACGCGCGAAGGTGAGTGAATGACGTCTTTCTGGGCATTCATAACCTCTAATGCGTCGTCATCTTCGACAGAACTGTCTGTGCGACCGGACTTGATTCGACAGCTGGTACCGCTGCACTGCGAACCCGAGCTGGCCTCGCGGTCGATTGTGTTGGACAACTTTGTGCCGATACCACTTGAGCAGCTCAAGATCTCGCTGGATTGAAGGGCGTATGTACTATTAAATGTGATATGATTTGTTCTCTTGATACGATCGGCCTGCACCTACATAGTCGATGATGTGTTGTCTCCTCTCTGTGAATCTATATATCTTGAATGTAGTGCGGATGAAATATCAGAGTTGTGTGATTGTGTGTACGTTGTTTACAAATGGCGACATGTGGCGTAAATCGAACGTGAGCTGACCGGATCCATATTTTTGCTCAGCAGCCTTTACGGCTCGCGTCTTAAAGCTAGGCTTTTAACCTCCTCCCCACCGCCTCCGATGCCGCCTACTCCCCCTTCTAATTACGTCTGCGATACCATTCCCGCTGCTCGTCTGGCAACCTCTTCCGACCAACAGCTCGGCCCTGACGAGCATGCACAGACACCAACCATGGACTTTGAGCCAGCAGCTGTTCTCGACGATGCAGTCTCCTTCGCAGCAAGTCCGAAATCCGATCCAGAGCCAGAGGGAGAGACCTTTTCGCCACCGCCCCAGCAACCACCGCCCCGGAAGCTCTGTGTCCGCCATCAGAGGATGGCAGACGAGGGAACGAATCTGAAGCTTCAGCAGGTGCGTTTTACCCCCTTCTTGTATCCCCTAATGGTCCATAGCTCATCGGAATGCCCGTATGCAGGCCCTCGACGCCCTACCGTTAGAAGAGCGCGAAGCAGTCAGCGCGGTCTGGTCCAACTTCTCGTCTTCATCCCACCCCCGGCGCGCACTCATCCTCCAGGGCCTCCTCACGATGTGCTGCTTCTCCCAGCTCTCCCTCCTTACCGAGCAGCTCGCCCACCTCATCCGAATCGACCCCTTCGCCGTCCTGCCCAAGGAAGTGTGCTTCAAGATCCTCGGGTACCTCGATGCGACCTCCCTGTGTCGCGCCGCGCAGGTCACGAAACGGTGGAAGGCCCTGGCAGACGATAACATTCTCTGGAGGGGGATCTGCGAGCAACACATAGGGCAGAAGTGCCACAAGTGCGGGTGGGGGCTGCCGGTGTTGGAGAAGAAGAGGATGTATCGGCCGAGGTCGCGGTCTCCGCCGCTGTGTCCGGCATCGACGTCTGCAGCACCGACACCACCGCCATCAGCGACCCTTGCGCCTTCGCGAAAGAGAAGCGCAGAGGAGTCTTCCCATCTTCTATCGCCGCCCCTCAAACGCCAGCGATCCGAGCCGGACGCCCTCTCGAACGGACAAGTCCCATCATCATCGTTGTCCGATACCTCATCTTCATGTACACTCGTCGTTCCTGATCCAGCGTTATCTATCCCGCCATCTGTTACGCGACCCTGGAAGGATGTGTACAGCGAGCGAATGACGGTTGAGCGCAACTGGCGGCGCGGCCGGTGTACGGTCCGCACCTTGGCGGGTCACACAGACGGTGTAATGTGCCTGCAGTTCAGCGAGACGCTCTCACATCCTGCTTTCCCGGTGCTCATCACCGGATCGTACGACCGGACTGTGAGAGTGTGGAATTTGGAGACGGGCGCCGAGCTGCACTGTCTCAAGGGCCATACGCGTGCGGTCCGGGCGCTGCAATTCGATGAGGTGAAGCTCATCACGGGCAGCATGGATAATACGTTGAAGGTGTGGGACTGGCGCCGGGGCAAATGCATCAAGACATTGAACGGCCACACGGAAGGCGTCGTGTGCTTGAACTTTGACTCGAATATCCTTGCGAGCGGGAGCGTCGACTCGACCATAAAGGTGTGGAACCTACGCACCGGTGGCGCATTCACCTTGCGTGGGCACTCCGACTGGGTCAACGCGGTGCAGATCTGGGACTCGAATGCCGGCGCGCGCTCTTCGTCCTCATCCGGGGATGCATCCATATTCGACGTCTCCGGATCGACCTCGCCAATCAACAATGCCACTCCGAACCTCCAGGCGACCGCCGCGGCTTCGTCGCAAATTGACCCCGGCAAGATGTTGTTCTCTGCTTCGGATGACGGCACGATCAAGCTCTGGGACCTGAACCTCCGTACGTGTGTTCGCCAATTTACCGGCCACGTCGGCCAGGTTCAGAGCATGAAGCTGCTCATGGTGGGCGAGTGCGACGACGAGGATCCTTCAGAGGAGGAAGAGGAAGAGGATGTCAAGCAGGAAGTGTGTCCTCGAACGGGCACCGCTAAAAATGCGCCCGTGCAGAAGAACCAGAACCTGCTAGTTCCCAAACGCACGAAACCTGTCCTTATTTCGGGCAGCCTAGACAACACCATCAAGTTGTGGGATATCGAGACTGGCAAGGCTACCCGCACCTACTTTGGCCACATCGAAGGCGTATGGGGTGTCGCTTGCGATAAACTGCGACTCGTGAGTGCCAGCCACGATCGGACTATTAAGGTTTGTACTTCTACCTCCTGTTTGCGATAAATCTTTCCTGATGATCTCCTCCTAGGTCTGGTCAAGAGAGGAAGGAAGCTGCACTTCCACTCTTGTTGGGCACCAAGCGGCTGTCAGTTGCATCGCTCTCGGAGAAGATAAGATCATATCCGGAAGCGATGATTGGACAGTGAAAGTTTGGAGCTTCAGCGGTTAATTTCTTCGTGAATTGGTACCATCATCTTCTGCTCTTGTATTATTTTTGGTTTTCCGTTCGCTTTCTGCATCTTTCTCGCTATTCTTTCGTTGTCGTATCTTATTTGTAGTCTTGTACACCAATCCACCTCTCTCAAACGCTTTGCAAACCAAGTATATTCAATTACATTATAGAGGTCCTACAGAAGACAATTACATGAGTGCATGGTTCTACATATACTACATATGAAGGAGTAACATTATGATGAGATCGGGTATTATGACGCGCCTGCGAACGAGTGGTATAAGTAAAAGATAGGCCAAGGAAAATATAACCCGCCCTGAACCTGGACCAAGAAAATACAACATGCACTACACTCTAAACCCCAGCGTCCTGAGTTGGGGTTTGCGCGTACGGTAATCTCGTTCTTCACTTTTTCTAAGCAACTCGCTCCGCAACACTAGCTCGTCGTCCTTATGTTCTGACATCTTCAGATTGCGCAGCTGATTCTCTAGATACGCCAGCTGGCCCTGATTGCGATAGCTTTCAAGGTCAGGCGGTCGGTAGTGGACAACCTCCTTGATTCGGTCAATGAGCTTGATATACCGTTGGAAGTTCACAAGGGTTTGACCATCGACGTGGACGGTCATGGGATAGTTCTGCAGGACAATGTGTAGCTGCTTCAGGTGAACAGCTGACGGGAAATCAATACGAGTTCGAGTAGAAAGGAGAAAACGATGTACCAAGCCATGGGACGCAGCAGTCTCGCTCTCTGGCACTAGCAACATCGTTGAGAGCTTCTCGATATCCGCGATGATTGAACGATGGGTTGATGATGTCGTATAAGGCGTCGAGTTTTCCTTGCATTTGGAGCGTCAGTGCCGACTTGGTGAGCTTCAAAGATTCGACTGGTGATGAATGGAGCGCTGTTGTGATTGCAACCAAAGACGAGAAATTCCTCAATTTTCGACATTCCTGAGAAGAAACTCGGATTTAGAAGGCTGACTCCCACCAAAGGAATGGCTTACAATTGCCGTGTTGATAAAGAACTTGAGAACGTCTGCTCTTTTTTCAACGCTGTCATAGTGTAGTACAGAATCCTTGACCCAGGCGATAATCTTGTTGTTGGTCGTATAGGCCGCCTTGACGTTGTTGTACCCTTGGTGTTGTCCAAGATGTGCGATGTAATCTGAGGGAAGTAACGCCTTGTACTTGTCTCCTTCAAGGAGTGTCAGCGCGATGGCCAAGTCTTGCGGTTTGATCTGGGAGGATGACAGCATCTTTCTGCCAGGTGACAAGTGGATCGAAGAACTCGAAGGGTCGCCATTGAGCTGCAGTCGGAAATGTTCAGCTGTGAGGGAACCACACAGCGCAAAGCGCTTACCCTAACTTCAATCAGGCGCTTCAGGTCCTCGGCCTTGTCGATCATCGCGGCAGCAGTCTTCATACGAATGGCCGAATCACAGAAACTAGACATTTGCCGGAGTAGTTGGACATCTGTTGGGAGACTCCGATGGGATATCCAGTAGGTGATCACAAGCAGGATGCTGTCCCATCCATGTCAAAATTCTATTTTTTAAAAACTTTCCGAGATTCCTTACTTGTATTGCACCGCCACCCTGTCTTCAGGATGCTCTATCGACTCCGCTTGGTAAAAGTGGCGAGAGAGTATCCCGAAGAGATCTTCAGAAGCTGCAAAGTCGGCACATGCAGTCAGCAGTGCGTCGCGATATTCCCTGTCTTTCTGAGAGTCTACGGTGATTTACGGTTAGATATCTGTTTGTTCAGATCATTTGCTCGAAACTCACTGAAGTTCGTAATCAGGCGTTGCACCAAACCTTCCAACGAGCCAGCCGACACCGTACCGTCGTTAATGTAAACGACACAACGGGTATTCGATTTGGCCTCGTGGACTGGACCGCTAAAGTGGACACCAGAGTCCGAAGAACTCGCACTCTTTAACGGGGATATAAGAGAAGCATCGCTTGCTTGGCGCCCCCGAGGGGCTTCTGCTGGGAAATAGGCACCGATACGGGCAGGTGAGGAAACTGAAAGATGTGGAAGCTCTAATCGGGGCGGACCTCCGGGGGAGATATGAGAGGTGCTGAAGAGAGGAGAAATAGGATATTGAGATATGTTTCGATTTACATCGGCCAGGAGTGCTGCATCTTGGCTTGAGCTAGAAGAGGTATGCGGCCTGGTGATCTTCGGCCTTGAGTTTCTGGTCAGTCCCTCATTTGTTGAGATGAATAAAGGTGGGACAGCCTCTGGTATTGAGATAGAAGGAGAAAACTGATGTGTGTGCCGCTTGTGGGTGGAGGCAGAAGACATAACACTCGTATCGCTGGAAGAGCTCGAGGTCGATGGCCGGTCTTCTCGTTTGCGAAAAATTCCAAAGCGTTTCGAGATGGTCGGCTTGCTGTCTACGCAGTGACAGTCAACGACAAATCCATGCAAATACTATAGAGAAAAATACCTATCGCGGGTGTCATTCCTCTTATTGCCAGTAAAGATGCTTTGACGTTTGAGATAGATGGTCGGGACTCTGGCCTTTTATGCCAACATTTGCACATGAGGGTCCACATCTCCGTAGACAGACCATTTGATGTGGCAATACGTCCAGGTCGTTCAGGGAGGTTACCATTTTCTAGTGCCTGTCGAACCTTGTCGTCGTGCTTCATATCGCTGAACGGTGCTTCACCGCTCAGAACTTCGAGACAGACCATTCCGAAGCTCCATACATCTGAATATGTAGAGACCTGTCCTACTTCACCGATCAGCTCGGGAGCGTGCCATCTTGAATTCATGCTTGGATTCGGGTGTAAGCCCCTGCCACACTGGAGGGCCATTGTGAGAAGAAGCGAGCAATAGAGACTGGAATTTTTACTCACATCTTCCAGGAATTTCGATAGACCAAAATCTGAGAGACAGGCAACACCGTTTTTAGTTATCAACACATTTGCCTGCAAAGCGATTAGTAGACAAGTCTTTTCAGACCTATAACGCTTACTCCTCGCAGATCTCCATGAACGATCCCTCGCTGATGCAAAAACTCAAGACCTAAAAATTCAAATAAGTATGACATAGCAATAGCCATCCCTGATTATACTTACCGGTTGCTGCATCGCACAATAGCTTGAGACGATCCACCTGTGGAGACCTCTTGACATAGTTCATGATAGTGCCGTTGTTCATCCAGGGACTGACCTGAACACATTATGTCAGCCAGAGCCTGGAACACGAAAAGGTCACGAACAGAGTACAATTCGTCGCTTATGTGAACAATGCCATACAAGGGGACCACGTTAGGATGATCTAGCTCCCTCCAAATCGCCACTTCTCTTTGGAATCTCTGATGGCAGGGTCAGGTCGATCTCTTCGAAGTGGTCTACGACTTACATCTTGAACCTCAGGGCTATTGGCCAGGGCTCTCGGATATCGTAGGGCAACCTAAGATCACTTCAGCATCAATTATTAAAATGACCAAAGCCACACCAACAGATGCTTTATCAAGCCACTGGCCTGATAGTGAACAAAGTCAGGTGTTTTGCAAATCCTGTGAGGAAGACGCTGCTTGTTACCTAAGAATACGTCGTTGTATGCACCCTTCATTACTGCCTCTTGGGATGTTAGTGTAACCTGCCCCGTCACTATGAACTGGTTAGCAAATTCAACTGAATAGGAAAATAGGGTGAGCCTACAGTCAGTCAGAGGCGGCAACTTGGATGTGCTTTCGTGCAACTGCCACAACCCAGCCTTGAATATCTCCTCTTGTGTTGGCTGTAGATCTGGATCCATCAAATGCTGTGGTCGGACGACGAGTTAGAGAACACAAGGGAGCTAGTAAAGCGATTTACAGTCTGAAGGCTCTCCATCATCTCCTCTACAGGCCGAGAGTCACTAGAAGACAAAAGTGCCTTCATGTCGTCTTGACTTCGGACAATGATCTGTAGTACATCACGGATTTCTGCATTGTCGCGTGCTTGAATGGCCTTAGACTGAAGTTGACCGCGATTCATCTCCATGCCCAGTTGAATCTGCAAGGAACAGCGTCAGAGAGATGATACTATGCCGGTCACAGATAGCGCACGCTGAACTTCATCATGGCCGCGTCGATATCTCTGTGTAACCTGTCGATTCCATCCTTGATTTCGCGTTGCTGAAGGAAACTTTTCAAACGACTCCAAGAACCCCATTCCTTGACTTTGCGATTAATACGGGATATGATACTGAATGATAGACCAAATAATGTTGAGAGTAATGTCAGACAGGAATAGGAAATCACATCACTGACGCCTCTATTTCATCTGCAATTTCGACGATCTTGCTTCCCTCCAACCCTCTTGAGCTATCCTGTAGGGCAACCATGAGGTTCAAGCAACGGCCACCCATGTCCTGACATTGTTGCTAGAGAAAATCGTCGTCAAAAGTACGCCCATCCATGTTATTCAGACAACATACCTTGTAGAGCTTGACGTTCTCGATTCCTGTGTAGGTTGCTGTCACTATATGGTTGATTCATCGGTAAAGTACTATCGGCAGATGCAGATAACACCTACATAAGCTGACCGCCGCCTCCAAGCCGGGCGCCCCTGACAAGGAGACGAGCGTGGAGAGAAGACTCATGGGTAGAGCGGGCGGGCAGCGCTGTCGTGGTGGGAGGCAAGGAGCATATCTGGAGCGAATATGCTGGATGGACGGGCGCAGAGGCACCTTAATGCCTCACGGGGCAAGATTACTAGTCATTGGACGCATGATGGCAAAGCTGTGCGACCTCAGGCACGGTTCAGACGGGATTCACAAGGAAAGGAAAGCCCTGCTTTTCTGGGTAGGATTCGGTTCCTTTCGTGTTGGCAGGTTAGCTATACATATGAAGGCCACCCGAGAAAACTTATTTGATTGGTAGCGTGGCCGAGTTGGTCTAAGGCGTTGGATTTAAGATTTCTTGATTCCCAATGGGCGTGAGCCCGCGCGAGTTCGAACCTCGCCGCTACCAAAGAATTTCTATTTTGCATCCAACGTCGCACAATTTTTTTGCAATTCCGTAGGTATACAAACGTTGTACTAGACATTCAACGAATATCATTAAAATTACCATTCGGTCAGAAGAGCTGAGATTCATTAATAAATTCCACCGCCTGTTATCGGAGAAAGCACTTACGCCGCTGATGCTGTCATGTCCTCCAGGTCCTTGTCGCACACTGAAAGAAGTGTCAGAGATGTTGCAAGCAATCTAGCTATGAGCTTACCGACGAGTAGGCTTGAATTCTTCAGGTTCCTCTTGTGCATCCCAAAAGTTCGACAAACTGCTGCTTCCTCCAGGATTTTCACGAACCCGTCTGGAGAACCATTGGGATGGGACGATAAGGAGCGAGATGTTGGGCGCTTACCGGCTGGGTTTGTTGCTGGATCCGAAGTCTAATCCTTGCGGTTCGTAATCTTGAGTGGATTCGGAGGTTGCTACGGTAGGCGCAGGATTGTTGAGCTTAATGGATGGGAAACGCGGGTGTTTACTCAATGGATCAGAGGAAGTACACTTAAACAACCCACTGTGGCATCAGACGTCTGAGCAGGCGCTTGCGATAAGGCATCGTCGTTCACATCATGGCCGAAGATGTCTGACGTGGGTCCTCCTGGGGCTGTCCGCACACGACGGGATGGGCGGAAAGTGTCAGGGGAGGATGCTGGTAAAGGAATTCTTGATTAGAGCGACATCATATCGGCGGGGTTAGAGGATCGCAAACCTGGATCAGCAGTAGTATCTTTGCCAGCGGTTGAAGAGTCGGCAGCATCAGGCGCTGCGTTCGACAGCTTGCCAAACTTCGCGTATCCTGGATACGAATGGAGTTCCAATGAGATCTCGCAGAAGAGGTGGCCGAAGCCTGGATGCATACGTGGTAGCTTCGAGATATTTTGGAAGTTGGTGTCCACGGTGGTTCCAGTGTATCTGAAAGGGGAGGATTGGAATACGACAAAGGGAACAAAGCGACTTCAACAGACTTGAGGAACTCAAGGAGCGTCCTTTTCGTGAATACTATGCTTGTATTGTCCCAGTCTAACATGCCTGTACAACGCACAATCAAGCGGGATTCTACGAAATTCGGGCAAGCTCGTACCAAGCGCAGGAGCCCAATCGCGCTCCTTAGACATGTCGATCGCGGTAGAAGGGGTGAACCTGAACGCAAATTTTCAGTAGACAACGATAGTTAGGGGGAGTGCTCTCACGTAGAAGACATTGCTTCGTGAACAGACGCAGAAAGAAATTTCAAGTTGAGGTTCCAGTTCAAGATCAAACTTTGAGCTGTATATCGACAGGTTTACCTTCATATACAGACGGTCACCGGTCTAACTTTGAGCGGTTGTTAAGCGGTATCCATTCAAGAGGTCACGAGATCGCGAGAGGCTTCCAAAATTGGCGATCGCCCAGCGCAATGCGTTTTCCGACCTGACTCTCCTCAATGCTCACAAAACTTCCGTCGAGGCTTATACGCCCAGCATGGACACGGTCGATTGGAACTCTTCACCACTCATTACCCTCTGGCACATACACAGATATAACAAAATGTCTGGATCCAGCAGTAGCCACTACGCCGTCTTGCCTGACGGATGGACAACGAGAGGTGCTGCAAAGCGCACTACGTATTGATCAGGCGGGCGAAATTGCAGCCAATTATATATACCAAGGACAAATGGCTGTCCTAGGGCGTGATCCTCACTTGGGCGCTCTTATACAAGTCGGTCTCTGACATCCTCGCCCAACCTGGTCACTCATTTGGTTTTGCTCCAGGATATGTGGGATCAGGAGAAGAAACATTTGGCCGTGATGGACAAATTGCAGCTACAACACCACGTACGGCCTACTGTTCTTTCCGATGTTGCCAGAGTAGCTGGCTTTGGCCTCGGTGCTGTAACTGCGCTGATGGGCAAGGAGGCCGCTATGGCTTGCACCGAAGCTGTAGAAACAGTCATCGGGGAACATTATGATGAGTATGAAATTTTCATGAACGCCGTTAGGCATCTGCTAAGGTCGTGTTTCAGCCAGTTGAAGGAGTTGGATTCTTTCTCCTCGGATCACCCTAGCCTCCCTCTTCTTAAGGATGTCATCCGCGAATTTAGGGATGACGAACTGGAACACCTCGATATTGCTGTTGTTAATCATTCGCAACGCGCACCTGCCCATGCTTTGCTGAGTAGCGTTGTTGGAGCCGGGTGTAAAATTGCCATTGAGCTGTGCAAGAGAGTTTAAATTGGGCCGTGGAGTTTCAACTACACGAAGCCGAAGAAGTTGAACCCAAAGGGACGATCATGAGCAACTATGTTCCCATGAACATCCGGCTGTAGTGGCCAGATACTCAAAATGATTATGCGGGCAATTCATGGAGCTCGAAGTCTAAAAATGGCACTTAGGCCGCATCATTCATGGATAATGCTACTTCCTCCTACGTGCACTGGGCAGATAGACTGTTCCGAACTCGCGTTTAAAGACAGAGGGGAGCTGAGGGGAGCTGAGGCTTTGGTAAAGACGAATGACTTGGTAAGTTTAACAAACAAACAAATTTTTGTCACTCTTTTAAACCCGTGAATAGTCAATACTTAAATCTGAAGGATAAGTAGTCAGATTCCTTCAGTGGTAGTGACGTGCTTTCAGAGTTCCATCCCGTTTTGGAACATGACAGGTCACGTGTGCGCGACTCAAGACGCGTTGACCCACGCATCGATGCTTTTTGAGTCTTGATTCTGTCCCTGTTCATGTTCTGTGCCACAGTGATGTTATGATCGAGGAAAGCACCTTTCATGGACGACATTAAAATTGCTGCTGAACGTCTCG